CCCAGTCGTCAGCACGTCAGTGCAGCAACACGACAACGCACACACACATGTTCGTTCTCCACGAGACGCCGCAATTCACGTCCGTTCTCCACGACGCGCTGTGATCAACTCTTCGCTCGTACCCCCGCCCTGCAAACAGGACGCTGGCATACTCTGATGAGCTTCACAGAATCTTGTGAAGGAAGTGGAATATGACCTATGTATAAAGCATCTGGCTGCAGCTGTTCATGACCGCATTTAGACAATGTGCGCAAATGCTATCCGAAAACTTCCCATAGAATTGCGCACATTCCATACCGGATGTGATTTCTGTGTCATTGCTGACCATGTGGACAAAATTTTGAGCGTCGCATAATGTAATCCGACCGTTCGTGATTCGAAACGGAGCCTGAGCGAATGACAGGAATTGTGAATTAACAACACAGATACATTTAACAGAATTTCCTACATTATTATACGGAGCCCCTAAAGGGACATCCAAAATTATTTTTTTTTATCTCGTGCGCACGACATGATATCTCGTGCGCACGAGATAATTATCACGTGCGCACGACATATATCTCGTGCGCACGAGATAATTATCTCCTGCGCACGAGATAACTATAAGTATTAACGGAGCTTGCTGCACGTGCAGTGGACGAGTTCGTGTGTAACGAAAGCAGCGTGTCAGGCATTCTATTACATAACACTTCGTACAAGTCTTCAGAGGGTATGCATTCCTTTCAGGTGCCAGGCATGCGGATCACACAATACATTCAAAGAATCTATAGTAATTCAAATGAGGTAGTGTAGCATGGGTATATAAACCCCGGCTGAAAGGAGCCAGCATCTTTTCTTCGTGTGATAGGCATAGCGGACAGAGCTGAACAGTTCAGCTCCTTGTTCATTGCAATAATGAATACTGACTCGTCCGAAGACGACATTAAATCACTCCAACCAGGCCAAGGTAAGCCTAGTTCTCGCCGGGACATCGATGCTCGGTTACATACCAATGCCGACGGTATCCAGAAGTTATCGGCTTCTGTTAATGCCATGCAAGAGATGCTGGCATCAGTGGTTCATTCCCGTGACTTATCCGGACGTGCGAAGCACGCCGGCCCCAGCAACTCCGCTGGTAGTCCACCCCAGTTTGAGGTCTCGGCTCAATACGACGAGGAGTTTGTAGACGAGCTACTAAGTCAGGAAGCTGTGGCATACCACCCAGCTCAATCTGAGTTTGATCTGACCAGTGTACTGGCGGATAACCAAGCCATTACAGCGCAAGCTGATTTTGACGTTCTTCCAAGTGAAGATATTTACAATGACAGTGAGGCTAAAGGCCCCGAGATATTTAGTAACTTAGCAGAAAGAGCTGTAAAAGCGGTAACTTTGCCAATCAAGAAAGAGACATATGCAAAAATTGCAGAAAAAATACGTTACACCGTCAAATGCGGTAGCTGTGTCGGCACCCAGAATAGACAGTGAACTTCGGGGAACCATCCCCGCCTCAGCTAGATCCAAGGACGTGATCTTACAGAAAATCCAAAAACAAGTTATCAAAGGTTTGCTTCCTTACTGCAAAATGTTGACTGAATTGCGTGATGCAACAAAGTCAGGCCAAGTTATGAACATTGACAAGTTAAAGGAACTTGCTTTAGATGGCATTACCCTTGCAGGGAACGCCTCTTATGAACTAAGTATGAGACGTCGAGAGGAACTGAAACAAGTCCTCAACCCCATGTATCACGGTCTGTGTTCCCGCAATACTCCCGTCTCAGAAATGCTGTTCGGGAAAGACATGAATAATACAATGAAACAGGTAGCTGAAGCCTACAAAGCAGGCAAAAAAATGACCTCAGACGAGAGGAAAAATCAGTCTTCCTATCGCCGTTATGTGCCTTATAACCAGCAGAGAACAGGCAAAGGCTCGTCCGCAAACTACAGCGGACCCACTGGAGACAGACGCTTCTGGCGTTCATCTTCTCGGGGTTCGAATGTTCCCCAACACAGCCGTGGGCGATCCACCTATACCTGGCAGCAGAGATCTAACAAACCATCTACTGCAACGAAGCCTACTTTAGAAAAAAAACGGGTATGTAAAATCAGACCTACTATCCTCTCCATTGGCAAGTGCCGGGAGACTAAAATTACACAAGGGCGATTGGTCTCAAATCACTTCTGATAGGTGGATTCTAAACACCATATCAGGTTGTAAAATTGATTTCTTGAGCTGTCCAATTCAAACTGAATGCCAGTTTCTGTCAAACATTTTTCTGATAGCGAAAAAGACAGGTGGATTGAGACCAGTTATTAATTTGAAAGATCTTAACAAATTTGTGTCGTACGAGCACTTCAAAATGGAGAATATCAAGCTCGTGAAAAACCTAATTCAAGTTAATGACTTTCTCACGTCAATTGACCTGAGAGATGCTTATTTTTCTATTCCAATGTGTGAGAAGGATCAACCTTATCTTTGCTTCTCTTGGGCAGAAAACATTTTCTGCTTTACTTGCCTACCATTTGGCTTATCATCAGCCCCTAGAATTTTTACTAAGGTTATGAAACCTGTAGTAGCATCAGCGAGAAGTCGAGGTATTCGCTTGGTCATTTATTTAGATGACATCCTCATCATGTCTTCTTCAAAAGAAGAAAGCACCACAAACACTAATTTCGTGATTAACCTACTCCAAAATCTTGGATTTGAAATTAATTATAAAAAATCTTGTTTGATCCCTGAAACAAAAGTGACATACTTGGGATTCATAATCGACTCGGAAACTATGTCAATTCACATCCCTAAAAGTAAGGTGGAAAAAGTCAAGTTGGAATGAAGACAGTTAATTTCCAAAAAGTCAGTAAGCATCCGCCAACTGGCCAGATGTAATGGCCTCATTGTTTCAACGTAAGTAGTATAGGAGGCGTCGATGGGACCCCTATTTGTGGTGCTACTCGGAGGGTGGGTGCAGGTGGTGCGGGTGGTGCGGGTGGTGCGGGTGGTGCGGGTTGGTGGAAGTGGTGCGGGTACCGTGGTAGCGACGAGGTCGCAAGCAGGGCTTCATATACCGAGCCACGTTAGTGGCGACGGTGAGCTCACGCTAGTGAACCCGAACGGAGTGGGCAGTGGCGCAAGCCTTGAGACTTGTCTCGAGGGTTGTGTGCGAGCGACGAAGTCGCAAGCAGGGCCTCATATACCGAGCCACGTTAGTGGCGATGGTGAGCTCGCGCTAGTGAACCGAACGGAGTGGGGATAAGTTTCAAATCTGATTGGTTAATTCAAATAGTACGCTTAATGCTGATTGGTTAATTTAAATTATACAGTCGATGGTGATTGGAAGATAAATGTATATGTTTCTAAATATAGACACGTCTGAGTGTGTTAAGTAGAAGACGTTTGGGTACATGACGTGACAGGTAGACTCGGGCGAGTCAAAGACAGCAACAGAAGACGTCGTAGGTGTGACGTCACAAACAAGTTCGGACAAGCCCGGAGGGAACAATGGGAATAACCCGTAATGAATAGAGATGCTTCGGACAAGTTAAAACCCGCAACGTAATATAATTGATTGATGTGGATACGAGAGGACTGCGTATAAAAGTCGGAGCGTTTGTTTTTTGATTGTCATTCGTCTGCCTGCCACTGAAGACATCGAATTCTCTGCAAGATAACGCAATTTTCTGCACGCAAAATCAAACAAATTTGCCCTCTAAAAGAGATGGATCCAGGACCAATCGTACCTCCATCTTCGCCATCCATTGGTTTAGAAAATGGGCCGTTTGAGTGTGTGACAAAGTTAACTCACACCCAGGTGAAAAGAGGCTGGCGCGAAGCTTACAGCGCAAGTGAGAAGAGACCGTATTATTACAACGTTTTCACCCGAGAGAGCCTGTGGGCCATACCTACCGTCCAACCAGCTCAACAGGAGGAGAGTCAGGCGGACTCCGGGCCTGCACCGGACTTGCTGGCAGCTGCCATGGCAGAGCTGTCCGGCAAACCACCCATGAAACTCGCCATAGACAGCCATAGACATGGTCTAAATCATCACAGTATCTCAACGCTTACTCTTTCCCTTTCTTTTTTTCTTAATTTCACTACAGAGTCTACGAATCAGGACATTGTCGATCGACGGGCACGGGCAAGAAGACTCACCAAGCGAATCTTGACTAAGCTCATCACGGACGAGATACTTCGGCTAGTCTACCGTGCGCAAGAACAACTTGGCTGTGAAGGATGCGAGGAGGACTGGACAAGTCAATGGGACCACGCATGCCTCTTCTTCGGCGTGAATCCTGAGAACCGCATCGATGATTTCATGGACGAGCACTTCGATGAAGCAATCCAGTCACTAGACACGGGCAGGGTTCTACCTATGTTTCACGCAGTAGCTGCCCTTTTGGGCGCTAGTTCATTCAGCGGCGAAGGGGTGGACTTGAACGCCGAGATAAACCCGATCATTGCAGATATTTTGACCGAATGGAAGGCTGATCAATCAGATATTGGCACTTCGTTCTATACGATGCTTTTCGATAACAACACTGAACTTGTTCAGTACACAATCGATCTCGTCGAGTAACATTTGAAATAAGCAAGAAAGGAGCACCGTTGTTATAGTCTACTCCTGAACTAATGTAGTTACTTATTTTCAAAGCTAAAAGTTAATACTGGTTATTAATGGTGGTGGGTAAAGTTCCAAGTTTGAATGAAACAAAAAATGAATAAATAAAATGATTGATGTAGGGCAAACAAAATCAGAAAGTGTGTGGTGTATTCATTTGACGATGTCGGGGTGAATTTACTTATTTAAATTAATAAATACAAGTTAGACTTTTAATAAATTGTGTTTTTACATTACTTTTAAAGTGGTGGGTGGATGGGTTAAAGCAAAGTAAAATAAATAATCGTTGTATACATATAGTTATACGGTCTAGATCGTGTTTTAACAGATGGGAAGACTTTCCCACGGGCAGTGCGGGTACTTACTTAACTCAAAGACCGGCTGTATGAGAAATGACGGTAATTATCCTATTCACCGGGAACTTCCTTAGAGGGATTATCCGCTTCTTCATGCCCAAGTGTATTGTTACCATTAACGAAAAGAACAAGTCGATTCACGTCAGTCGAGTGACAGCGCCGCCGTGATCATGTTTAAATAGATGGGAAGACATTCACACGGGCAGTGCGGGTACTTCATTACTCAAAGTCCGGCTGTATGAGGAATAATGGTAATGAGCCTATTCACCGGGAACTTCGTTAGAGGGATTATCCGCCTTTTCATCCCCAGGTGTTTTGTTACCATAACGAAAAGAACAAGTCGATTCACGTCAGTCGAGTGACAGCGCCGACGGGTCCATTATGAAAACGTTTTTAATACGACTTGCCGGTAGCTCTGACGTATGTATCGGTTGTTGTTCGCAAAACCTCCTTCATTCTTCGCTGAATGTATACTCGAGAGAGAGGTGTCTTTATTCAAGTTGCCAATCTCATCTTCGTGAGATGGTGGAATCTTCTTTAGTTTGAAAGGACAGACGCCACGAAAGTGATTGTAACTTTACTTGATCTGCGTGAGATGATGGTATCTTCCTTTAGTTTGGAAAGACCGACGCTCTGGAGTGGAATTGTACTCCAACTTAATCGTCGCGAGAAGATGGTATCTTCCCTTAGTTTGAAAGGACTGACGCTCCAAAAGTGGATTGGAACTTTACTTGATCTCCGTGAGATGGTAATGTCTCAATACAAGTTAGAAGGAACGACGCCCTGTAATTAATTTTGAAGTAGCGTCGCTTCACCACGCCGTCACTTTATTTATTATTATTATTATTTTTTTTTTCTCGAAAATACGTAGTAGCGTGGGTCTAGTTAACACGTCAACAAATTTGGTCACCGACGTGAGATTTCAAAGGTCCCAGTGGCTATATAAACCGGCCGCGCCGATTGTGTCGCCAATTCAACGCTTGCTACTGTTGCCGTCATGGCTTTGCACAAAGATGACATGTACAACCAATTTTCTCCTGATCCGACGGAGTCTCAGCTAGACCTGATTGCAAGAATGGAGGATGAAGCACTTGCTGGCCCATCCAACGAACCCCAAGTTATCCCAGAGACGCCGCCTCATTTGCAAGGGATAGAAGATGTAGAGGTAAGAAAACATGTTTATATTTTATCTGAAACTCTTTTTATCCGAGTGCCGGTACCTAGTTGTTGTATTAGGCAAATGTTGACACGATGTTTCCGTCACTTGTAGTTAATATTCACGCTATGATTTTAAGCCAGAGTCGTGTATATTGGTAGGTGAATGTATATGGTAGTCGCATACGTATCACCTTGCTACAAAACTCTTAGTCGAAGTGAATAGGATCGTTATTTTTAGTCTGGATGGAGAAAGTAATATTTTGTTCTCATGTTTTTAATACCTAATCGTTTTTATGACATTAGTTGTACAATTATTAGTGAGTCGTACATGGTCGGACGTGTCCGAGACGTAAGAAGAAAAAAAAACAACACATTATTAACATACTCTTTTCCGTGACATTGTCAAACACCAACTTGTTTTGGTACGTCGTAAACTGCATTGGATTGTAACGTGACACAATTGTTCTGTTTTCTCGTCTTGACTTGCCCGTGACGTCACACACAGCTGTACTTACCTTTCTGTTGTATTTGAATGTACGTGTGTGTCTCTACGTGAGGGTGTGTGTTAAGACATTGTCCACTTCCCCGCCCCCCTCCTCTTGACTCGTCCGGACTTGTCCATGACGAGCTTCATCTCGTTCGTTTGTTGTTTATTTTGTACATGTACATTGCAACATAACGTTAGGCATAAGCAGTTCGGCCGCCGTCCGATGCACATCGGCGGCGGTCGATGTCACGTTTCACATTGGGTCGTGTTTAACAAAAGTTAAGCAAAATGTTTGGTTTGTTATTGTTAATTTCAGAACACGAGGGGAAATGCCTTCATAGTTGCAAATCCCCCGGCAGACATGGCGGAAGAACAACCAATGGTAAGTAAAACAATTACATTATTTAGAAAATTATACCCCCAAAAAACAAAAACAAAAACAAACAAAAAATGGTAATACGTCAAGCGATTTTCTTTTCTTTGTTCGTATTTATATTACTTGCACAAATAACTTTTGTAGTTGATTACCGGACAGTTGTTCAGAGGTTGTTTTGTTTGTATACCGTAAGTACACATACTTTGACAACGTGGTACTAATACGATTATTTTATTTTTTATCTTTGTGTAGGATATTTCAGATGAGGACGATGATATCGCCGAGCCCCCTCGTGTACCACCCCAAGAAGAGAGACGGCGGGTCACGTATTCATGCCCGGATTGCGACAAAACTTTCACCAGAAGGTTCACCCTCAACCGGCACAAGCGTCGCATCCATATGCAAGGTGCTCCAAATCGTCCAGCTCCAAATACATTTAGGTGTCGGCAATGCGACAAGTTTTTTAGCCGCCGCGACAGCCTAAGACGGCATCAACACGTCCATGCCCGGCAAGCACCTCGACGGAATGAGCAAGCACCGAACCCACCACCACCAGCTGTCGCTGACGTACCACCAGATCAACATGTACCAGCTCCGCCACCACCTCCTCCACGATTTGCCTGCCAGACCTGCGGCAAAACATTCAGCAGGCGAGACAACATGATGCGGCACTTCAGAAGAGCGCACCGTCCTGCTTAACCTGCTCCCGCTCCGGCAGATCCATCGGTCCCTGCTGTCCCCCCTCCCGCTCCGGCAGATCCACCGGTCCCTGCTGTCCCTCCTCCGCCTCCTGCTCCACAAGTCCCGGCACCACCACCACATCCCGCCGTCCACCCTGCTCCGGCTCCTCCTCCTCCTGTCCCCCTTGCTCCGGCTGATCCCATGGTTGAAGATGCGCTTGTCTACCCCATTCCACTCGGGCGTGTTAGAAACGAAAATGGTGACGATGACGACGACGAAGACCACGAACTGAACAGTTTCTTACGCGATCACTGGCCCTCAGTCAGAACTCGGCATGTAACGGGTAGACCCGTGCAAGATCTGTATAATTTCAGGCTAATTGGCTCGCGACGCCTTGGAGCTGCCGTCAATATGGAAGCTGGGGTAAGAGCTGTGTTTGATCAACTACAACAGCGCGTTAAAATCAACGTGTCATTTGGCTTAGTGATACGTCATTCCTTGACTGGTGAATTGAGATATTTTCACCCGTGCCATAACAATGCTCGATTTTTCGAAGAGCCGTTCGTCATCGGGTCCGCAGCAGAGTTAGAGTTATTAATAGAAGCACTAAACGACGCGGATATTGCGGAGCATGGCCGTCGACAGCGACCCGACACAAAATGGGTAGTAGAGACCATTACCAGTGTAACTGTTTTTGTAAACAAGACAGATTTCATTATCGGTGCACCGCCCGATGATCTCCCTCCCTTTGTGGTCAACAACAGAGGACTTAACGCGCTGAAGCGCAACCTCCACACGGGCCAACCATACAAAGACAATTTGTGCTTTTTCAGGTGCGTCGCCCTCCATCACAATCGTAGTGTCAACAACAGACATTTGGACCGTGATGCGCGTCATTTCCTGCACCGGTTTCGTGATGGTGTGGGAAAACCCAATCAAGACGGAGTAACGCTCGATGATCTGGACGACGCGGAGCGACTTTTTGAAATTAATATTCAAGTATACTCCCTCGTGCAAAGAGAAGAAGAAGACCCAGGAGAGGAGGAGCCGGCATCAGTGAGACCACGAGTAAGGGCCGAGCTTGTGCGGCGTTCCCATCGGTGTTTTCCCACGACCTTGAAGGTGAACCTTTGCGGGGCACATTTTTCTTTCATTTGCGACGTAAAGAAATATAGCAAGTCCTACGCGTGTGGAAAATGCAGCAGGTGTTTCAGAAAACCATACGATCTCAATCGACACGAGATAACGTGCGACTCGAACGTAAAGTATAAATTCCCCGGTGGTGCGTATCGTCTCCCCCAGACAGTCTTCGACAAACTTGCCGATTTGGGTATAGAAGTCTCGCCTGATCTAAAAATATATCCATACCGCGCAACGTTTGACTTTGAAAGTTACTTTCAAGAAGTCCCAAACCAGGGGCAGAATAATCGTAGGCTGACTTGGGAAAAGCGCCACGAAATTCTAAGCTGTAGCGTTGCGAGTAATGTACCTGGCTACGAGGCACCAAGATGCTATGTAACGAGCGGAAGCTCCAGTGACCTGGTGGGTGAAGTGGTGGATCACCTGCACAGCGTAGCCTATGCCGCCAACGAACTGCAGGAGGAGAGGTTCGAAGACGTCTTTGACCAGCTTGACGAACTCATCGAGGCAGCCAAGAACGACCGGGGTCAGCAGACACAGCAGGCACAACCGGCAAGGAGAAAACGACACCCAGCAGAGGACTTGAAGGAAGAACTAGAAAGTTACATCCAAGAATTGCCAGTCATCGGTTTCAACAGTGGTAAGTACGATGTAAATTTGATCAAGCGACACTTGTATACAAAACTGCAAAGGGACGACCCTCTGAAATTTATAGTGAAGAGGACCGGTACTTATATGGCGCTCAAAACCACATGGCTTAAATTTCTTGATGTCAGCAATTACCTAGCCCCGGGGTACAGTTACGCGAAGTTTCTGAAAGCGTTCGAAGTGCCCCAGGAAAAGGGGTTTTTCCCTTACGAGTGGTTTGATTCCTTAGAGAAGTTAGATTACCCGGAATTGCCACCTCACCAAGCGTTTTTCAGTAGTTTGAAACAGCAAAACATCAGCGACGAGGACTATGCATACTGTCAAGAGATTTGGACTACTCAAAACATGAAGACCATGAGGGATTTTTTAATTTGGTACAATGATCTTGACGTAGTACCATTTTTGGACGCTCTTCAGAAAATGAGCAATTTCTATACTGAACGTGGTATGGATATGTTGAAATGCGCCATATCTGTACCGGGCCTCTCACTGAGGTACTTATTTCTTACTCTCGGTCCCGAAACCTACTTCTCTCTGATCGACAAGACCAATAGCGACCTTTATTTCAAGATTAAGGACAACATCGTCGGTGGCCCATCCATCGTCTTTAACCGCTACCACGAAAAGAATAAAACGTACATTAGGGAGGGGCTGAACAAATGTAAAAAAATCGTTGGGTTTGATGCCAATGCCCTCTACCTCTGGGCACTGATGCAACCCATGCCCACCGGTACCTTCGTTAGGCGCAAGGCTGAACACAGTTTCAAACCAGTTATGGCTCAAAAGCACGGGGTAATGGCCGCCGAGTGGTTAGATTGGGAATCCAAAACAAACAACATCAGTATCGCGCACAAGTTCAATGCTGTCGAAAACCGCATAGGCGCTCGAAAGCTACCCGTGGATGGGTTTTGTCGAGAAACCAATACGGTCTATCAGTTTCAGGGCTGTTACTGGCACGGGCACAGATGCCACTTAAATAGATCCGACTTTAACCAAGTTAGGAAGGTCAGTGCCGAAACGCTCCGTAAAGAGACGGCAAAGAATTCTGAATACATAAAACAACAGGGTTTCAATCTGGTAGAAATGACAGAGTGTCAATGGGAGGTATGCCAACAAAATGATTTAAACCTGCGCAGATTTCTGAAGTCAGTTCGGTTGCCACATCATCAGAGAAAGCAAATGTCACAAGAACAGGTATTGGACTTTATTCGGGACGGGTCGCTGTTTGGGTTAGTAGAGTGTGATTTGCGAGTCCCAGATGCGTTGAAAGAAAAATTCTCCGAAATGCCTCCAATTTTCAAAAACGTAATGATCAGCAGGGAAGATATCGGGGAACACATGAGACAATATGCAGAAAGAGAAGGGTTAATGAAAACACCACGTAGAAGCTTAATTGGCAGTATGTTTGGGACTCGAATCCTACTCGCCACCCCGCTACTTAACTGGTATCTGTCACACGGGTTAATAGTCGATCATGTTCACGAGGTCATTCAATACAGAGACAACGACTGTTTTCGCAGTTTTGGAAATGCGGTTAGTGAGGCGAGAAGGGCTGGGGACAAAGACCCCGCCTACTCCATTCTTGCTGACACAATGAAATTGTTGGGTAATTCCGCCTATGGCAAGACTGTCACTAATCAACAAAAACATCTCAGGGTGGAAATATGTAACGACAAAAGCGCCGCAATATTTGTCAACGATCAGCACTTTCGAGCTTTGCATGACGTTGGCGAGGGCCTTTATGAGGTAGATTTGCACAAACAAAAAATGAACCTGAACCTACCCCTTCAAATTGGGTTTTTCGTTTACCAATATGCAAAGCTGCGCATGCTTCAGTTTTATTATGATTTCCTGATAAAGTTTATAGATCCCTCCCATTTCGAACTTTGTGAAATGGATACGGATTCGGCTTACTTGGCCATCTCAAGCGAGAATTTTGAGGAAGTTATAAAGGAAGACCGGAAAACCGAATTCCAACAAGAGAAATCCCAGTGGTTTCCGAGAGACGACACCCCGGCTAATCGAGCCTACGATAAACGTACCCCGGGGTTGTTTAAAGTCGAATGGGAGGGTGACGGAATCATATCACTGTGCAGTAAAACTTACTTTTGTTTCGGTACGAGCAACAAGATTAGTTGTAAGGGACTAAACAAGGCCTGTAACAACATCACTAAGGACAGATATGTAGATGTTTTGAGAACGCAAGTCCCTGGGATTGGTATTAACCGTGGTTTCCGGACTAAAGGTGGAGACATGTACACCTACAAACAGATGAAAACGGCATTTTCATATTTATACCCCAAAAGAAAAGTGGCAGCTGATGGTAGAGCAACCATCTACCTCGACTTGTAAAATATGACGACTAGAGAGAGATAGACAAAACAAAAAAAAAACCACAAAACAAGTGTCGCTTGATCAAATTGATATCGTACTTTCACTATCCTAACTGTACATATTTTGATATTGTATAATATTAAATGGCGATGTCTTTGAATTCTGTAATGTTTTGTTCTTCTTTTTATATGATTTGATTAATCCATTTACAGCGATTATTTGATTTTTGAGACGTTTAACTTTGACAGATTATGATTTGATTGAATCACAAAGAGTGGTTATTTGGTTTTGAGGTTTGTGTTTAAATTTTGACTTTAGTTACGATTCGATTGAATCACAAACAGCGGTTATTTGATTTTGAGATTTTGTTTGTTTTAATTTTGACTTAAGTTTAAATTAATTTTTGACTTAAATTTGGATTTGATTGAGTCTAAGGTTGAATTGATTGAACCACAGTGATTATTTGATTTTGAGTTTTTTTAATTTGACTGAACCACATATCTACAGCTAGTGATGATCTTACTTTGAGTGTTTAATTTAACTGAACCACATATCTACAGCTAGTGATGATCTTACTTTGAGTGTTTAATTTGACTCGTATAACTATATGTATACAACGATTATTTATTTTACTTTGCTTTAACCCATCCACCCACCACTTTAAAAGTAATGTAAAAACACAATTTATTAAAAGTCTAACTTGTATTTATTAATTTAAATAAGTAAATTCACCCCGACATCGTCAAATGAATACACCACACACTTTCTGATTTTGTTTGCCCTACATCAATCATTTTATTTATTCATTTTTTGTTTCATTCAAACTTGGAACTTTACCCACCACCATTAATAACCAGTATTAACTTTTAGCTTTTGAAAATAAGTAACTACATTAGTTCAGGAGTAGACTATAACAACGGTGGGGCCGAACAAATGTAAAAAAATCGTTGGGTTTGATGCCAATGCCCTCTACCTCTGGGCACTGATGCAACCCATGCCCACCGGTACCTTCGTTAGGCGCAAGGCTGAACACAGTTTCAAACCAGTTATGGCTCAAAAGCACGGGGTAATGGCCGCCGAGTGGTTAGATTGGGAATCCAAAACAAACAACATCAGTATCGCGCACAAGTTCAATGCTGCCGAAAACCGCATAGGCGCTCGAAAGCTACCCGTGGATGGGTTTTGTCGAGAAACCAATACGGTCTATCAGTTTCAGGGCTGTTACTGGCACGGGCACAGATGCCACTTAAATAGATCCGACTTTAACCAAGTTAGGAAGGTCAGTGCCGAAACGCTCCGTAAAGAGACGGCAAAGAATTCTGAATACATAAAAAAACAGGGTTTCAATCTGGTAGAAATGACAGAGTGTCAATGGGAGGTATGCCAACAAAATGATTTAAACCTGCGCAGATTTCTGAAGTCAGTTCGGTTGCCACATCATCAGAGAAAGCAAATGTCACAAGAACAGGTATTGGACTTTATTCGGGACGGGTCGCTGTTTGGGTTAGTAGAGTGTGATTTGCGAGTCCCAGATGCGTTGAAAGAAAAATTCTCCGAAATGCCTCCAATTTTCAAAAACGTAATGATCAGCAGGGAAGATATCGGGGAACACATGAGACAATATGCAGAAAGAGAAGGGTTAATGAAAACACCACGTAGAAGCTTAATTGGCAGTATGTTTGGGACTCGAATCCTACTCGCCACCCCGCTACTTAACTGGTATCTGTCACACGGGTTAATAGTCGATCATGTTCACGAGGTCATTCAATACAGAGACAACGACTGTTTTCGCAGTTTTGGAAATGCGGTTAGTGAGGCGAGAAGGGCTGGGGACAAAGACCCCGCCTACTCCATTCTTGCTGACACAATGAAATTGTTGGGTAATTCCGCCTATGGCAAGACTGTCACTAATCAACAAAAACATCTCAGGGTGGAAATATGTAACGACAAAAGCGCCGCAATATTTGTCAACGATCAGCACTTTCGAGCTTTGCATGACGTTGGCGAGGGCCTTTATGAGGTAGATTTGCACAAACAAAAAATGAACCTGAACCTACCCCTTCAAATTGGGTTTTTCGTTTACCAATACGCAAAGCTGCGCATGCTTCAGTTTTATTATGATTTCCTGATAAAGTTTATAGATCCCTCCCATTTCGAACTTTGTGAAATGGATACGGATTCGGCTTACTTGGCCATCTCAAGCGAGAATTTTGAGGAAGTTATAAAGGAAGACCGGAAAACCGAATTCCAACAAGAGAAATCCCAGTGGTTTCCGAGAGACGACACCCCGGCTAATCGAGCCTACGATAAACGTACCCCGGGGTTGTTTAAAGTCGAATGGGAGGGTGACGGAATCATATCACTGTGCAGTAAAACTTACTTTTGTTTCGGTACGAGCAACAAGATTAGTTGTAAGGGACTAAACAAGGCCTGTAACAACATCACTAAGGACAGATATCTAGATGTTTTGAGAACGCAAGTCCCTGGGATTGGTATTAACCGTGGTTTCCGGACTAAAGGTGGAGACATGTACACCTACAAACAGATGAAAACGGCATTTTCATATTTATACCCCAAAAGAAAAGTGGCAGCTGATGGTAGAGCAACCATCTACCTCGACTTGTAAAATATGACGACTAGAGAGAGATAGACAAAACAAAAAAAAACCCACAAAACAAGTGTCGCTTGATCAAATTGATATCGTACTTTCACTATCCTAACTGTACATATTTTGATATTGTATAATATTAAATGGCGATGTCTTTGAATTCTGTAATGTTTTGTTCTTCTTTTTATATGATTTGATTAATCCATTTACAGCGATTATTTGATTTTTGAGACGTTTAACTTTGACAGATTATGATTTGATTGAATCACAAAGAGTGGTTATTTGGTTTTGAGGTTTGTGTTTAAATTTTGACTTTAGTTACGATTCGATTGAATCACAAACAGCGGTTATTTGATTTTGAGATTTTGTTTGTTTTAATTTTGACTTAAGTTTAAATTAATTTTTGACTTAAATTTGGATTTGATTGAGTCTAAGGTTGAATTGATTGAACCACAGTGATTATTTGATTTTGAGTTTTTTTAATTTGACTGAACCACATATCTACAGCTAGTGATGATCTTACTTTGAGTGTTTAATTTAACTGAACCACATATCTACAGCTAGTGATGATCTTACTTTGAGTGTTTAATTTGACTCGTATAACTATATGTATACAACGATTATTTATTTTACTTTGCTTTAACCCATCCACCCACCACTTTAAAAGTAATGTAAAAACACAATTTATTAAAAGTCTAACTTGTATTTATTAATTTAAATAAGTAAATTCACCCCGACATCGTCAAATGAATACACCACACACTTTCTGATTTTGTTTGCCCTACATCAATCATTTTATTTATTCATTTTTTGTTTCATTCAAACTTGGAACTTTACCCACCACCATTAATAACCAGTATTAACTTTTAGCTTTTGAAAATAAGTAACTACATTAGTTCAGGAGTAGACTATAACAACGGTGCTCCTTTCTTGCTTATTTCAAATGTTACTCGACGAGATCGATTGTGTACTGAACAAGTTCAGTGGTGTTATCGAAAAGCATCGTATAGAACGAAGTGCCAATATCTGATTGATCAGCCTTCCATTCGGTCAAAATGTCTGCAATGATCGGGTTTATCTCGGCGTTCAAGTCCACCCCTTCGCCGCTGAATGAACTAGCGCCCAAAAGGGCAGCTACTGCGTGAAACATAGGTAGAACCCTGCCCGTGTCTAGTGACTGGATTGCTTCATCGAAGTGCTCGTCCATGAAATCATCGATGCGGTTCTCAGGATTCACGCCGAAGAAGAGGCATGCGTGGTCCCATTGACTTGTCCAGTCCTCCTCGCATCCTTCACAGCCAAGTTGTTCTTGCGCACGGTAGACTAGCCGAAGTATCTCGTCCGTGATGAGCTTAGTCAAGATTCGCTTGGTGAGTCTTCTTGCCCGTGCCCGTCGATCGACAATGTCCTGATTCGTAGACTCTGTAGTGAAATTAAGAAAAAAAGAAAGAAAAGAGTAAGCGTTGAGATACTGTGATGATTTAGACCATGTCTATGGCTTCGTTGATAGCCTTGCTCCGATCGGACAAATTCATCCATTCCTCTGCCGTGAGGTTCAGCCCCTTTTTTCCTGGCAGTAGTTTAGTTTTGTCTTCGTTGAAGTAGTATTCTCGTAGGTTAACGTACACGTGACCCTTGAAGCGCTTGACATAAACATAACGCTCACCTCCAATGTGGAATCTAACGACGTTCCTGTCGTTCTCTTCCTGCTCGGGGTCCGGGCTGAACTTTCTCTTCTTGCCGGGTTTTCCCTTGATGAACGGGGGTTCGGCGAGTTTCATGGGTGGTTTGCCGGACAGCTCTGCCATGGCAGCTGCCAGCAAGTCCGGTGCAGGCCCGGAGTCCGCCTGACTCTCCTCCTGTTGAGCTGGTTGGACGGTAGGTATGGCCCACAGGCTCTCTCGGGTGAAAACGTTGTAATAATACGGTCTCTTCTCACTTGCGCTGTAAGCTTCGCGCCAGCCTCTTTTCACCTGGGTGTGAGTTTACTTTGTCATACACTCAAACGGCCCATTTTCTAAACCAATGGATGGCGAAGATGGAGGTACGATTGGTCCTGGATCCATCTCTTTTAGAGGGCAAATTTGTTTGATTTTGCGTGCAGAAAATTGCGTTATCTTGCAGAGAATTCGATGTCTTCAGTGGCAGGCAGACGAATGACAATCAAAAAACAAACGCTCCGACTTTTATACGCAGTCCTCTCGTATCCACATCAATCCATTATATTACGTTGCGGGTTTTAACTTGTCCGAAGCATCTCTATTCATTACGGGTTATTCCCATTGTTCCCTCCGGGCTTGTCCGAACTTGTTTGTGACGTCACACTTACGACGTCTTCTGTTGCTGTCTTTGACTCGCCCGAGTCTACCTGTCACGTCATGTACCCAAACGTCTTCTACTTAACACACTCAGACGTGTCTATATTTAGAAACATATACATTTATCTTCCAATCACCATCGACTGTATAATTTAAATTAACCAATCAGCATTAAGCGTACTATTTGAATTAACCAATCAGATTTGAAACTTATCCCCACTCCGTTCGGTTCACTAGCGCGAGCTCACCATCGCCACTAACGTGGCTCGGTATATGAGGCCCTGCTTGCGACTTCGTCGCTCGCACACAACCCTCGAGACAAGTCTCAAGGCTTGCGCCACTGCCCACTCCGTTCGGGTTCACTAGCGTGAGCTCACCGTCGCCACTAACGTGGCTCGGTATATGAAGCCCTGCTTGCGACCTCGTCGCTACCACGGTACCCGCACCACTTCCACCAACCCGCACCACCCGCACCACCCGCACCACCCGCACCACCTGCACCCACCCTCCGAGTAGCACCACAAATAGGGGTCCCATCGACGCCTCCTATACTACTAACGTTTGAGGCCTTTCCGCAAGGAAAATTACATTACCGACAGATGGAAGTTGCCAAAGTTAAAGCACTTCAGTATGAATCGGGTAATTATGATGCCCATATTGATACCACACCATTTCTTGAAGAAATTCAGTGGTGGTTGACGGTTTCCTCTGATGGAGTATATTGTAATATAAAATTACCATCCATCGATATTGTTATCTCCACAGATGCCAGTAAACTGGGACGGGGAGCAGTCTGTCATACAGACAATTCTTATGCACAGGGTAAGTGGAAAGGCATCCATAAAAAGCTTCATATTAATGTGTTGGAGCTCCTAGCTGTGCAAAATGCACTGCTCAGTCTGTGTTCACATGTTCTCATAAAATCAGATAACAGCACGGCTGTATCATACATCTCCAAAATGGGGGGATCTATGGTTTCCTTAAACCAGATTTCGACCACAATTTTTAAGTGGTGTTTGCAAAAGACTATTCACTTATCTGCAACTCACATTGCCGGAAAAACCAATGTCACGGCCGATCTTCTTTCTCGTAAAGAGTTGAACAAAGAAATAAGTATCAAGTGTGTAGTCTTTGATCATATTGTCAAGCATACCTTCTGCCCTGACGTTGACCTTTTCGCATCTTGTGAAAATCGAAAATTGAATCAGTATGTTTCATGGAAAAAAGATCCATATGCTTGGGCTGTAGATGCGTTTACAATTTCATGGGGGAATTTATCTCCTTATATTTTCCCTCCATTTTGTTTGCTACCCAGAATCCTGGACAAGATTTCCAGAGACAGGACAGACTTATGTCTAGTAATCGCCCCCTTGTGGCCAACCCAAGCCTGGTTCCCTCAGCTACTCTCAATGTGTGTAGCACAACCAATCCAACTGCCACAGACTGCTCTGAACCAACCTCAGCAAAATCCTGTTGGGCAACACCCTCTCATTGTTCGCCTACTAAAAGGGATTTTTCATTCCACACCACCAAAACCAAGATATTCAAAAATGTGGAAAGTATCTACTTTATTAAATCACATTTCAAGTTTACCTGATAATAAAGATTTTTCGCAACTCATCCTTAGCGAAAAATTGGTTAGCCTGTTGGCTCTCGTAACGGCACAGCGAACTCAGACGCTTGCGGCCCTAGACATACGATATTTTGACTTTTCAGATAATGATTGTTATATTACAGTTATGGAATTACTTAAAACTAACTGTCCTAAGAGAGGTATCTCTAATAATAAATTAACTCTGCCAGCCTTTGAGGAAAACCATAAGTTATGCGTTTTTTCAACCTTGAAAGATTACCTTGGCAGAACAGAAAAGATAAGAAATTCTGTCACTGAACTATTTATTTCCACTAGAAAACCACATAAAGGTGTGACAACTGGTACATTGGCAAGATGGATGAAAAGTATACTCCGTGCAGCGGGGATAGACACAAATGTCTATACTGCTCATAGTTTCAGAAGTGCATCAACTTCAACGGCTTTAGCTCAGGTTGTATCACTTCAAGATATACTTCATACTGCAGACTGGACTAATGCCAATACCTTTGCAAGGTTCTGCAACAAACAAACAGAAGATTCGACCTTTGCAGCTTCAGTTCTTAGTGCAAACTAAACGAAAGAGTTGCACGAGTATTGGGACAGTTATTTTGTAATCTGTCTGCTTGTATTTTGTCTAAGTATCAAAATTATAATATAATACTAAGTTACATTATCAGAGATAATGGCTCTTTTGACAGTTCTTTGCAATCTGTCTGCTTGTGTTTTGTCTAAGTATCAAAGATAAATATCAATTAAGTTACATTATCAGAGATAATGGTTCTTTTATGTGAACAGTAATACTGACAAATAAAGAATCGTTTGGATTCATGACATTATGTTCTGGTCTTGAACTCACCTTTTTTTGGTTGAGCTTTGAACATGCATACCCTCTGAAGACTTGTACGAAGTGTTATGTAATAGAATTCAAAAATTATGTGAATATGAAATATGAAATATAATTTGAATTCTATGAATAATAATGAAGTACAAGTCGAAGAGGGTTCCCACCCAACATAGTGCGCTAGTTTACTCAGAATTTATGTTGTTTACACCCACCCTATAAAAAAAGGGGGTTCGTTCTTTTTAATCTGGACTTTGAAAAGATGCTGGCTCCTTTCAGCCGGGGTTTATATACCCATGCTACACTACCTCATTTGAATTACTATAGATTCTTTGAATGTATTGTGTGATCCGCATGCCTGGCACCTGAAAGGAATGCATACCCTCTTCGATTTGTACTTCATTATTATTCATAGAATTCAAATTATATTTCATATTTCATATTCACATAATTTTTGAACTTTACGCTATACATTTCAAGTCATATCAGTTAAAGGACGGGGATGTTTTTTTAGGGGGCCGCCACCGGTGATTAATTTTGTCAAGTTTTGCCTATTTCTGAGAGAGAAGTGTTTTATGCAAAAAAAGAACCGGTACGTGCTGGCAAAAATCAAGGAATTGGTGGACAATAACAAGAAAATTGCCGACGTGAATTAAAATTGATTTAAAGGGGAAGGAAATGAGGATTTGTTATCGGCATCAGCAGTTTGAATGGATGCGAGTCAGACGGTCTTACTCTCCCTCCCATTTTAAACGAAGTCTCATTATGAAGAATGAGTGGGAAGTAGCGAAGGATGGTCGACCTTTAAGGTTGCTAAGGTTGGGAATAAAGTTAAAGCCCCTGCCCAGAGCAATCAATTTTATTCATAAACTATTACCGCATGTTGAGGTAAGTCAGCCATCTTTATTCTTGAAGTTCTTCGTCTGTTCCCCAATAAAAGGTGAGTGAAAGAAAATCTTGTTATTTATTTATTTACATACTTATTTATTACATATATCCAAACAGTTTAAAACTGGTTCCCATTTCAATGGAGCCCTGCATATTTGATGACCACACAAAATGTACAAATACAAGACATTACAAAAAAAGCGAAACCGAAATGTCGGAACCATTGTTTTAGTGAAGTTCTGCATGTAGCCCTTTCAAAATCAAGGATATAAAAGCCAAATTCGTATTGTTTTAGTACAAGAATCATTCAAATCACTCATGTACTTTTCAAGTCACGGAATTTTAAACAAAATCTCCGTTTTAAAGTTCTGTCCACGGATCACAAAAAAAGGTGTGCGTTCTTTCAGCAAAACGAAAACAATTCACACACACATCCCTATGTGATTTGTTTTCGTTTTGCTGAAAGAACACTTACCTTCTTCTTGTGATCCGTGGGCAAAACTTTAAAACGGTGGTTGTGTTTAAAATTCCGTAACTTGAAAAGTACATAAGTGATGTGAATGATTCTTGTACTAAAAGAAAGCCTATGAATTGGGCTTTCGTATCCTTGATTTTGAAAGGGCTACATAAAGAACTTCACTAAAACAATGGTCCCGACATTTGGGTTTCGCTTTTTTTGACTCACCCTGTACAACACAACACAATGAAATAAAATAAAAGCATATGGGATTACTGCATGATTGTTAAGTAACTGATTTAAGCCTATAATATTGTTCAACTATCACAAAGAAACATGTACAGTTTGAAACGACATCGCTAACAGACTCCTGAAGGCCTAAGGTGAATTGAGTGAACACGACGAATTTGGACATTTCTTGTGACATCGGGATAATATATTTCTATACATTCGCTGATTACGGGAGGGGCGAAAAACCCGTAAAAATCCCTTTCGGCAGAAAAACGGAAAAAGTCCCATCCGGCTCATTATTATGGCAGCCAAGTTTGTTAACTCCGTAAGTCAGCAGAGATTTTCGTATTTTCATATTCGTATAATTAGGAAAGGCAGCGACAAAAACAAATTCTCACATAAATGCAGAAATATTACTGACTGAATGTTTTTCGTAGTTCAGATTTGAATGAGGTTAGAGAAGTCATGGTTCTCAACTATGCATGCAAATTATTCCATATGATTGTACCAGTTACAGCAAAAGGAATCTTCAGTGTCATGCCATGTGGATAGTCTCGTTTTAATCTGAATAAGTGATGTAAACAGATTTGTCATATACAAAGGAGTAATTTTGTTTATACATTTGTATTAAAACAAGAATATCCTTTTTATACTCAATTCTTTCAGAGAGTGATATCCAATTAAGTCTGGCAAACATATCGACTGATGGAGTTAAGAATGCACACTTCGGGATTATCCGCGCGGCTCTTTTGAGATAGGATAGGATAATATATTGGCAACCGTTAGGTTTGACTACATAATACACAAATTTTACATAAATTTATAACAGCTTAAAATACACATAAAAGAGATTAACAGATGCAAAATACCACAAACAATGATCCCAAGCTAAAACATAAGAAAACAAGCAGATCAAACAAAAGGAGATCGCGTTAAAAAAAAAACGGTTATTTTCAGGATACAAGAATTCATTTTAAAATTAAGTGTAATTATCTTAAAAACTCATTCAACGAAGCTGCTGATAAAAAGCTACTGATTAATAAGGTACAATGGGATATGAGAATTTTCAGACCTATCTGTGCGGGTTCTGATTACGTATACACATATTTTACATATAATTATAACAGCTTAAATATTGTCATAAGAATATTGTCATGAGATATGTACCGTCCTCCCCAAACAGTATACTCTAAAGATGGCATAACATTACTAAGCTAACAAAGAGAGAGTGCAGGCTGCTTTGGGGAACAAAGGCGCGTATTCTATTTAGCCTACCTAGTTTAGAAGAAACGGTTTTCTTCACGTATTTAATGTCTGGGCCCCAACTTAGTGTTTCATCAATAATTTTCCCCAAACATTTACAAGTGTTTACTTTCATTCGCGAACACTGTTCGCGTCGCGTGTTGGTTCTCGTCTTTCGAAACCCTGCGTTCTTGTGTTCATTCAACACGAAAAGGGGGTTTCGTATACGGCCTACTTTAATCGGAAGAGTTTATTTCTAAAGCGCGATAAGTCCGATTGAAACAGAGTGAAACATGATTGTGCACGTGTGTCAAAGTTTAAGGAATAAACGATATTACAGCCGTTTCTCAACTTCAAGTATTTTTTTTTTCGTTTTACTGTTTTCTGAAATGGTGTTTACCTATGTAAAACTCGTCGAATCTGACTTTGGGCAGTCAGGGGAAAGCGGCGTTTATCGCGTATTGGGAATAATACTCTTCATCGGTTCTTGCTACTGACAACATGCATTAAAAGTGGGCAAGAATGCATGCATTCAGCGGATATGTTGATACACAACTTGAAGAGTAATTTGTAACTCTCAGTATACTCGGGCTTACTCCGAGTCGATCGCTGCTTGTTTGATTTCGGATAACGAGTCACTGATTTTTGTGACTCGAGTGACTCGAGTCGAGTCGAGTCATTTTAAAGAAGTGACTTGAGTCGAGTTGAGTTATTAGGTCAAAAAGGTCGAGTCGATTCAAATATTTAGCTCCAGTCAATTGAGGCACGAATATTTGCACACTATATACCAGAATTTATAAAGGAGGGCATAAATTTAGCCGGCGTTCGAATCCAAGAGCTTTATAAGAAATCGTTCGAAGTCAATGATGCAACAACGAACTGCAAAATGTGTTTTAAATCCGGTTTCTTGACAGTATTTTGTGCGTTCTAGAACCATGACAAGCGGCTGCTGTTTCATATAATGTATTCGCAAAGTATAAACAAAACACAAATTTTGCACCCTAAGTCATTGCAAATACTTTTCGCAAAATGTGCTTTTATTTCTGGGACTCGAGTCTTATTTGCCTTCGCTCGAGTCGAGTCGAGTCTTCTGGAGGGACTCGAGTCGAGTCGAGTCATTTACCCATAGGGACTCGAGTCGAGTCGAGTCACCAAAAAATGTGACTCGAGTCATTACAACTCTGATTTTAATTGGTGGTAAGTTACGACTGAGAAAGCTTGCGTATAAAAGGAAAGTACCAAGTTATACTTTCTGACATTTGGAAGGCATTCCGTTCACATTTTACCCTTCAACAATATATACATTAAGAAATAATGTTTCACTGTAGACTCTATGGTCAATTAACTTTGTATTAAGCATACGAGATCGCATAAAGATTACATTAACACTCCTGCTTTCTGAACAGTCACAGACAGTCAAAGACCAATCAATCCTCTTCCATCCATGCCGTGCCTTTTTACACAGGCTAGTCACCAACAGTCAGACCGTATTTCAAGCATAGTAGCAAGCTCTGTGACTAGTCAGATTCAGTCAACAAACACAAACGGTAGGCACAGCTGGCTTATCAATCACTATACATGTATACTCAAGCCCGCTGGAACAAACTTTTGCCAGGGGGTGCTGGAATTTCTGAAGGACGGACAAAATTAATGCGAACGCGGAGCGCAAAGCCCTAACGGCGTGGCTTAAAGGGCCCCTAAAAGTTTTGGAATATGAATGCTCTGTGTTTGGGGCTAGGCAAGGATTTATCGGTCTGCTGAATTTTTATGAGGAAAAAACTTGCAGGGGGTAACACATGAATAGCTTTTTTATTAAAACGAAACTACACTGGAACTAGTTTCAATGGAAGCCCGTCCCACTCCTATTATGTTGGGATGTGTGTGAACCTTGCTAATTGTTAATGTTGAGTACAGAATGCTAGCAACGTCAATGAAACTTTTAAATGAAAAGAAAAACCTTCAGGGGAAAGGTATGAACATTTGCCCCTATTGAAAGATGGAATGAAAAAAATCCTGGCAAGCATAATCAACTTTGCCACCATTATCATGGCCGAGGTTATTGCTTTAGAAAATACTTCCTCCTGATATTTTACAGTGTTAGACGGTTCGAAGCGCCGCGCTTAGCCGCGGCAAAACTAGAAACGAACAAAACGAAGGAGATATTTGTAGAGCAAGCATAATGTATCTGTATCTGTATGCTACTGCACAATCGCCTATGGCTAATGTATAGCGCAGCGGCGCAAATTCAACGTCGTAGAACACTGCCAGTGGCTGGAACACATTTTTGCCCGGGAGTAGGGGGTGCTGAAGCATATTTCAGCACCCCAATCCAAAAAGTTCGGCGGGTGCAGCACCCACAGCACCCCCCGTTCCCGCGGGCTTGTGTATACAGTCAAAGCATAGCTGTATCAAGTTACATAAACAGTCACAGCCAGTCAATCCTACTTTATGTAGGCAGGGAGGTCTTAACTGTTTAAAACAGTCACCGTTTTGACTGAAAGGACAACTTTGCAAATGCAGAATGTTTGTTTGCTGGGCGAGTTAATCAAGATTTGCTTTTTATAAAGTTTTCGAGATTCAGACGAAAGATGCATCAGTTCCAACATTAATTACTTTGTTTGCAATGTGCCGATTGGTCCATTAATTACATCAATAATTTTATCGATTTGATCTTACTTAAGAAAATCAGTTCCATCACACCTAAGTATGTTCAAACGCTTTAGCACGTGCACTTAAAATGATCTTATAATAAGTTGATAAACATCACTTCTCTCCGCAATGACAAGGCAAGCAGGATCTTTACGTGCAGCTGATCAGTACAATCGCAATTTAAAGCAAAGCTAGAAACAATAATTTTATAATGATGATTATAACATGCACGCTGTGCTCCACCGATGCAGTTCGTTTACTCCCTGGGCTCTGCTTGCAGACGGTAATTGGGCGGGATGACAAACAACCACTGCGATTCCAACTTGGGTATGGGGTCACCATCTGGGAGCTTGAACTTGTACTTCTGGATCAAAGTGATGTAGAACAGGAAGAACTGTTTCTGGGACATCTGCTCTCCGACACACGACCTGCGTCCTGTACATAATATTGACACAACACTGTTACTGGTGTCGACACTGATTGTCATTGAAGTCTAATCAAGAGCCTGTGAAGATTAAAATCGTCATATCTTGACTCTATCCATATATTGTCATGTGCGATGAGATATATAGTTTTTTTATCCCTACGCAAGACCTCAAAACTGCATGTTTTCTGTGGGTGCGATTCGAAAGGCCTGTGGAATCGCAGTACATGTATCTTCTGAACACAGATTGTAAAGCTAATCTTAATCATTTTTAATTATATCGAAATAAGGTGACCAATAACAAAGTCTTGTGACATTTTTCAAAAGTTACCAACCGGTTGAGTAGGGAATGAAGTAATCTGGTCGATTGATGCGGCCTTGTTCGTCGATAAACCTCTCAGGTCGGAAGTTTTCCGGATCACCCCACAGCTCCGGATCAAAGTGGACCGCGTAGATGTTTGGAATGACCGAGGTGTCTTTGGGAATCTTGTAGCCGAGAATCTCAACATCGTCTGCGGTGAAGTGTGGGACCAGAAGCCAGAAGGTGGTATCCATGCGAAGGGTTTCCAGGATAACAGCCTCCGTGTACGGCATCTTCTCTTTATCCTTCAGCGAGGGCGGCCGGTCCCCGATGACGTCTTGGATCTCCTGGAAGACGCGCTGCTGCACCTCAGGATGCAGGGCAGTGGCCAGCATCAGGAAGAGGAATAGACCCCCGGCCGTGTCTCCCTGGTCTGGGATGAAGAAGAAGAGCATCCACAAGAGCTTCTCGTCCGTGAACTCTCTCAGGTCACTGTTGGGGTCACCTTTAGCCATCTCGATCAGACACGCGTCCACCATGTCGCGAGGATGGTCTGGGTCCAGGGTAGCCTTGTGATTGTCAATGTGCTTCTGTACGAACGCCAGCATCTCCTTCGTCATCATCTTTCCCTTGTTCAGTCGAGGGCTGAGGCCGAACTTATTGCAGAGGGGCAAAAGCGGCTCTATGTCGTACAGCATGAAGACCTCAAGATACCACGACAGGACATAATCCAATAACTTGTTGAACTCCTTGTCATCTTCCTCGTAGGTGGTACCAAGGATCATGGAGAAAGTCACGTTGAGGAGGCAGAGGCTGACAGGGAGGCCAAGCTCAAATGGCTTCCCGCCCCTTTTCTTGATCAGCTCGGCCAGGTGATTAGCTTCTTGGAGGCAGATGCTTTCCGAGCCGGAGGTACCATAGCCAAACTGACGAACGGTTCGCAACATGTACTTCTTCTCTCTCTTCCAACTCTCGGTGAAAGCCTCCAAGAAGACACCTTGTTTGAAAAGTAAACAAACTTGACTGAGTGAACAAAGCGCATCGGTGCCCAAAAAAATCCATAAACTAAAACACTTTATAATAATGTTATTTATTATCGTGCTCCATTTATGACCGGTGGAATTCCTTTGCGCAGTAGCACTTCGGGCATTTGACGCCTATTAAAAAAATTAGACCCTTGTCCTACCGCATCTTTGCGATATGTTTGCCATATTTTATAATAAGCAAACACAATTTGGTCACAGGTATGTGTTGTCCCTGCTAAAGTGCACATCCCTGAAAACGGGAGACATGCAAGCTCGCGGAAACGGGGTGCTGTGGGTGCCGGTCGTACGCACTGAAATAACATGTTGTTTAAACAACCTGTTTGCACTGCAGCGCTGGTACTGTTTTTGAAAATGAGGAATGGTCAAGGAGCGAGGGGTTAGTTTGCCTTCTAACACGAGTTAGTTCCTACCATTTTGTGGTCTCTGTAAGGCCAGGGCGTAACACGACGGGTTTTAGACTAGTTAACCACATTTTGATGTCAGGATTCTGAAACCTCACAAAGTCGTTAAAGGTTGCACAAAGAATTTAAAGGTGAATTTGGTAAAACTGTGACGAATGGTTTTTCACTTCGAGTTTCATCTATCGTTGACGTCCTTTCGTCAAGTAATGACGTCATCGTGCCAATTTTTGAGTTTGACATTCCTCACTGACTATTTATATAACAGGTAAAAATCAAACATTAAGAGCTTTACTACGGCAGGCATAGGCCTATTCCGATAAAATGAGATCCAAGACATAAGAAATTTTGTCTGTCATTTCCTTCAAGCATAAAACGAGCATCTTTCAGGGAATGCAGGTAATTCGGCCTAAGGAGCCGGGTAGATCAAATTTCGAGTATAATTATACTTACCAACATTTTGAAGATTTTCATTGACATACGTAAATGACCACACACTAGGACGGTCAGAAACCAATGCTGATTGCTTCACGAAGGCGTCTTTAATGGACTCGTAGCTGTTTAAAATGAGTATGCGCCTGAAAAAAAAAGACAATGTGAGTTTAAATGATTTTTAAGTGTTTAGAATATCAGCTTCTTAGTGCTGCAGAGTTCAGTCTGTACATACTGTGGCGGGACCCCCCCCCCCCGGCCAACCTGGATAAGTCTGACTCCTAGTGGTGTGAAAACAATCCTCCAAAACCAAGGCTCTTCCCTAGACGAGAGATCACTCAGAGCGACCTTCAAGGCTAAGGGTGCAGGTCCGTTTTGGTGGAAATCTACCGCGCCCAATTGTGGAAGAGTGTTATTTATCTCTGTTAATTAATTGCACAATAAACATGTAAACATATAAACACCGGAAGCAGAATTGTCGGTAATCTCAAACAACAAAGATCATAATTTATTCAACAATAATCAAGTACATTAATTAGGATGTGATTCGGTGGGTTGTTTTAGTAACAGGGTCTTTAGTTACTGGAGATAGCCCGCGGCTCGCCTATGCAAGAACGCACACAGCATTAAGCACTAAACGACAATGGCAGCAATGAGCAACTAACTATGCACAGCGCTAGTAATGAATCGCTAATTAAGTCAGCAAAACACAGCGTCACAAGCGCACGACAGCCGCTTAGCAATGTATACAGTCCTATAGCAGGGTACCCGCTACGCCGTGTGTGTAAGCCAGAATTCAGCTACACACACCAACGTAACCCCGTACAGCTACACAGACTTTGTACACAAATCGCGTAAGCAATTACACATAAGCAGAGTACAAGAAATTCACCTACTTCTCTGCCCGCTGTCGCAGCTACGCCCTATAGTTGAGTATGTATGGGGGACCCCCCCCCCCCCAGAACTAACTTTCACTAATTTTTTTGGGTGCCTTTTAGGGTCCTAAAACACATTTTGGATGTTAACAGTAAAAAAAACCGATGCGAAGAAGATATCCAAGATGGCGTCCAATAAGGCCGCCAAAATTGCCAAAAACTGGAAAAAAGACATATCAGTCAAATGATGTGCTAAAAGCATAAATAAAATGGTAAGTTATATGTTATTAACCCTCAAAAATTCATTTCTGGTATCTTTTTTTTTTTTGCTATTATGCTTCAAATTCAAGATGGCGGCCAATTTGGTGGCCAATATGGCCGCCATATTGGTAAAAAAATTGAAAAAGTCACATATCAGCCTAATAGTATGATAAAATCATCAATAAAATGGTAAAATATGGTTTTGACACTCTCAAATTCATTTCAGGTATCTCTTTTTTTTGGCTATCGTGCTTCAAATTCATGATGACGGCCAGGATGGCGGCCAATATGGCTGCCAAAATGGTAAACAAAAGTCGAAAAAAGTCATATATTAGCAATAAAATGAGATGCCGGGCGGACTTCTTGTACCCTCTTTTAGAGGGGAGTTTTTAAAAATCCCGCTTGTGGGCGATTGAGGCCCATTGTGTTATTACCGCATCGCAATCTCCCGGGAACGCCAGACCCACGGATAGGCCCGTACGAAGCCGAAGGCCGTGTGAGTAATTATTATTAGAAGTAATGTATAATCATTTGTTGTGTAGTGTGTATTGTGTACTTGGGGAAAATCTGTATTTTCACATTTATGATGAATGCCGTTTCATGGTGTAAGAAACTTGTGCATTTAAAGTGAAAACCGTGTTCATTGTGTGAAGTTGTAATATTTCACCAACTTATAACCTGTGTAGTTCTTGAATGTGAAATGTTGGCCCAACCTGCATGTTTATTAGAATGTACTTATGGATATTACAGGGCTTCCCGTAATCCTACCCTACGATGGCTAGCGGGGCGGCCACTGCCCTTTACTTTCACTGAAGTTTGACGTGACGTGAACCTCCACCTACTCTCCGACGGTCGGTGCGTAGGGGGCCTACCCAAGCAGCAGACCGGGTTCTGAAGCTCATGATGTTCACAGGGGGAGATCGTCCCACGGCGATGCTCAAGCCGGACCCAAATACTTATATTGTAATTAATAGAGCTGTGTCATACTTATATTGTAACAAACAGAGCTGTGTCAGAATTACGTTGTTTGTGATGAGGCAATGTAACGCGAACACTAAAATATTCTGGGGACAAACAGATGTTATCAAACAGATGTATATAATAATTTAATTTTGGTTTATTTCTTTCTCGTAATAAATGGTTTAATTTTGTGATTGATAAATCCTGTGTTGAGTCCACTGTTCTTTTGAGTTATTCCTTGATTTTTGGTCTGAGTAGAGCGGCGCAAGGGTCCGCTCTGCGACAAAAAGCATCAATAAAATTGTTAGTTATATGTTTTTTACCCTTGCAAATTCATTTCTGGTATCTTTTTCTTGCTATCATGCTTGAAATTCAAAATGGCGGCCAATATGGCGGCACATATATTGGCCTATGGTAATATATCAGCCAAATAATGGGAAAAAGTCATAAGTGAAATTATTAGTTATATGTTTTTTACCTTCACAAATTCATTTTTGGTATTGCTTTTTTGCTATCATGCTTCAAATGCATGATGGCGGCTAAGATGGCGGACAATATGGCCGCCAAAATGGTAAACAAAAGTCAAAAAAGTCATATATTAGCCAAATAGTGTAGTCAATAAAATTGTTAGTTATGTTTTTTACCCTCGCAAAATCATTTCTGGTATCCTATTTTTTTGCTAACATGCTTCAAATTTAAGATGGCGGCCAGGATGGCTGCAAATATGGCCTCCAAAAGCGGTCAAATGTGAGAAATATATATATATATATATATATATATATATATATATATATATATATATATATATATGCCAAATAATATGATAAATGCATACATTTAAATATTAGATACATGCTCTTAACCCTTACAAATTCATTTCAAGCATTTTTTTCGTTTTGCTACCATGAACCAAATTCAAGATGGCTACCAATATGGCTGCCAAAAAATGGTCAAATAAGAGAATAGCCATGTATTGGCTATAGATGTAAATGATATGTATGAGATGTATGAGTAAAAGTTGAGATGTACTTGAGACTTCATTGCATATCTGGATTTGTCTTACTTGCAAACATGTTCCAAATTCAAGATGGTGGTCTAAGTGACCGTAGTAAGGCCGGGCTTCCATCAACGGCTGGTTTAAGTATAGGCCAGACGGTAACTTGGCTTGTTAGTTTAATCTTCTTCAAACCGGTCGAGCAACCGGCCAGAGTCTGGCTGAGGCACCCACTTACTATAGGGGATGTATTGTGTTCATGCCTGATAATTGCAGGTATGTCTCAGCAACGAGGGGTATTTAATCCGCTTAATCCTCCAAGCCCTTAAGTGTGGGACTGCTATAGAAATTAACTGTCCACATTCCTCAAGAGTCAGTTTCAGGCGAATGGTTATGATAAATAATTAGGGGTTACTTTTTGCTTCTTCTTTTGGTAAATTTTACTTTGATAGACACCAAACTGCTAGGTAATACGCTAAAACGAAATATAATGAATAAATATATGCCAGCCATCCATCTATGGAAAGATAGAGCCTGGAAACTTGTATACGCCATGTTTACACAATAGACACTAATCCGCTTCTCTTTGTTTAACTTTGGAGGCTGACAGGCTGCATACTAGCCTTTAGTCAAGTCCCACGCCCTTACCCGGACACGTGACGCACCCCGGATGCCGACACGTAAAAAGACTAGGACGAACGGCGTAGCCGCGAGGGCCTTTACCATCTCGTGGAGAACACTTATGTTTTTTTTTTTTACCAATATGGCGGCCAAATTGGCCACCAAATTGGCCGCCATCTTGAATTTGAAGCATAATACCAAAAATGAGTTTTTGAGGGTCTAAAACATATAACTGTCGAGCGCAATTTGAGTCCCCTACGCAAGTTTAAACTTGCGCACGCAAGTTTAAACTTGCGCGAGCAACTCCCGAATTAACCCCCTGGAAATTACACCGCGCCATTTTAATTTGCGTGCGCACGTTACAACTTGCGCAAAGGCGATCGCAATTTGAAAACCTTGCGGGCGGGATTTTCATTAACGAAGAAAAAAATGTTCAAAACACGAGTACACGGAGAAATAAATTAATAAATAATGGAATAAATTAATGAAAAAAAAATAAATATGAAGGGGAATTGAAAAGAAACATTGAGATTTAGCAGAGCTTATCAGAGAAGTGTTCTGAGGGGGCGGGGCGGGAAGGGGACCAGTCAAGCAATCAATAAGCACGCCGATTGCTTGGCAAGTGAACTGAAGTTGTTCAATAATGGAGACCAGCTTCAAGTTTTTTTGCCTTGTAAAGCTATTTAGCATTTTATTTATATTCTTTAATTTAAATAAATCATTAATTTTTTTAGGGGTAACCCGTTATTAACGTAAAAAGAATGCTTATGATCCCTTCAATTGTTCAAGTTTTGACGTTATAGTAATCATTTACATTTTTTTTAAATGCTTTACTTTAAAAAACTTGCTCGTGCAAGTTTAAACTTGCGCGGGGGACTCAAATTGCGCTCGACATAACTAACCATTTTATGTATGTTTTTAGCACTTTCTTTTATTTCATCACATATTACCTATGGTACTCTAGCCTGGGGTAATACACATTTTGTAAATAGAATTTTTATTTTACAAAAACGGGCATTGAGAATTATTGATCATGTAGACTTTAGAGCCCACTCAAATCCTTTATTCATTAGACATAAGACTCTTAAAGTCAATATTTATTTACTCCAGTTAGGAGTTTTTATGTATAAGTTCTTTAAACATGAATTACCTAATTATTTCCAATCTACGTTTTGTATAAATACTTCTGTTCATCAACATTATACTAGACATGCCAGTGACATTCATATCCCATTTACACGTACTTCATTTGCCCAAAAAGGAATTCGTTTTCAAGGTTCTAAGTCGTCGTTTATTTAAGCAAAAATTGAAGTGCATCTTACTGAGAAAATATCAAAACGGTTGATTTGACTTGATTTAATACAGTTCATTTATATTATTTACCTTATTATCATAACCCCTCATGTTGGTTGATCTTCGTGAACAATACCCTATACTGCTGTGCAGCACGTCCTCGTCTTTGTCCTAGTCCTTGTTGCTTGTGTAACTTAGTCATTATTACTTAGTGTATAGCATTCAATTTAACTATGTCTGTTTAATATAATCCTTTAAGCTATGCACATTATGGGGGTCTCTACTAGACAAGCCCTGCTTTTTGGAGACTCCACCACTTAATCGCCCTTCATTCTAATTATACCCATTTTCCATGTATTGTTATTTGATTGAGTGGAAATAAAGTATTGATTGATTGAGCACATTATTTGGCTGAAATATATCTTTTTTTCCAGTTTTTACCGACTTTGGCGGCCAATATCTTCTTCGCATCCAAAATGTGTTTTAGGACCCTGAAAGGCACCCCAAAAAATTGGTGAAAGTTAGTTGGGGGGGGGGGGATCACGGGGTCCCCCATACATACTCCCCTACTAGCCTCCTATTTCCAGACAACCGGCACTCAACACCTATAACAGCTGAGCCCCAAAACTAGACACTCAACTAGCTATTATCTCACCTAACAACGATCGCCACAACTAGCTGTATCAATTATTCCCAACAACAAAACAGCGAGCGCCTTCAAAAACCAAACCAGCGCGCTTCCCAGGCACGCATTTATATAGGCCTTTCTTTTGTTTGTAAACATTAGCGCCATTTTATATGGGCTGCCGTAAGCGCATAAATTGAAGCCGTGGTTGGCAACATATTTTTCCAAAAAAGTCCTCATAACGCCATCAACACATAGTAGAAAGGCATATGTAGGATTATATTGTAGCTTTGTTGAAAATGTTGTATTTTCAAGTATCAAATAATATTTTGGTGATCTGTAATAACTCTTTTTCATTTTTGCAGTGTTGGACTTTCCATAGTTTTGCAGGCCGTGGTTGGCAAAAATGCAGTTTAAACCTATGGGAGTTATTGGCCAATCACGTACGCGCAGCAGCCCACGGAGCTCGTAAGCTCCGCCCAGTCACTGCATACAAGTGATTAAGCGTTAGTGTTATGGTAGACGTCACAAACAAACACTTTCCGCCACATTAATACATGTATACATGTACTTGAACCGTACATGATACCGTACATGGAATGATAGTGAGGCCTAAATTTCTCGCAAGTAAACATTTGTGCACTCTGATCATTTTGGTAAAATTTGAGAATAACAGGAATATTTGTTCTACACTGTGCAGCACATTACCAACGACTCATGGACTCCACACCTTCTTGGGCGAAGTAAAAAAAAAAAACATGTTTAGCGTCCCCGCCCGCTTCCTTTTTAGAGGCCGCCTCCTGTTTTTTTTTTTTTTTTTTTTAAAGACAAAAATTGATAAATTTTAACGATCTCTGACGAAAGAAATCGTATTTTTTAGACTTTTATACCGTGTATAAAGCTGTGGAAATAGTCAATTAGCACGTGCGTCTGCACGAGAGTCTATCATACCGTCACCGACACCACGAACTGACACCCGGTGGTCAGCGTTGCAGAAATACAAATCGGAGAAAAACGCCTTTAAAGGTTTGACACGAATTTACTCAGTAAAATGTTCCATTTATCTTAGAGGTTTTAGTATCACTCAACGTAAAAATGCTTTCACTACTTATTATAAACGTTATATTGTAAAAATCTGCTTAGTTCATTAGCAATTAAATGATTAAGATGGGTGTCAGTTCGTGAAAACCAAAATTTGCGTATAGTACATCCGCGTAGCGGTTGTTCTGCGCACGTCTACAGTGATATAAATAAAAACGGCTGGATTTGAGACTATTCATGCAGAATAAGATGTACGGTGTAAATTGAAAGCAAATGACGTGCCGCCTCTTCATCGTGTTTACTCAGCTGTTTCACGCGTGTTGTATTTTTACGAAATATTCCCTAGCTGGCCAAGGGTCAGAGATACACAATGGTGTTTGTTTGTGTGTTGATTCGAACGGAAAAAAAAGTTGTGAAGCCGTGGTTTGCACGTACTGTGGTCGATTTTCTGTTGCATCTTGCCCATAAGGGTGCATACCTGCAAATAAACTCCCATAGACACTAGTGCTAAATGCCCATACTTCAAAATTATTTTAAAAATACTCAAAACTCTCACAGGTATTCAAGCTGCACAGAAAAATGATGATCAATGTGTCATCTTTCATTTTCTTTTCGATTTTTGGTGGGTTGACCATTGACTTTTCGAGATATTTTCACGCAAAGAAGACGACCCCTATTTCCCCCAAAGCGGAAAAGTAGCCATCTTGAAAAACGATCCCTCCACAACATGGCAAAATAGCGCCACTTTCGAGCCCAATAGCATCCAAAATGCTCAGAATTGGAAGCCCCAAATCCGGGCCAGAGGTTCATTATCATATCTCTTCAATTCCCCAATTTTACGGCGCTCAGAACTCTCTAATATAGAATATTTTGAGGGTATAACTTTTATTCATGAGCTTGGCGGATCGATTTACCGGTGTGCACCCATAAGAAGCCAATATGTCATTTCCTGAGTCCAAGTGGCGGCCATTTTGAAAAAAGCTGGTAACCATCTTGAAAAATAGCCCGGCCGCGTTGTCTTGAAAAATGTGTCGGGCGGCCATTTTGAAAAAAAAAGGGCCTCCTCCTTCCTTTTTGTCAAAGAGGCAGGACGCTAAACATGTTTTTTTTTATTTTGCCTTGGATAATCTATCAAACATTTCGAAGACCACACAACAGAGCAGTTGATTCATTCGTCTCCACAGAGAACTGGTGTGTTTTTTTTACATTGGTGAATCTGGCTTTAGGAGAAGCGTGGATCTCTTAAACTGAATCAAGAAAATGGGCCCATTACTGCGATCTATTTTTTTTGGGGGGGGGGGAAGATTCCCAATATCTGGCTATCACTTGTCACCCTGTGCACAAACCCTATGAGACTGGTCTGAAAATTTATGTTATTCCTTAGTAAATACTTTCATTATTTTCCCTGCTAAATTTGACTTTTTAGGACATATTATCACTTTTTGATGGCTGATAGGTCACGGAAGGGAAAAATTAGTGATGGCCAGATGTGGAAATCTTTCCTTCTATTTCAATTTCATCCCAAAAGTGGAAATTTCAGGCAAGGGAAACAATGTTGCAACCCGACGCCACATTTTTCTTCATAGTCATTGCAAAAATGATGGGAAGACATGAATCTGGGACTGAGAAACATTCCAATTTTGTTAGGAAATACTTAAAAAATTGTCTTGACTCTCCATAGACTTTGTACACAACTGCTGAACTTCCTGAACTTGGCGTCAGGTTGCAACATGTTTTCCCCTACATTATGCCGAGGTAAATGTAGTACACAGAGAAGTAAGAAAAGTATTTACTTACTTTCCAAAGTACAAAGTCAGCGTGAACATATCTGGATGGTACTGCTTTCCAATCCTGGTGATATTGGCATTGGTCTGTCCAGAGTGTGGAGCGATCAGCAGTGAACTACCGATCAAGGGCCAGCCCCAAGGCCCGGGCGGCCAAGTGTATTTGCTCCAGTACGTCAGTCGCCGCCATACCACCGCCGTGACCAAGAAAGTCACTACCGCACACAGGAGGAAAGGCACGGTAGAAATGTAGTTGGCGTTTGTCAAAACGGAGATGACTCTGTCCGTGATCGCCATGTTGGCAGACAGATCTGTCTCTGATGCCGCGCCTAGGACTCCGCGTCAGCGAACCCTGGCTTATACCACCAGGCACCGAGTTTAGCTGTGCAACTATTGATAATGTGTCACCTTGACCCCAGTGCGTATGCAGTTCATCATGTTCATGAAGTAATGCACTTGTCAATAATAATCCGCGCCCTGGGGGACCCTCACGTATGTTTCATTTAGCCAATCATTTAGTTTGCGCGCATGCGCACTCAAAATATGAAATATGATAATCAGCAAACATGGATGTCTGCAGTCGCAGTTTGACCCACTGAAGTATCGGTCAACATCACGCTCGAAGTACGTTGATAAATTTTTCTTTCCACGTGGACAGGAATTTAAGGCAATCAAAGTCACTTTTGCAAACCTTAGCGCAAAAAAAACAGAGAGTATTTGATGCATTTTGTTTTGTTTTTCAGTGTCGTGTAAGGTCACAAATTCAAAACAGGCGACAGTTTAGGGGATAATTTTTCAGTTTTGCCGAGTAATTGTAAACTTGTCTTCACTGAAAAATGGTAAATGATGCCACGGAAAGTGCGATGTATAAATATCATTTAAGTCGGAAACCGTTTCATTGAGAAAAGTAAGGTCTCACGTTATTCGTTTTTTTCGTTGAATGTTACGTTAGTGTGCACGTACCTGTACGCAGACCCTGGAATCTGGCCCATAAACATGGCTAGCTACAGGTTTCCTTCTTACATCAAATCACCTGTAAAATGAAAATAATCTATCATCCTTTCCGATGGTACTACGGCTGATCTAAGGTAAGCCCGGCAAATTGTCCAAATGTGTAAACTAAACTCAAAAGCGAACGATGTTTTTCCTCTTCATTTTGTACGTTTTTTGTCCATAATTATTGTGTTTTTTTATATATTTGAAAAGGTTTTTAGCGCCGTTACCACACTGTAGAGACAATAATCTGTGTTCACTTGGTCTACTGATAATTTTTGGTTTGAATTATCTTTTAAGTACGTTTGAGAAGGATACATTTTTAGACATGAAAACCAGACAATTCCGCTACCGCTGTTTGCAAGCCGACGACGCGGTGGAAACCATTGCGCATGCGTGAGAAGACAACTAAATGCACGCACGGTCTATGGGGCTGAAACATAGCGGGGACTTTAGCCGGGGACTTCCATTTTGAAATTTGGAAACCCCCGGGTAGTCCCTGGTAAGTTTCAAGTGCCCCCGAAAACAATGTCCAAGAAAACAGTGTCCAAGAAAACAGTGTCCCCGCCCCGTGCACAGGGCGGGGACACTGTTTTCTTGGAACCCATGGGTAAGTCCCCGCCCCCGACCGCTGGGCATAACGGTTGGAAGTCCCCGCACAGTCCAGGCACTGTAACGCCGGGCCTAATGTGGAAGTCCATATGCCCCGGCAAAAGATGCCTGGCATATGCCCTAAACTAAGGCCACTCAATCAAGCCTTAGACAATCAGGTCATGTACACTACCCTTCACAATCAGTAGCTTTGTACATTTTATTCTCTCCAACTTCCAACTTCTTTCATTAATCGATTCACTGATTATCAATTTACCAGTGCATTGTTGTCTCTTTTTTTTTAAAGCAGCTAGTTGTACGTATCAGCAAAGAGAAATTGTGAAAAGTAATGTTCAAACTGTTTTATTTAAAATATAATTTGCTTATATAGGTTTTCTCTGCCATTTTCCGAATGTTCATCATCAGCCATCCAATTTCGCAAGAGTTTTATACATGTGAGTAAATTGAGTTTTTTGTTTTGTTTTGGGGACTCATTTTTGTTTTGTTTTCAAAACGTAAGCCTACATTGTAACATTCTTACTTAAGCTTTGGCAGTTTTTAACATTCACAGCATTCAAATTAGCAAACGCCTGAGCGCATGAGACGAAATTGAATGAACATTACTTTACTTTTAAATTTAATGCATCTTTTAAGAATGCTCGGACAGTGAAATTAAATGATTTTGTTTTATTGTTGATTGACGTTCTGGGTGATCATTTAATGTCAATCTAAATTGAATTGGCCGGGAAAACCTATAGTATAAAACAAGAAAAAGTTTTGTACAATACCCTATGCACCCTGAGGAGAACAAACTCTATTCTGCACACTTTATTAAGTGTGAGTTATTATTGCAGAATTGGAATGGTTTCAACTTGACAGCAAAGTGTCACACATAGCATGCCATGTTTGAAATGGGGAAAAAAACACTTAAGGGCAATTCCACTTCATACATTTTGTAAATAAAGTCATCAATGACTACAAGAGTTGTTCAGGAATTCAACATAGTGTTGTTTGGTGACGGGGATCCATTAAAAGAGATGACAAATAATCAACAACTTAATGGCTGCACTGACTGACAGTATAGTCATGCTTGAATGTTGCTTCCCTTACATTTGGCGGCCATCTTGGCAGCCATCTTGGATTTTGACGAAAATCGGTTATTGACATAAGTTTTGAACCAGACATCATAAGAGGACAACTTAACATGTTTTACAATTTACACGGTAATTTGGGAGTGAGGAATCGATTGGAAGTGTTATTTTCATAATTTGGCAGCCATCTTGGCGGCCATCTTGGATTTCGACGAAAATTGGTTATTGGAAGCAACATTTGAACTAGGCATCATAGTAAGACAAATGAACACATTTCCGGGGTAATTTGGGCGAGAGAAATCGATTGAAAACATTATTCGTAAGATTTGGCGGCATTTTGGCGGCCTTCTTGGCGGCCATCTTGGATTTTGTACTAGGCATCATAGGAAGACAAATTAAGCTGTATAGGCTTAATCTTAGCTGGAAATGGTGATAGTGAACCAACAATCATAGTATAATTACAGTGTGGTATAATCATGCCGGTATGCATGGTGACAAGTGTGGCCCTATCCATCCCCTTCACTCATTGACTTGCTGCAGAAAACTGTTGAGGAAGCGGAGGATCAATCGTGGAAGAACATCAACAGATTGATTATGATGAGTTATGACGACTAGATGTTAAGTATATGGCGATGAAATGTCATTGATTACCACTTCTCGCTCAAGATGATAATTGAATTAGAACAATTTCCTCTTCACTGTTGCTTTGTGTACTCATACCTCATAATTTGTGCCCATTACAATTACTGACATTTTAGTCTACTCCAATTTTCCACAGGAATATAACTTCGTCATGGCTGATGATGGTGTAGCACACCACATCCAAGCTATCACATCAGTAGATCGATCAATGTCTTTTCGCACTTTCTAGTGTGACTGTAAAACCAACTATTAAGTGGCAGTCTCTTACACGTTTCTCTGCTCATTCATATCCTTACACTGTGGTTGTCCCCAAGGTAAATACTCGGGGATACTCATCCAGTTTCTTCCCACGTACCGCCTTGCTGTGGAATTCACTCCCTGCTTCCCTTCCACTTACAACCTGTCCCAATTTAAGCGCAACATCAATAGTTGTCTTTCTACCCTATGATTTCCTCTTTGTTTTCCCCCTTTCCCCCTTTTTTCAGCCATCACCTTGAGTGGCCCGCTTTGGGCCTTGTGGTTGGCTAATTTTCATTAAAAAAAAAAAAAAAAAAAAAACAGCAAGTGCAGGTCAAGGATGAGGGCGCCTGAGATGAACCTGCCTACTCCTTTCGTCTGGTTCCCTTTTCAGTCGGGAAGTCATTTCTAGCATTTTCAGCCCTACTCATCACACCTTCCTGCATTCTCTGTCGTCTGCAGTGTGTTCCCAGCTGTTTGGAGATCCTGTAGGAGCCGACTCGAGTCCATCCTCTTGACGTGGCCCATGCCATCTAAGAGGTCTCATTCTGAATGATCAAACGTGCTCCGGACACCAGCATGCCCTAAAACCTCCGTGTTGGTCGCTCGATCCTGCCAGCTAATGCAGAGGATGGAGCGAAGGGTTGCAGTGTTAAATCAGCTTGGGTATGCAGGTATAGACACCCTTGGTGCAGTCTCCAAAAGCGTACTAGGAGCATGGAGTAGAACATACCGAAGAGAGTGGGAGCCACCATGCAGAATCCCGGGACATACTGTTATTTCGTTTTACCGTTTTGGATTTCCTCAAAAACAAAAACAGTAAACGAACCAATGACCGTTTTGTCGTTTTACAGTTTTGTAAAACGGCAAATGGTATTACGATAAATACAGTTGTTCCATTTTATCAGTTTCATAAATTTCATTACAGCATAACGATCAATGATTTTTGTTTTACAGTTTTACACAAATAACTTTGAAAAACAGCAAAACGGTCAGTATTCAATACAGACTGTTTTTTCTTTTACTTCAGTGTCATAGTTAACAATAACAGTCCGTTGTGCATTTTGTGGCGGTACGTACTTATGGTGGGCAAGGGGATGGAGGGGGACCATGACGGCCACGAAGAAGTGTCACCTCGGCATAATTCGTGCGTGTGTGATTCCTGGCGTGACCCTGACCCCCATCTACTGCGATTCAGTTGGTGGGGCTTGAAGAGTTGAAAGCAAAACATTTCAAGGGGGGGGGGGGCATTTCACAATGGATACAGGATGGTCCATGGTAAGATGTAATGTATGAAGAAGTTGCAGATGTGTTGGAGCATGGAGCAATTATTGTTCCATGGTTGGAGGAAATAGAAGTCTGGGGTTCAAGTCGACGCGGCTCTTCAATAGCCAATTCGCAAATTTTGTCGTGAGAACGAAATGTAAGGAGCGGGGCCAAGGCAATTCGCAAATTTTGTCGTGAGAACGAAATGTAAGGAGCGGGGCCAAGGCAATGACTCGATCCCAAGGACGCATTAATTAACATTCCGGTGCATTGCTTAATTGCCGAACCTAAAATCAAAAAATGGTCGGCAAGACTATTGACCGTTTTGTCATTGTCATGATTTTGTAAAACAACACTCTAAAAATAAAGCAACTAACCGTTTAACGCTTTCTACAATTAAAAACAACAACAAAAAGTATTTTTTGTGTGTGACTTAATACCGTTTGACCGTTTTACAAAACTGTAAAACGAGAAAACGGTCAATGGTTCGTTTACTGTTTTTGTTTTTGAGGAAATCCAAAACAGTAAAACGAAATAACGGTATGTCCCGGGATTAATTTGGCCGGAGGACCAATGCGAGCGCGGAGCGCGAAGCACTTACGGCGTGGGGTCCGGGGCCCGCTTAAGGGCCCCGGGAAATTTTTGATCGTAGATGCTCTGTGGTGCAATCTGAGGCGTTTCCTGGCCAATTTCCCCAGTTTTTTTTAGCTTTTAGCAGAAGTTTTTTAAATTATGAGGGGATATTTTGTTTCATTTGTTTCAAATACATATAGGCCTATATACTCTTGCTCTTATATAAAGTGTCTTCTGTATTCAAAGCTTAAAGTTGAGAACATGCGCATAATTTGTAATTGTTCCGCGCTCGGTCACATAACTCTCTTTTCCCTCCATATTTTTACATGGCAAAGGGGGGTGTTTAACAGCCAAAACACCCCCCCCCCTGCGTACGCGCCTGGTTGTGCCTAATCCAGTAATAGGCCGTGTGCGAAACGGGCTTCCAGAGCTACGGCTACGTCTATTGTCAGCGCGTCCCCGCGTATTTTCAATGGGCGCGGACCTAGACCTAGCTCTCGACAGTTGATTCGGATGCAGCCTAATACTGTTGAATTTACGTGAAGAATGTGGCAGATGAGCAATAATTAGCAATAACACAACAACAGACTGTCCAGTTTAACTTTTTACTTTCTTGTGATCAAAACATTTTAAATGGATTATACTTGGCCACAATATATCTTTACAGTAATAAAAAAAACCACTGATGTTGATCCGAAACGTACTATTGACACTTCACAAATTACATAACCCGTGCTAAAAATCAATCTAAAATTTAGGCTGAGAATTATTGGATGGGGCCCAGTTTTAAGGCGCTGCAAAGCAGATAATATTGATCAGCAAAATGTGTGTGCTTAGCAGGAATACTTTTACTTAGAACCACCCACAAGCAATCAGGGGGAGTTAAAGGAAAGTGACCGTAATTAACAATTTTATTTCTTAAAAAGCAATCAGATTTGGTACACCGATGAAGCGCCTCACAAGAGCATGTTTTTCCACTCATCTGAAAAAGAGAATTACTGAAATTTATCCATGCCATCCGAAATTTAGGCCCATAAATGTGGCCAATTTACTGGACTACCTCTGTAAATAAAGGCCACACTTGGCACATGAACCTGAAAATGTAGAACTTTGTCAAGTTTTTATTTTCACATTTAGACTTTGTAGTTTATTTATGCTTAAGAAGCACACTCACCTTCTTTAAAGCTATAGAAAATTATTCCCCCTTTTTCAGACGCCTCTATTTCGAGTAATTTCCAGGTTCATTTAGGACACATTAGCGTATCTAAATTCCAACATGAAATTACACGAAAAAAAGACGTCTGAAGTACCCCCCCCCCCTCCCCATTATTCCCCCTTTTTCAGACGCCTCAATTTCGAGTAATTTCCAGGTTCATTTAGGACACTTTAGCGTATCTAAATTCCAACATGAAATTACAGGGGAAAAAAGTCTGAAGTAACACCACCCCCCCCCCCCCCCCCATGAGAGATGGTCAAAATAACCCCGCCCTTGTAGGGTGAAGAAGCAGGGAATCGTTAGACAAGTGCTTCCGTTTTTGGCTTCTTGTGCTTCTTGGCCACTGACTTCTTGGCAGTCGGCTGACGAGTCTTCTCTCTCAATGACTTCTCCCACTGCCGTCTTTGCAGCAGGTACAGTTTCATAGCAGCCTGGGCATCTTCAACCTTGAAACAAATGAAAGAGTCGGTTAGTTTGGGAAAATAAATGGTTCACAAATTTGGATATAATTTTACATGAGATCAACTCAGGTTGGTTGATTTCAAGAGACAACAGACCTTTGACCAACTGTTAATCAGGTAATTGTTTTTTTGTGAACCGAGTTTCTGGTTGAACAATTTCACAGGAAACTGTCAACTTTTTGCCAGACCAAAAGGGCTAGCATACTGTCCTCTGACTCCCCGAGCCACTGACTGACTGACTCCCCGACTGAATCCCCCCCCCCCCCCGACTCACTGAGTCGGGGAGACTCACTCCCCCAGTCACTGACTGACTGACTGAGTCACTGACTGACTGAGTCACTGACTGACTGACTCCCCCCCCCCCCCGACTGACCCCCCGAGTCACTGACTGACTGACTGACTCCCCGACTCCCCGAGTCACTGACTGACTCCCCAAGTCGCTGACTGAGTCACTGATTAACTGACTGACTGAGTCACTGACTGACTGAGTCACTTTCCGACTGACTGAGTCACTGACTGTCTTACTCCCCAAGTCACTGACTGACAAACTCCCCGAGTCACTGACTGGCTCCCCCTGACTGACTGACTCCCCAACTGACTGACTCCCCGACTCCCCGAGTCACTAAGGCTGACCGAGTCACCGCATACAAACAACGCCATAACTGAGACTTACAAATCCAGCTCAACTAGGCAAGTACATTCTTGTTCTGTAAATATTATCCAGACAGGCAAAAAGTATCAAATAATTGACATAATTTGGAAGGGGGACTTTAATGCCAACAAGTTTGTGGTTCTTACCGAGTTGTGCTCTCCTTTTTGAACCTTGACTTTCAAAACGAGCTCCGTCAACTTTTTGAGGCCTGGTCTTTTACTCTAAAAGGTGAAAGAAAAATAAGCCAATGGCTGTAACATCAACCATGCGATATAGCAAAAATATTTTTAATAAGAATGTGCACTTGCCAATAAAGGCATATAGGATCATTTACAGTTATCCCAAAAGAAACCTACTAAATTATTATCAAAAATCTTATGTGGATTAAAGATCATACTGGTAATAAACACCCCGTGAAATTATTTCGTCGGCCTTGCTGTCATTTTGAGGAAATCAAGAAAGTCAGTGGACAGATTGTTGGAGTAAAAGAGTGCTATGGACAAAATTGTGTAGCAATTGATGGTTTTCGTTTTTTTTTTCCTCGCCCCCCCCCCCCCCCCCAAACCAAAAGAAAATTAGGGTAGGGGCAGTCAACAAAGGGTACGTAGGGTAACCGGGAGCAGAATTTTTTTCGGCCTGATCAGTGACACCCATGTCATATTTGTACAATATCTCACGTTATCTCTTACAAATGCCTGTTATATTATATTTGTCTATGGTGTCCCATAATCATGGATGAGTATATATCTCTCATCAGCCCATGTCAGCTCATGTCTGACTGTTTAAAGTCCACCAACCTTGAAAAGATCCTTGAATGGTTGGTAAGCTGACGTGTCTCAGAAATGAAGTAAATGCATGAAAAGCGAATGATCCCCATATGCTTTTAAATGCTCCTAATATATAGGGTCCTCCTTAGCCTCATTTAGCAACGAGCAAAATACTAAATTTAGGCCAAAAAAAAAAAATAGTTCTGCTTCCAATTACAATTACTTGGCATTTGAAAATAGGGTAGGTAGTTAGGGAATTTTTTGGGAGGAGGCAATTCTTTTGGTATATGATCATATTGAGGTGTCTGTGTGTAGTAAAGGGTGAAAGGTAGTAATTGATGGTTTTCGGGTTTTTTTCCCCCTCTTTCTTCCCCCCCCCCCAAAAAAAACTAAGGTAGGGGCAGTCAAAATAGGGTAGGTAGGGTAAGCAGAATTTTTTTTTTTGGTCTTATCAGTTACACCCATGTAATATTTGTACAATATCTCACGTTATCTCTTACAAATGCCTGTTATATCTTATTTATGGCACCCTACAGTATCTCATAAACATGGATGAGTATATATCTCTCATCAGCCCATGTCTGACTGTATAAAGTCCACCAACCTTGAAAAGATCCTTGAATGGTTGGTAAGCTGACGTGTCTCGGATCAGGCTTCGAGGATGATTGAAGTACAACACCTAAGGGAAAACCAAAGAGGCGACTAATGAATATTCATTATGTAGGAAGTTGTAGCAAACATTGGGTGCGTTCAAGTAGCTCATCCGGATCGACTCGGGTAAAGGCAGATGGGTTAGCCACAACAGCCAGCCTTCATGGCCGTAGCCACAGACAAAAAAATGATGTTTGAAATTGGGTTTTAGTTTGAGATTTACTGCTTTCCAGTCAGTTGCAAAACTCGAACAAGTTTGGCTGGAATTATATCCTCAAAAGTTCCAATGAACTCAATAAATGATTAGCTTTAGATTTCAAATAAAGTTAATTTTTAAGTCCACTTGAGATTTCCGCCGTCTGGCCGCCATATTCGTCCGATTCATGGAATGAACAACGCATGCGTGTGACATATGTCAACCACTGACTCTGCTTCACGAGCAGGGTCTGTGGTGGCTGACCCGGATGAGGCCTCAAAATGAGGTCAGAGCGATTCGAACGGCACAGGGCTGACCCGTGTCGACCCGGGTGCGCTAAACAAACACACCCTTTGACAGCGTTTCAGACAGGAAAAGATTATACAATCTGCTTCACTGTGCTACATGCGAGTATTTATGAATCCCTTGAACGCAAGTCCCATCAATGGTGAAAAAAAAGAGCGATAATGAAGGACTGCTTTGCCTGGTATCCTATAATGATATAAACAATGAACAGCATGCAGGGAACCAGTGAAGGGTCCTTCAAACAGGATGCTCTTGCTTGTAACACAACATCCTCCATGTTCTTACACCTAGTCCATTGATAACTATAAAAAATGATCCACGTTGTATTTTAAGAGTGGAGTTGAACAGCAAGCGTAAAAAAAAAAACCCAGATAACATGTTTTCGAAAAATATGCCACATGTCAAGAATTTAAAATCTTGTTCCAGTCAAATACCTTATTCAACCTCATAATTATTCAACACAAATAAGTAAGAACGAAATATCTCAAGAGCACTTGGAAAAATGCGCCAAGGAGTGGAAAAGACAAAAGTAAAAAACAAATCAACAAATCTGGTTGGCAATTAAGGTTGAACTCTACTTTACCTTGAAGTCATTATGAAGAGCATGCCCCACTACAATCCTTCCCTTGAGTAAGTCTGACAACTCCTTTTGGACTTTCTCAAAGTCTTCGCCTGTCCGAATATCAGAGTAAAAAATACAAGTAGAGACAAAAATCAACATTTTGTTACTTTGCCAAATCTGATGAGATAAAGGTTACACGATACAAACGCGTCTTGACTTCTCTGCTCTTGATATGCATGATAATCAGTGGAGTCATAGTTGCAGAGATGCCAACTTTAAAGACTACAAAATAGTAATGATTCTTCCTGCAAAGAGTAATGCTAATGTAAATACCTAGGACAACATTCAAGTTTTAGAGTAACCACAGTACTTTTCAGAGTAACCACAAAGTTGGCGTATAGGACAGCTGGAAGTTTCAAGAGTAGTAACATGCCTCAAAATCCTAATAATTACTCCAAAAGAGTAATGGTTGGCATCTCTGTAGTTGTGTACTGAAAAATCTCCATTTCCTGTCCAATGTATAGTGTAGTACCAACTTAAACCAACAAACGACAAATTTATAAAAACAATTGAATAAACCAAATCAAAAAGGTCCAACCCTATCATTCATAGGTTTCCCGGCTATTTTCAAAGATTTTCAAACAAATTCACCAGCTCTAACATTCAATTTCGCCCACGAAAATTTTTACCAAAACCGATTTAGTCATTTACCATTCAATCTAAAATTTGGTCACCCTCTTTAGTCACCGGGTTTAAAAATATTCATTGCAAATCAACTTCATTTAAGCTAATGCCGAATGGCAGCATTCAGAGATCAGAGATCAGAGATTCAGAGATCGTCTTTCTTAAATCAGTTAGATGAATTTGATTTCTGAATAATAAGGTTTGGGGTAGACGAGACGAAATTGAATACTCTGGGGCGAAAACGTGCGAACATTGTTTGAATTTGCTTGAACTGAATTTGAAATTGTCTGACAAAAGACAAAATTAAACATTGGGAGTAAACTTAATCGGTGTTCACGGACGAATTTGAATATTAGAAATGGTGAATTTGAATGATAAACGTTTTAAAATAGCCGGGAAAACCTATATTATATTTTTTCTATTCAGTGAATTGATGCCCAAGAAATTTGGATTCAGGCTCTTTGTTTAACACACAAGTAGGCACTTTAGTGTCAACAAAGTGCTCATTCCAACTTAACCCTTCTAGTTCACATGTACTCCATTGCACTATGACTCCATACCTTTCTCTCTGAGGTCCTGCGGCCGGATACCGCTGACAAACGTCCGGTAGTCCGTCACTGGTTCCCGTGATTTGACGTACTTATCGAAGACGCAGGCGCCAAACTGGTTCACGACAGACACGCGGGAAAGAACACTCTGCGAGCCTTTTGGGCCGGTACCCACCATCTCACAGTCCATTGCCAAGCACTTAGTCAGGCTAAAAAACAAAATTCAAAATTCGTGAAAAACCATCCAATAGATTTTTTTCCAGCATAAAATGGACATTCTAGCTTGAAAATCGTCTTGTCAGTACAACACGGTCGTAACTCCATACATCTGGGTTATTTTAAGCGAAATACCACCTTTTGACATTGAAAACTCGCGTTTCATGTACATGACGTCACATACCAATTTGCGAGATACATACTTGTTGCACGGACTCGACGATATGCCCCTTCTTCTGAATTTATGAGTGTGACTAACATTTGTTGCTGCACAAATTACTAAAACTTAAAAAAGTTAATAAAAAGTTACTTAAAAAGTTAATAAAAAAATTGAAAAGCCAAGATGGGAAATACAACTCACAAATCCTGTGCGTCCTTTCTGATGAGTGGATTGTAGCCCGTTTCTGATTGGACCTCGTCATCTAGTTCTGCGTTCTCATTGGCTCTGATCAGTGAGGGGTCAACATCGTCGAACCAGATGTCTGGCTTGCTACTCACAGAAAAGGAATCAGTACACTTGGCTTGTTAAGAGGTCCACATAGCATTTTTCAATGCTGAAATTTTGCAAGGTTGAAGGAGGTCAATTCACAACATATCAATATGATACCACTAAACACCTAGCATAATAATGGTCAATCTTACCGGATACTTTTTGCAATTTACAATTGGACTCTAATAGCCTCCTATCTTTTCTAAAATCAAGTGTCAGTGTTCGTGACTCATGATCAGAAGGTCAGGGGTTTGAATCCAGCTGCTGGTCATATGTTGTGTCCTTGGGCAAGCCACTTCACCCTCACTTGCCTCTCTTCACCCAGGAGTATAAATGGGTATCGGCATTAGCTGGGGAGTGACCTACAGTGGACTGGCATCCCATCCAGGCAGAATAGAAATATTCTCAGTCTGCTGCCATATGTTGTGTCCTTGGGCAAGCCACTTCAACCCCACTTGCCTCTCTCCACCCAGGAGTGTAAATGGGTGTGGCATTAGTTGGGGAGTAACCTGCGATGGACTGGCATCCCATCCAGGGGGAATAGAAATATTCTCAGCTGTTTCGTGCCAAGGAAACTGGAGATGAACGCCGGCCTGATGGGCAATTCGGCTTGTGACAGACTTTACTTAGTTTACTCAGATCAACAAGATTAAACAGAGACTGATATTAAGCAACCAAGCCTTGATATTTATGTGTTATTTCTACTGGGCAACCCAACATTTCTGTAATATAATTACACTTGGAGACTTCAAAAAGGGCTTCATGACAGCTCTTTATTTTGGGAACATAATTACCTTGCTTTTTGTTCCTCACTTGTCTTTCCCTTTCCAAATTTCCTGCGTCTCTTTGCATCTGATTCTTTGGACTTTTCTACAATCTGGAAGTCAGGGGAGACAAAATTAATAAAAAAATCAATTAAAATCATGGGAGCTATTACCTGTGATTATCTGTTTTTCAAGCATGCGTGTCAAAAGTTCTTGTAATTACTGTCAATCGAAAAATGATTGGACAAACTTTCAGTCAAAAATGTTGTCAACATTAATAACTTTTGCAACTTCTCCATTATTAAAAACTTGCCTGAACTCTTTCTGACACTTCTTGAGTTCAAAAGACTGACTATTCAGGATCTCTTAATATTAGTACAATTTAAAAAAAAAAAATTTCAAGTAGCTCTGTGTTAATCCAGTTCATAAGTAACTGCATTATACAGGCGCATGCACCACTGATTACTAGCACCCATTGGCTCAACACACCTTTGTACTACTTCAGGTTCCAATGGTTCCAATACTAATCTGTGTGCAGTGGGCGTGTTTTAAGTTTAAATGACGTCACACTTATGAACCAGTGTCACGGTCTCACTTCTCCGGCGTGCTAGCTTCTCCGAGTGGATTCGGGGGATAATTGAGCACGTTACAGTGCACGTTACATGAGCACGATACATGCTCATGTGTCCGCTGTGCTTACTTTTCCTCGGGATGTATTCTGAAGTCTTCAAGTCCATAAATAACACCCTGAGGGACACCCAAGAATATGTTAAGTAACGATTCCTGTGGGTCAAGTCATTACATGGTCTTGCAAGCATTCAATGTCCAATTTGTCTTTATTTTTGCAACCACAGTTTAAAATAAATATGCATCCTTCAAGCATTTTTGGTTATTGGGAGTTGCGTGTGCCACAAAAATTCTGGATTAGACTGGTACCCTGTAACGTATACTATGATACAAATATCCTAAGATCTTACGTGCACCAGTACAACCCCGAATAACTCAGCACACATTAATAAAGTTGGCGAAAATGAACACTACTGCGCAATTTTGTGCATGCGTGTTGAAGCGAAATTTCCCTCTCGGAGAAGCTAGCACGTCGGAGAAGTGAGACCGTGACACCGGATACACAGCTACCTGATTCCATGAAAGAAAAACCTTGTAATAACATCAGGAAATCTTGACGAAGAACTCACCGGCAGTAAAGCTTTCCAATTTGAGGACACTTCCTCCATCGTCCCTTTGTCTATATCCGTCTTATTACTACTGTCAAGTTTGTCTGTAGTGCTCTCTTTGGAAGGTGTACTGTTCTTAGCTTTCTTGACATGTCTGCTGCCCTCTTCTCCTGCAGAAGCCAGCCCAGCACTGTCTCCAGCCTTGAGTGCCTTGCTAGTCTCTCCACCAGTCACAGATACAGTCTCTTTGGCACTCTTTGACTTCTTGAACTTTTTAGGCTTCTTCCTCTTGCGTTCCTTCTGTCCACCAGTTTTCTGAAGATTCAAAAGTTGTGAAGATCCTTGCGGATTGAGAGCCGAGTTTAGTCCTTGCTTTGCAGCCTTCAATTTCAAGCTATGGACAGCTGCGTCAGAGGTACGATGATCAATTTCTGATTTGGTTTTCATGCTCTTTTCTTCACTCCCCTCTCCTGTTTTGTTTTTCATTTTGCCGACACCAGTCTTTTTCCCTGCACGCTTTGGGCTCTTAGATTTCCCCCAAGTTTTTGGCTCTCGCAGCAGGTCGCCGACTGACTCTCCACCGGGGTTCAGCTGTTTTCGGAGCCGTCGGTTCTTCTTCTGTCGTTTCTTTTTCAACTGCAGTGCTTTCTTCTTGCTGATTTTCGCATCCTCTCTTCTCACTCCCTTTCCTCCGGTTCCTTCTGCGTCCAACTTAGCAGGTCCTGTACCCATCGATGCATTTGCTTTCTTGTCCCCCGCATTTCCCTCACTAGTCTTAATCGTTTTCACCTTTTTGGAATGCCACCAGAAATTTTTGACAGTCTTTTTGGAACCTGAGTCCTGGCTTTCACTGAACTTCTTTGAGGAATTCTTATTAACTTTCTTTCCATCAGTGCTGGACGTTTTTGGAGCAAATCGCTGCTTGGTATCATCGGATTTCAGTTTCTTCTTTACTCCACCATCGTGAACGTTGGACGAACCTGAGAGTGCTCTTTTGCCCATCATTACAACTGTAAATAGCACTGACAAACCACAAAATCTGAAAAAAAATACAACAATGAATAAAATCCCATACTAGGCCCTATTTTTAAGTTAAAATATAAAACTGCAATATATCAATCAGTTTATCACATAACCGCATAAAAAACATATTTAGTCCTTTGTTGCTTCAATAAAAAAAAACTGTCTTCAATAAAAATATTCTCTATTATTTTCCCCAATATCTATTTACTTGTGATTGCATGTACTTCTTTGACAAGAACGCAACCGTGTGTTTATTCTACAGGTACATGTAGTTCTTGAAGTACTTGTGAGTCGAGTTGGCAAACAGTTGAGTTGTCCGGATAAGGTACAGCCTACTGGGTGTTGTAATGCGGCGCACGCAAGCCTTACTCCTAGAACTATGTCACGCGGAGCATCATAGTTCTAGGAGTACGCAAGCTTAAGGCGCAAAATTTTGTTGGGCAAAGGAACGGGCCTACAATTCGATATTACTTTACGTAGTGGCTATCGTTACGGCAGTAATGCGATTTTAGACTGCTATCGTAACATTTATAACTACCCAATTAACCAGAGCACTTCGGTGGCTCAATTGGTTGAAACATTTGACTACTAAAAAGTACTACATAGTACTACATGCCGAAGGTTCCCGGATCAAATACGCGCTGTGCAGTCTTTTTTAGTTTTTCTTTACTTTCATGTTTTTAATCAAATCTTTTTATTTAAGTAGTTTTTATTTTCTGCTTTTCAAATCAGTGGCTTCGGAGGATTTTTTTTAAAAGGGAAATAAAGTGAAAGTCGCAGAACCTTTCGTATGTTTTGGTTGATAGTCTGGTTCCAACAGCCAAATATCCTGTTGAATACCATGTCAGGGAACCAGATGGTTGATAGATTCACAATGGTATTTTTGCAATGCCGTAACAATAGCAATATCAGTTGAAAATTATGTACGGCTGCCGTAACAATAGCCACTGCCATCATTTTTTTTGTTTTTTTCGGGGGGGGGGGGATCATTTTAATTCTGGTAGGCCTATTAATTACATTTTGGAAAGAATGTTGGAACCTGACACTGCTTTTTTTTCAAAAAGATTCCCATATCTGGCCATCGCTAATTTTTTCCCTTCAGTAAATATTTAGCCATCAGAAGGTGATAATATGTCCTAAAGAGGCATTTTTATTTTTAGCAGAGAAAATTTTAAAGTATTTATTTGATAAGAAAACTGAAAACACTTAAAACATTTTCAGACCAGTGCAAAGAGTGAAAAGTGATGGCCAGATATGGGAATCTTTTCTTTTTTCTTCATATATCATCTTAATGAATGTCATTCTTTGCAAAAATGATGATAAGACATGAGAAACATTTCCAATTTTGGTAGGAAATACTTCTCGACTCTCCATAGCTCCATTGACTTTGTACACAAACGCCGCACTGAACATGCTGAACAATGCTGAAGCAGCGTCTCGCGTCAGGTTGCAACATTCTTTCCAAAATTTTTATTTTTTTCACTATTTGCGATAGAACATTGTTTAGTCACGTAATGGTATAGTGGTGGTAATAAGACTCTTCACCTTTGAAACAAACCATCTTGAAAAAGGTGAAAAATTCGTACCTGATTCCACCAATGTCTTGCACACACGTGCAACTTGCGACTATCGTGCGCCGTGTGTATTACGTCTGGTATCCTGTCATCATACGAGAAATCTGCCGAATACGTATGCCAATGTGAACGGCGCCAGTTTGTTACTTGAAGCGAACAAACATTTATCGTTTGGAATACCACTGTTGTTCCTCACTAACAAATGATCACACAACATTACCCACGATACTTAATGCATTACCTAGCTAGCTCTAAACCATCAATCATTTTTCGATTTGATCACTTAAGTTATATAAAAGAAAATTTTTAAAAAAGGTAAAATAATCGCCACTCTGATATGTGGGCCACTAATGTGACAGTCCGATTAATAAGTGGGAAATTAATTAATTGGCTGTAAAGGCGAAGGATGGGCTCCGGTAGAATTGTAAAAGTTATAACGTGCAGTTCATGCATCACATAGTGGAGCGAAGATAAATACTTCCTATGATTACTTACATCGCAACTAAATAAAATCGTTACCATCCAAATGTATTTCATTATAAGGTTGTGTTGATTTTTTTATATTAAACATTGTAAATTACGAAAACCCGCAAATGAAATTTCACATCAACCGACCGTTCCAAAATAAACCCTTTAAAAGCAACACAATCCAAAATGGCGCAGTCCTTGTCGGACGAAGAGTTCCAGCGAATGCAGGTTTGTTTTATGCTTTTCATGTAAAGAGCTTAAACGATGTCTCTCTTTTATAGCCCTGACATGTAAATGAAACATTTGATATTTCGATGTAGTTAAGAAGGATTCTTGTCGTCTCTTGCCTATTTTGTTTGTACAGTTTTAGTTTTTACTGCACTGGCACTGCCCATGAAAATTTACTGCCTCGGTATTGCCTTGCAGCGCTGTACCAGGCTCTTGCTCAGGGTGACCGTAAGGTAATGGCAAAATCTGCTAGATGAGCTTCAAAAATCTGCCAAGTCACCTATATTACACGAAATACATTATACACACTTATAGTTATACTCATGTGCAAATGTTAAACATTTTCATAATAAACAAAAACAAAAATCATAACATTTCCTTTAAAATTTAAAAATAAAATTAACATTAAAAAAAAATAACAAAAAACAATTAAAAAATTGGCATGTGTTTTGCCTGGCTTACAATGTCAATAGTCTAAAGTACTTCACTGCACTGTGTAATACACGTCAGGGAACCTTGAAGTTTTTCAAAACTAATCAGCTACATTTTTCACATCTGCCATATTTTTCTGTCAGATCACCAATTTTACAGAATTCTGCTAGAAATCTGCTAAAAATGCATTCTGCTAAATCTTCTGTCAAACTCGTTTTTTTAAAGAAAAATTCTGTCAAATTTAGCCGAAATTTGGCTAAAAACGGTCACCCTGTTCTGGCCACACGCCAGGTTCTCCAAACTACTGTACTGAGGAGTTTGTCCAAAATAAAATCGCAAATTGTTTTACATACTGTTGTATTCTATGATGTCTCAGCTTCTTTCCACCAAGTTGTTTAGTTGTCCTTATATCCATTTTTCCAGAAATTTAGGCATCTTTCTGGAGTCCATAGTGCAGAAATATGATTGAAGTGCTCAAAACTCACATTTTCTCAAAATCTTTGTCTTTAATCATGCTTATTTCAATAAATATTTGGCAGACGGCAGTCATGATTTCAAAAAGTTTGATATTTGAATTTTAAATAGAACAGAACATTGCAGTATGAAACTATGAATGTGCAACAAAAATTCAAATTTTAATCACAATGTCCTTTCAGAAAAGGGTCACTAAATGAACAGCACCCTCACACATTTTATAATGTGGTTTGCCTTCTCACAGCATAGTAATAGTCGCAACTATATTGCGGCTGACTGCTCATAAGATCAGACGTTGAGCCCGCCGCACACCTCTCCGATCTGTACGTTCAATGTTCTGGTGGGAACTAGTAAAAAATCAAAAAGGTGTTTGGCAGGCTTTAGGATTGGTATTTTAAAATTGGACGAATTTTTACGTTCATTACCCCAACCATGGAAATCCAACAAGAAGCCTATCCTCACATTACATTTCTTGTTGTTAAGAATAGAATAGTTAGTCCGATTCTAGTCCCAAAAATTGGGAAGTTGTAAAAAATAATTTGTGTGCACATATTCTGTTCATTCAGTAAGGATTTGTAGACCTTTTTTTTTTAAGAATATAGTATCCTGACACTACTTTTGTGGTTGTGTACAAAATATTATCTTGGCTAAGTTTTTCAGATGATGCAGTGTTGGTCATGCTTATCTTTTGATATATTTTGTTGTTGTTGATGTTGTTGTTGTTGTTTGCAGAATCAACTTCTGGAGCTGAGAACTTCCAATTATCAACTTAGTGATAAATGCAGAAAACTGGAAAATGGTAATCAATTTGAAAACTAACCACTCACACTCCGGTGGAAATTAAAGACAATTATTAAGTTGAAGAAAAATGTAACTCTGCATTAAAGGGGAAAAAACATTCCATGTGGCCAGTAAAACTTATGCGGGCAGGAATGATAAACTAATAATGTATTTCATGGAACTTAATAACAAGTAACACATTTTATGTTTTTAATTAACCATAGAATTGCCATTTGTCATTTTTACTGTCAAATTTAACAACATTTTATTTAAACAATTAGAAGAGAAGATGTTAGTGAGGTTCATGGTTTGGACCCCATTGAAGTCATAATTTTTATCCGGTGTGACATGTTTTTGTTGAATCTTGATCCATGTCTTTGCAGAGTTAACCAATCTTCAGTCAACTGCTTCCAACTATGAAAAGGAACTCCAGAAAGCAAATAAGGTACTCTCTAGTGTTGAATAAACTCATCTCACTTGTGAAGTAGGGGGAAAAAACAACTGTTTCCTATGGATATTCTTCTAGAAATATGCAATTTCTTGTCAAGATTTTTCATTTACTTTACTCTGTATTGAACTTTTTCAATATATTTATATGTCCAAGCTTATTTAATCTGTTCTACAAATTAGAACAGTTCTGATAATCATCCATTTTTAATCTCATTTTTCACATGTCCCTGGGAGATGGGTTAAGTACCTGTACAAACTTCAATGAAGACATGAAACTTGCTTTGTTGCGGTAATTTAAAGGGAAAATACAACATTTGCAAACATCAAAAAATAAAACTACCAAATCATTTTGAAATACCTTGCTGGACTGTTAGTGAATGACAGTGTAAAGCATCCTGTAAAATCATGGCACCTGGTATACTGTCATTTTCAAGAAAAGTGGTATTTTTGTATCAATTTCCAACGCTGATCGGCCGATCAGCGTTGGAAACAACTGGCCTTTTTTTCAAATACTGGCCCCAATGGACCAGCGCGCTTGTTTGCAATCAATTACAAACCTATGAACGGGTACGAGCCAGCTAGACTGGTTCCCTGACCTTACAATTCCCCAATGTATGTAAACTGCTCTGTTTCTTCTTATATGGAGTCAGGGAACCAGACTACAGGAAAATGATTGTTTTTCTTGGTTTTTATAGCATTTTCGAACCCAAAACCTCAAAAAAGTCAGTGTAACTATATTTGCTATATATTTCCAACCCCCCAATTCCATCCATTTCTGAAAATTACAGTAAAAGCAAATGATGTATATTCCCTTTAAGTATGGATTGAATAATTTTTTTTAAAAAAGTGAAATGTTCATATATTTTTTTGTTTCAGACTATCAATAAGAGCAAGAAAGCTAAGGTAAGTGATCAAGTTAGGAAATTTTTTTTTTTAACATTGATAGGTTTTAGTCCTAAACCTATTAACCCTTCTTTTGTTTGATCAGTCACAGACAGTCAAAAAGTCAATCCTGCCATATTTCTTGTAGGCAATGTGACTGTCAAATTCCATCAATAGACATAAGCATTTCACTGGTAGGCACAGCTGGCTTATCAATCTCCTACAGTCAAAGCATAGCTATATCAGGTTTCATAACAATCTCAGCCAGTCAATCCTGCTTTATGAAGGCAGGGAGCACTCGACTGTGTTAAAAACAAAAACCTGATTTATTTTGACTGCTGGGCTGGCCTTGTTGAAATTGCCAGCCATAGAGGGAGGGTTATTTACCAATTTTTGAAGACACTATACAGCAAAGTCTGTCACGGAACCTTTAAGCAAAAGCCCAACGAAAGTTAAACTGAGGCTGCAGTTGCAGTTGCATTGTGGGTAGGTCACTGATGTAGGTCATTGATGCTGCAGACAATAAGCGAGGCGTTGCTCCCAAAACGGAAGTGTGAAAGCCATTGACCCTCTTATTTGTTCCAAACAAACAGATTTGCGATTCACGTCAAAGGACAGGGTATGCAATTGACGGCTTTTTTTTCATTGACTTGATTCCTATTCAAGTTTTTATATTGTGGCCCAATCTAACAAAACGAGTCTCAAGTCACCAGAAATACATGAAGTTACAAGCTCTCAAGCATGTTTTGCACAATGGAAATCAATAGGAACTTTGACTTTGACTCTTGAGAACGAGTACAGATAACCGAGTCCAAGTATTTGGACCTTTGAGTACAAGTTTTGTGAAGCAGCGGCCGAATATTTGGACCTTCCGACTACAAGTATTAGTTCTTGGATATCTATTACGAGTACTTTATGGAGTGCTCAAGTGAATACAATTACAATCTGAAGTAATGAGGGGAAACTATAATCACCTGGTACAATTCAGTAAATATGAATAAAATGGGCGTGCGTCTCCAAGTGAGGAGACGTTTTTCATTCAAAAATAGATAACTTGATTTGTCCGTGATTGCTTATAAATGAATATGAGTACTTTGATGATGGTGTACGATATCGACTGGTCGAGTCCAAGTACTTTGCTTCTTGAGTACGAGTACCGTGAGTTGGAGTCCGAGTATTTTGATATTTAAGTACAAGTGCGAGTACGAGTATTCTCAAAAAGTACTTGAGGTTGTACTCAAGTACGAGTACCGAGTATGAGTATGACAACACTGGAGTGATCTATTAAAATGAAATGCCGTGTATGCTCTTTGTGATGCACATTTAAAAAGTATTCATAAATACCTAATACAGTTTACCCATTCCCATTGGTCGAGAGCCCGTCACGTGGCCGGTTTTAAACGGTTGATAAAGACCGGCTGGCTGGTCTTAAACACTTTTTTGTATTAAACACTTGGTATTAAGACCGGTTGGAGTCTGGATGCTGATAATTATCAGCATCGAGACTCCAACCAGTCTAAACACATAGTGTTTAAAACTGGCCAAACCCATATTTATTCCCTTACTATGAGACAAAATGTCCTTAAGACTCATTTTGTGGGATCCGGTCACATTAAACTACAAAAGCAAACTGTCGCATGTGGGTTGTGATTAAACAAAGTTTTCTATATAGAAGAACCAATTGTGTCTTATCTAGAGCGTTTGTGAATTGAAGAGCTGGCCCAGTTTCATAGAGTGGCCTAGCAGAAAATATTGCTTACCAAATTCTTGCTAAGCGAAATTCAGTTGGGTACCAGTTACCAGCATTACATGTCACACAACATGTCAGCTGGTAACCTGTTTTTTTTTCTGTGCTGAGCGAATTCGTGCGCTTAGCCGCTCCATGCAGTTGGTCTTTGTTGTAGCTTTTGATTAGAAAAAAAGTTGCTGGCACCAGTTGTCATTTTCTTATCTGATTGTTGTTAGTCATTCTTGACTGTCTGTGTTTGATCAGGATGTGGATGTGTCATTTTCTTATCTGATTGTTGGTTTTCATTCTTGACTGTCTGTGGTTGATCAGGATGTGGAAGCCTTGCTGTCGGAGCTGGAGAGTCTTCAGCAGAAACTGCACAGCCAGGAGGAGGACTTCAGGTTGCAGAACTCCACCTTGATGGAGGAACTCTCCAAGGTATCTTAAACCCGTTTCACACTGACGTTTCAAAGTCTTGTCGAATAACATTATTTGGAAGATTGAAATTAGTATATGAAAAGTTCAACGCGTGAACAGTTTAAGGATGGACTGTTGCAGATGCTTAGAACAAAACCAGACTGTATTAACCCTCCTATGGAAACATGCATTGTCAGCCTGGTTGTTACTTGGGTCAGTATTGGTCAAGACCCCCATTGGTTTGTACACAGTATGCCAGGTGTGCGTTCTTTCAGCAAAACGAAAACAATTCACACACATCCCTATGTGAGTTGTTTTCCTTTTGCTGAAAAAAGACTCAATTTTTTTGTGATCCGTGGACAGAACCTTAAAACGGTGGTTGTGTTTAAAATTCCGTAACTTGAAAAGTACATAAGTGATTTGAATGATTCTTGTACTAAAAGAAAGCTTGTGAATTGGGCTTTCATATCCTAGATTTTGAAAATGGTACATGCAGAACTTCCCTAAAACAATAGTCCCGACATTTGGGTTTCGTTTTTTTTTTTACTCACCCTGTATCATGTAGTAATGCTTCTGTAGTGTCAAATTACAAATCACCCAAGTTTTTCACTTTGTTGTGGTTACTGAATCGTTCAAATTAATCAAAAGTGTCCTGCCATTTTTTCGACCTTGTCATCTTCTCCAGCTTTGTACCAGCAACGAAGAACTAGAGAAAGAGGTCAGCAGGTTAAAAACAGGTCAGAGTTCATCAGAGGTCACGACCAACGTCGACAGTGACCTGCAGGGGGAATTGAGGAGGCTTCAGGCGTTAAACACTGTCCTGCAGAAAAACCTGAACAGTAAGATTATCGTGCTAAACATCCTATAATGATAACTCAGTTTGCCGATAAGAAACTGTCCATTAACCCTAACCCCCTAGGCCCTCTGGCTAGGATGCAACCTCAATCCTGCAAACTCCTCCAATTGCCACCAAGAAAAAAAATTGGATTCAGCCTCAATCCCTCCAAAATCATCCGTTATTTTCTTGAATTTAGTCTGTGGAGGGTGACCACTGCCTCAATCCTCCAAAATCCTCTGCCAATTACTGCTATGGTTTGAGGCAGTGCGAATAGCGTTTAGAAACAGTGCGGATGAAATACGAGAAAAACACAGGGCTGATTTATGCATGGCTGAACATAACCGATGCAGGATATGGCCTACTGGCTTGACATAATGCATCCTCATAGCTGCCAACTATTACAAATTTTTCGTAATTATTACGATTTGTTTGTTAAATTACGAAAATACGAATTGCCACAAAAAAGTTACGAATTTCCCATTTTCTACCTAACGAAAAAAAAATAATACTTGTAAAGTATCGTTTTTGCCCGAAAACTTCTGGCGAAATGTTGCGATAATGGATGGACTGGTGACAAGTCTAATAAGCAATGCGGTCAAGCACCTGATAGACATCAATGCGGTGTGCGCAGTGGAGTACTTGAGGACCAGACTAAAAATGTTTTCAATGGTGTGTCATTTGTGTGCACCTCGTGGATGTGTGGTTGTGTGTACTGTGACTACTTTTCAGTGATGATCGTACGAGCACAATTGGTCGCTTATTGCCGGGATGAGACCCATCAGTGCGAGATTTTAATCGTGGAATTTAATAAGAGTATAGTTGGAAGAATTGGTAATAGAGTTTGATTTTATCACAACGTCCAGAAAAGATAAATCAGCATGCGTTTGCAAGGTATGTTGGCAGGATATTTCTATTGCATATGGTGGTCCTAAATCATTGTGTGTAAAAACATGATACGAACTCGAAACTCAACATCGATGGCATGCATCTCAAAAAAATATGCGCACATGTTATTATTGTTGTTATTTATTTGACTTCAACAAACAAATACAGACAGTAAAACAAATTAATTTAAAAAAATATATATATATTAAAAAACATTATCCTATGGCCAACAGTACATTATTAATCACAACAAGAAGGGTATGCGTGTGTGTACATGTAAACCATGTACCTGTACTCGATGTTGGTAAAGCTGAAAATGACCGCGCGGGTTGATTACTAATTGGGATTTTGAAAAGTTGGCAGCTATGATCCTCCACAACAAAAAAGATACATCTTTGCCATTCATCCTCAATCCTCTAAAATCATCCAAAAACCGGCAGGAGGATTTTGGAGGATTGAGGAGGGTTAGGGTTAAGAAACTATCGATAAGAAACTGAAAATATTACTTACATGTATGTCCAAGAAAAAGTGTCTGTCTGACTAACTACAAAACCATGAGGTCAATTTTGAAAATGTTGGGTTGTGCAGATACTCCGAATCCTAAGCCATGGCCTCAACCCTATGAGTTTCATTTAATTTCAGTCACGCATCACTGCACAATAAGCAGTTGATCGCAACAACATTTTTGGACACTGTGACCAAGTTCCTTGCCTTATTCAATCTCAGTGCTGTGTTATGTAAGCCATGTAAAATGCTTCATGTTGTGAAAAGGGCTGCGGTTGGGATTGGAATCATTTGCCTGGCTATCAGTCATCATGGCAAGACCTCAGTTTAATGCTCAAGGGCAAATGATTCCAATCCCAAACCACATCAGCCATTTTTTCACAACATGAAGGATTTTACGCTACAGGGCACAGCTTATATAACACAGCACTGATACAGATTAAGACATGGAACTTGGTCACAGGGTCCAAAATGTTGTTGTGATCAATTGACAATTGTGTAGTGATGCGTGACTGAAATTAAATGAAACTCATAAGGGTTGAGGCCAAGGCTTAGGAGTATCCGCACAACCAAAAATGTTCAAAATTGACCTCATGGTTTTGTAGTTATTTTAAAAACAGTCATACGGACACTTTTTTTGGGACATATTGTTGTGTTAATAGGCCAAAACTTTCAAAAATTCAATTTGAAATGTCTACACATTTAAAAAGTCAAAGATATTCACTCTTGAAAAATACTCTAATGATAAAATAAATATAGCAAAATGAGACCTCAAAACATTTTACTTTAGCGAAATATACACAAAAAGAAACAATACGAAGGTGCAGAAAAAAAAATTGATCAAGATAACTTTGTAAATCATTTCATTATTGTTGCTTGCAGACTGGCGACATCCTTGTAATGCCTGTAAAAGTCTTCAAATTCATTATTATGATAACGCATCAAAAACTTGTTGTTTTTTTGTTCTTATTGCTAGGTACTCAAGAAAAACATGAAACAGAGATAGCTTTATTGAAGCAGACAATCAGGTAACTGCATAATGTCCCCTGTGCTGATGAATTTCTCACTGACGTTTTTTTTTAGCTATGTTGCCACTGAACTATTCAAAAATAATGGAAATTCTTTGTCTCTCATTTTTAAAGGGAAGATACAACATTTGCAAACATCAAAAAACAAAATGATCAAATTATCACGAAATATCTTCTGCATTGTTAGGGACCGACAGTCTAAAGGATCCTTTAAAATCGTGGCTCGTGGTGTGCTGACATTTTCAAGACAAATGGTATTTTTCAAACGCTGGTCGGCCGACCAGCATATAGTTGAGAAATACTTTATTAGGAATTTGAAATTTGGTTTGTGGGTTGTTTTTGGTAGTCTTAAGAAGCCTATCGCTTTTTGGCCCACGGGTCAAAGGTCAAGGTCACTATTGCTAAAACAATAGAAACATTGTCAGCACGATAACTTGAGAAATACTTTAGTTAGGAACTTGACATTGGGTATGTGGGTTGCTCTTGTTAGTCTTAAGAAGCTAAATTGATTTTGGGGCCGACAGGTCAAAGGTCAAGGTCACTATTGCTAAAACAATAGAAGTCTTCCATTTTGGTCGACACTGACTTTATAAAAAAAAAATGCCAGGCTGCCAGGGGGATTGCGCAAGTCTCACTTGCAGTATTTTTATGCCCCGCGGCGAAGCCGAAGGGGCATACTGTTTCCGCCTTGTCCTTCCGTGGGTGGGTGGGTGTGTGGGTGTGTGTGTGGGTGGGTGGGTGTGTGGGTGTGTGTGTCCGGATAAATCGTGTCAGCGCGATAACTTGAGAAATACTTAACATATGAACTTCAAATTTGGTTTGTGGATTGTTCTTGGTAATCCTAAGAAGCCTATTGCATTTGGGGCCGAAAGGTCAAGGGTCAAGTTCACAGTGGCTAAAACAAAAGAAATTTTGTCAGCGCGATAACTTGAAAAATACTTTACATATGAACTTCAAATTTGGTTTGTGGATTGTTCTTGGTAATCCTAAGAAGCCTATTGCATTTGGGGCCAAAAGGTCAAGGGTCAAGTTCACAGTGGCTAAAACAATAGAAATCTTGTCAGCGCGATAACTTGAGAAATACTTAACATATGAACTTCAAATTTGGTTTGTGGATTGTTCTTGGTAATCCTAAGAAGCCTATTGCATTTGGGGCCAAAAGGTCAAGGGTCAAGTTCACAGTGGCTAAAACAAAAGAAATTTTGTCAGCGCGATAACTTGAGAAATACTTTACATATGAACTTCAAATTTGGTGTGTGTATTGTTCTTGGTAATCCTAAGAAGCCTATTGCATTTGGGGCCGAAAGGTCAAAGGTCAAGGTCACAGTGGCTGAAACAATAGAAATTTCTTCAGCGTGATAACTTGAGATATACTTTACATATGAACTTCAAATTTGGTTTGTGGATTGTCCTTGGCAGTCCTAAGAAGCCTATTGCATTTGGGGCCGAATGGTCAAGGGTCAAGGTCACAGTGGCTAAAACAATAGAAATCTTGTATTTATTCTGAGATCATAGGGATTAGGGATTAATTCATATAAAACCTACAGAAGACACTAATTCTGTCAATTAATGAACGTTCCATGTGACCAAGGTACATGTAAGTTGATGTTAAAAGAGTGGTGTTATGTCATGGGAACAGTCACGGTTGCGGGGCATTTGTGTTTGTAAACACACCTGACTTGTTATTATTTATTATTATGTTGTTTTTAGTAGCACCAGTGAGAGCTCCGCAGGCCTGGGTGAGAGGGTACCGCCAGCTGGGGCACCGGGTGATGATGATGTCACGAATACGGAATCACCTGACATAACCCCAAAGGCTCCTGGGAAGAGCACGGACGAAGAGTCAGCACTTGAAGCAGGTATGGTGTCTAGGATTTTTGTTTTCATCCAGTTACATTTTGATGTCAGAACATTTAAATTTGAAGCTTCTGTTCATTGTTGTGATGATGAGTAATAGCATTCATCAAAGTGCCATTTATTTAGAAGAGTTTGTTTCCAAAAACACAATAAATGCCATTTTGTTACCTTTTAGAATTCCGCCCTCTCCTGGTTGACCAATTCAGTTTCGACAGCTGTTATATCGTTAAACACTATTTAACCACTTCGCGACGGAATTATTTTCGCAAAAGGCAACATTTTCCAGCCAACTTCTGATATACAGCCAATCATCACAAATACGAGGTGTGCACTGGAGTGTAAATTGTAGAACAATAGGCCGTGCACCACAGCCAATTCAAGATCAAAACACGGTCCGCCTCCACAGACTTCACGGACTTTGTGTGTGTGTACAAAAGACATGAGGGATTAGCATGTTTAGATGTCACCCGGAGGCGAGTCGAGGCAATCTTGACATTTTAACCCGTCAGCCGTGCCTGTGTATAAAACAGCCTGTTCGTGTTATCACGTCCTCTGATGCGAAGTGGTTAAGAATACAATAAAGTGAACAATTGTAGTTTAGAAACAGCTGATCTGGTACACGGTACCCTGTGGAGACATGTGCACATTAGGAAACAAAAGATTGTATACGTCCCCACAGAGCAATTTCTATAGGTGAATACGTCTCCACAAGGTTATCACGAAATAGATATATGGATTTTACTCAAAAACTAGGAATTTCCAAAGTGTGTTGATCAGTTGCAAATTGAAGTGTTTTATGTAAGGGATATTAAGTCCGAATTTCAGCCCAGGAAATTAATTCTGGTTAAAATAGGAGCATTTTGAAAGTACACTTTCAAACTCGAAAACTTTAGTGCACAAGAACAAAGAAATGACTCCACAAGGATACTCATTCTCCACAAGGATACTCATAATTGTTTCGTAGTTATGGGGACTTACACTCGTCGCCACGAGGTATTTGTGGGGACCGAAAATGCTACGGGGACAGCAGAAAGTCCCCATAACTCGGTCCTAATTTGCCTAACAATAAAAAACTTCCCCATAAGGCGGTGTATGCCTACCTACAGATTCCAGTTTGTGTGTTTCACTGTGTATGTTCCATAAGTTTTCATAACTGTGTGTTTTACACCCTTTTTCAAATGCATATATCGTGTTTTGGAAATAAATTCTTCTTGCCTTCATCACCATTGCTCTGAAGAGTATTTTATGTGAACAGCGCAATTCATTTAGTTGATGCACAGGCTGAATTGTTTAATTTGCTTGGGAATTGTTTGCGACTCAGTCAACCCAAAATGATAAAATAGAGGTCATTCTTAATTGCTCTACTTCTCTTGGAGCCTTCAAAATCCACCAGAATAAATTTTTGAAGGATTTGTGAGGTTTGAGGAAGGTACAGCACGGGCACTTTTGCCTAACACCGGGCTTGATGCCCTGTTGGGAAGTGCAGAGAATGTAGCCTTGGTTTCTTGCACAGTGCAGAATTTTGAATGAGTTCGGAAAGTTCACAGCTACTCATGGCCAATTATACTTTTTTGACAAAACTTTGCTGATTTATTATTTCACGAGCTGGATTTCTTAAGTTAGACCTGCATTTTAAATTTGTGATAAAGTGACCATACATCTTCGTTTCACATCAACTCAATTTAATATTTTCTTAAACTGCATGAGAAATAGAGAAATGCACATTGATGTTAAAAGTTTGTGACTGCCATTTTATTTCAAAAGCTTTGTCCCAAAGTTTTTATTGTTTTTGTCTTTTTTCTCACCACTCCCATGCATGCATGACATGTCTGCTTGGTGTCGCATGTGAACGTGTATCCACCTTTGTGTTATTGGTTTGCCAGGGCTGGGTAGTCTACTTGCTGGTGAATTCGAAGCTTTTCTGGAAGACGTAAAGTTGTCCGACGTAACTAGTGAATTTGACGATGATTTAGAACCCAAAGGTTTGTCGTTTGCCAAAGTCACTTTTCTTTTGAATGTTTGGGTAAAGTTGTAAGTTTTTAATTTTTAAAAGAGTATGAAAGATTTCATAAATATTGTCGGAGTGTAAGGAGGTGTATGTATGTTTGAGGTTAAATTTCACAAGATATCCTGATAAACTTCATATATGGGTGGCATGGTTTGCCCAGTGCCTAAAGCGCTTGCCTCTCACCGCATTGGCCCGGGTTCGATTCCCAGCTCCGGTCATATGTGGGTACAGTTGTCCGCTGATTCTCTCCTGTGCCACAAGGGTTTTTTTTTTTGTTCGGGTTTTCTGGTTTTCCTCCCTCCGCAAAAATCAACACGTTCGATATCTGGCTGTGCTCCGTGGTCAGACATGGGATGTATAGCAGCTGCCTAAAGTGCTTTTACATGCCTTTGACGTGGCCACATTGTAGCTGCATCCTTCGCAATTCAGCTTCTGCTGCGAGTAAGGACGATAAGCCACTCCCCCCTCCAAAAAAAAAAATATTTATATACATTTGTAGCTTTGTTAAGTAGATAAATGGTAGATGTAGACAAACTAAATAATTTTTCATTTTTTTTTTTTTTTAGATCCAGTCACAGTACTCCAGGGCCATGCCAAGCAACTCAAGCACAGACTGAGTGGAGCATTGGTGCGCAACATGGAAAGTCTGGTCAAACTCATGTCTAAAGGTAAGAACACTCTCGGTAGATAAACTTGCCATAACAAAAAATTATTAAAAAACTCAAATTGAGACACATGAAAAGGGAATAATGCTGAAAGATGCCAAGTAGTAAATAATGCAATAATAAAAATAATTTTTTTTTTTTTTAGTCTCTCAAATCATTTCCTAGAGCCACATCTTGAAGATGCAAGTTTGGCAGCAAAGACAATAATATGTGTTTGCTTTTAGACTTGAAGATTATATACTTACTCGTTGCAGTCTTTCGGACACTACCACTTGTTCATAATCCAAAGAATTAAGTTGACGTTATATTTGTTTCCTTTTTTCTCGTCAAAGGCCAAATTTCTTCGAGAAATTTGAGCTGAAAATACTGCTTAGCGTGTTTTAAGCGTTAAGCAAGAATCAGCAGGGAACCGGCTACGTACAATAAGCATTGCATGAGAGTTTGGCCGGTAACTGTTTTTGCTTAGCAAAAGTCTTCATGCTAAGCAAACTTCTGTGCTTAAAATTTTCTGGGTTTTTTTCTTTTTCATTTGCTGTGAAAAAGTACAAAAAAAGTCTTGGAGACCCACTCTTACGATCAATGTTGGTTTTGTGTCTCGTCCTCTTTGAACACATTTGTGATGCGATCAAGCTGAATGAGTCGTTTGTCCACCCTGGTCAATTTTTTTTTTTTTAAGATTTGAAAAGAGTACGATCTCAGCATTACTGCTGTGAAAACCGCATGCTAGTTCAAAAATGATGGAAGTCAGAACACCAAGAGATGTGATGAAGTGATGTGATGAAGTGGCCCTATTTTGGCCTGAATCTCCAAGTGAAAGTTCCCGACAAACGACTCATTTAGCTTGATTGCATCACATTTAGTGATCAGTGTCGATTGATGCCTTTCATTTGTTATTTTGCAGATGAAGCAGAACCAAAAAGTACTGACAGTTCCGATTCTGCAGCACAGGTATCAACATCAGTGAACATTAATTGAACCCTAACTCTGCTGAATCCAACAGGATCCAACTATATCATATACCCGATGGAGCCTGTTGGATTGAGCAGTAAACCCCTTGTGTACATTCCTGATGCAAAATGTTGGATTCAGCAGGCAACTGAGCCGCATTATAACGCCAAGTTGGACTCCGTTGGATTCAGCTGACAACTTACAGTGGATTGAGCAGGAAACTCCGGTTGGACTCTGTTGGATTTAGCAGGGTAGTCCTGAGGAACTACTAGGGGGTTACGGTTAATTTAATAAATTGGTGGATTTTTTCATGTTCAAACCTCTTTTTGCTTGTATGATATACCAACTTTGTAATGTGAGATAATCAGTACAAGACAAGATACCAAGAGCAAAAGAAGGGTATCAAAAAGGCCCAATAAGGTATTGCTATGCAGTTAAACACTGTATAGTTCCCATGTTCATAGTGCTTTTAGTGTGTGCTTGTTGTGAAGGTTTGATCTATGCAATTTCTTCAAATAATTTGATTCCAATCTTTGTTGTTTTTCTTGTATTTATCTTCAGAATGATGCAGTATTTTTTTGTCTTCAATTGCGAAATTGAATCGAATGTGAGGAATGAATGTCGAGAAGGTAGCTTGATAACATTCTGAGCATTTTGTTTTTTTCTTCTCTTACTTTGGTGAATGACAGGGAATGGGCAATTTGGACAAGCCATCCAAAGAACTTAACGGTGAGTGATTTTAGTACAAAGTTAGTTTTTGTTCTTCAGTTTATTTCATTTTTTTGGTTCAATACAATTGCAAAAAAATGGAGATGGCACCATAATGGGAGACTTTTGAGACGTTGGTGGCAGCAAACACACCGGTCCTTCTTCCATTGTTTGCGTCATATTAAGCATGCGCGCTTTAGCTTAAACATGACGGAAACAATTGAAAAAGGACTGGTATGTTTGCTGCCACCAATGTCTCAAAAGTCTCCCATTGTTTTAGAAACCTTGTAGATAGTTTTTATATTCTATCCAAGTAAGGAACCAAGTACAAAAGAAAAGTGATACAAAGTTCCTGAAGTTTTGAAGTAAAATCAAAGATTTGTGTCTGAATTTGATGTTGTCTTTTTCCATTATTTTTATCATAGTATACAGTGGAACGTCGCAATACGGAACACCGCTCCCCCGAACATTCTGCTTTACCGAACATTATCCTTGGCTCCCGGTTTTAATGTACAAAACATACCAAACATTGTTGTGGAAAAAAGTCAACAGATGAACAAAATATCTTCCGGGTGTACCGTACATGACTTGTATTAAACACTATTTGGGCCACTTTTAATTCCCGAACATCAAACGACCCATAGTTACAGCGTGTTTGAATGTTGAAGAGCGATAGATGGCTATTATTTCCCCAATGGAAAACCACTCTGCCCATTGCTAAAGTTTCCTGATGACTCCTCGTGCGGCTGTGGGATGTGAGAAATGCCAGTTCACTATTGGTCAAAAGAGGGTACCTGCGATTCAAAATCGCTATACCGAATGATCGTTATTACGAACACTTTCTGTGGATTCCACGATGTTCGTTATAGCGGCGTTCCACTGTATTTCATTAAATATCATAGATGCCTACTTGATTAAACCTGTACTTGACACTTTACTGCTGTTAAAACTTGGAATGAATAAATAAAAAATGAATACAATTTTCAAAATCAAAACTGAAATGCTCATCTTTCTCTTGGACAGATCTTCAGCTGATCATAGACACAGAAAGGGAAGAAAAAAGACTACTCAAAGAGCAACTCCAACAAGCAGAGGTAGAGTTTCTTCTTTTTTTTATGAAAACTGAGAAGTGAGTGGGTAAGCCTATATTCTGATGAATTTAGTCTCTTTTGGAACCTAAGAAAGATGATAAACCCTAACTACCCTAAAGTGCAGCTCTTGCAGCACAACAGAAAACTTTCACTCTTATCTAAGAAACTTCCTGAACCCGAGTTCTGTGGCTATTTTGACAAGTGATTTGCAGTGACTAAACACAAGAAACTTCCATCATGAAATAAAGTCAAGAATTTTCATCCCGATTATCTCAATTTTTCCTTTCCAGGATGTACCTTTCTTTAATAATAGACATAATGTCCAGCGCCTTGATTACCTAATTGTTGGTAGATACGTGCGCTATATAAGACTCCGGTATTATTATTATTATTATTCCAGGAATCTCACAAAGCTGAGGTTGCCAACTTGACTCAAGAAGTTGCTAAGGTGAGTATAGGCATTGTAACTTAATAATGAATTATTAATATCATTAATATTCATGAGGTAATAATTATATCATGATTATTCATACATCTGTTTAGTAATTTGCCATGCAAGTGACTCATATTCTTAGGACTTAACTTCAAACATTACTTGGTCAAGTGAACAGGCTAGTAGTTTGAAATTGGGCATTCCTATATTTGACATTTTACAGAATGATCCAGCTTCTTAGTTAAAACAACCTGACGACTTCTATGAATAATATCACTCGTGAAATACTGCCAGCACTTTGTTCCATCATTGTTATTCATCAGTGAAATTAAACTTCACATTGTTTTTTTTTTCATTTCAGCTGACAGAAAAGACAAAGAAGAAACAAGAAAGGTATATTTTCTAAATAATTTGTCTTCACAAGTATAAGCTTTTGAAAAAGATTATACATGTATGGTTATAAATTTAGGTATTAAATAGATCAGGCTTTCAAGTATTCCTACTTTTTCCACTTTTTCCTATTTTTTTTTTTTTACCTTGTTGCTACTTTTTCTACTTTTTTTCTTGAAATTCCTACTTTTTTTGTCACACAACTCCGAAAAATGAAATCTTATTGAATAATTTTCATAACAGTGTTACACACTGTCATATGTGAATCACACAATGAAGGGCTTGGGCGCAGGAGTACTGCAACTGTACTTCCAAGAGCTTAGTTGAGGATGGAGCACAAGTGTTGTGAGTACAGAACATGCCAAATGAGGCTTATGATGCTGTGGACATGGGTGAGTATCAATGAAAACTACTCCTGATAGCCTGGAAAAGTCCTACTTTTATTCTGACTTTGTCCTCCAAATTCCTACTTTTGACCCATGTTTTTTGAAGATATTGATCCTACTGTGCTACTTTTTGACCTGGATCTGATTGAAAGCCTGATCTATGCAGTTTTATGCAATTTGAAATACATAGCTGCCAACTAGTACGATTTTTTCGTAATTATTACGAATTGTTTGTTAAATTACAAAAATACGATTTGCCACTAAAACATTACGAATTTCCCATTTTCTACCCAACGAAAAAAAAAAAATGTAAAGTATCGTTTTTGACCGAAAACTTCTGGCGAAATGTCGCGATAATGGATGGACTTGTGACAAGTCTAATAAGAATGCAGTCAAGCACCTGATAGACATCAGTGCAGTGTGCGCAGTGGAGTACTTGAGGACCAGACTAAAACTATTTTTCAATGGTGTGTCATTTGTGTGCATCTCGTGGATGTGTGGTTGTGTGTACTGTATGTGAGTACTTTTTAGTGACGATCGTGAGCACATTTAGTCGCTTATTGCCGGGATGAAACCCATCAGTGCGAGATTTTAATCATGGAATTTAATAAGAGTATGGTTGGAATAATTGGTAATAGAGTTTGAGTTTGTCACAACGGACAGAAAAGATAAATCAGCATGCGTTTGCAAGGTATGTTGGCGGGATATTTCTATTGCATACGGTGGCCATAGATCATTGTGTCTAAAAACATGATACGAACTCGAAACTCAACATCGATAGCATGCATCTCCAAAAAAATATGCGCACGTTATTGATGTTTTTATTTATTTGACTTCAACAAACAAATACAGACATTAAAACAAAATTAATTTAAAAAAAAAAAAAAAAAAATTTTTTTTTTTTTTTTTTTAATTATCTTTTGGCCTACAGTACATTATTATTCACAACAAGAAGGGTATGCACATGTATGTGTACATGTAAACCATGTTCCTTTACTCGATGTTGGTAAAGCTTTTGATAAAACGAGAAGTTGAAAATGACCGCGCGGGTTGATTACTAATTGGGATTTTGAAATGTTGGCAGCTATGGAAATATAAAGCAGTTTTTAAGGTGAATTTATAATTATGACTTTCATTTTTGTTTGTATCCACAGTCTTGTGCAACTGCAGAATGAAAAAGAGCAGCTCTACAGTGACGGAAAGTAAGTATTTGTACCTGAAACTCATTCAGCACATTACAGCTGTGAATTTATCCAGTTATTATTGTTTGTGGAAAGGTGCTGGTACTTTGAGTTCACAGGTTGCACTTTTCATTTAACAAACAACGGAATGTCCGTTCAATGTTATCTCACAGATACATGTGTGACACAGACTACCCTGAAGCTTTGAGTAATTGGTGCCCTTTCGTTTAGATGTGGTCATAAACATATCTTCTAGTGTATTGTCCTTGCTCTGAATTGACTGCATTTATATCTTATTGCAATGATAAACTGGGCAATATGGCCATGTCTGAATTACTTTACTACGGCTTGCAATTACACACGAGTCTACGGTAGCGGCTACAGCTACGGTAGCGGCTACAGCTACTTGCCATAGACTTGTGTGTAATTACAAGCCGTAGCCAAGTAATTCAGACGTGGCTTATCATTTTAGAATGGTCCCATGCATAGATGTTTGTTATAAATGTTTGGTGTAAACTTCTTTTCAAAAAATCTGAAAATTTAACAAGTTCGCATCGGAGGACACGCACTGGCTGTTTTTATATGCAGGCACGGCCGACAGGTTTAAACATCAAGATTGCTTCGACTCGCCTCCGGGTGACGTCTAAACACGCTCATCCCTCATGCCTTTTGTACACACACACAAAGTCTGTGAAGTCTGTGGAGGCGGACCGTGTGTTGATCTTGAACTGGCCGCTGTGCACGGCCTATTGTTGTACAATTTACGCTCCAGTGCAACCCCGAAGTATTGAAACATACAAGGTTTCGGCAAGAAATATTGTACGAATACTGTTGAAATGACTCTTGCGAATCAGTATTTGTGGTGTTTGGCTGTTTATCAGAAGTTGGCTGAAATGTTTTTCCTTGTGCGAAGATCGAAATTTTCGGCAAAAAAAATCCCGGCGCGAAGTGGTTAATGTATCAGAAAAGTCATTGGTTTAATATGCAATTTCAAGTAATTTTGTTTTGTTTTTTCCCATAAAAATACATTATGGGAAGGAAGGAAAAAACAAGAACTGAGGGAACAAAATCAGGCATTTAGGCTTTTGAAGTCAGTTTTATATTAATTCAGGTTTTCATTTCAACATGCTGATTTGTTGTAGAATAATTTATCAGAAATTAATTTTGTGGTTTTTTTAATTGTTTTTCTTTTCTTCTTCAGGAAGCAACTTGATAATCTGCAAACTTCAAAGGAGAAGGAAGCAGAGGTAAAAATCATTGCTTTTAGAATTTTTTAAGTTAAAACCTCTAGAACTCTGTTGACTGTTCAAATGTGTTTTTTTTTGTTGAGATTTTCTTTCAAACCATTCCTTTCATTCTTCAGTTAGAATTTGTTGTGTAAGCTATTAATCCTCCTGTGCAAGCATACATTCTGTGCCAAGTAGTCCTTTCAGTCAAAATCAAGCAAGTGACTGTTTTCAACAGTTAAGAATTCCCAGCCTATATAAAGCAGGATTGACTGGCTGGGACTGTTTAAGTAACATGTCACAGCTATGCTTTGGCTCCAGGTGAGTGATAAAACAGCTGTGAGCACAACTTGCCTGCCTTGTCTGTTGACCCAGTTTGACTAGTCGCAGTGCTTGCTTGAGATATGATCTGACTGCTGGTGACTAGCCTTTGTTGGAAGTATAGCAGGGGAAGTAGAAGTGAATTTTTAATGTTTAAATAGCAGAAGGGTTAATGTGAGTAGGCCACACAAAGTTATCTACAGTTTCTGCACAGAGACCTTTGGAAAGGTCTCTGTACACGAACTGTGCACAAAGGTCTCTGTGCCAAAGCTTTGGCCAAAAAAAAAGAAGTTCTGCTTCCGATTACCCAACCGACCCTATTTTGACCCTACCAACCCTATTTTTAATTTCTTGGTCTTTTTTGACAGGACTTGAAGAAAGAGAAGTTGAAAGTGCTGGAGGAATTGACAAAAGCCAAGCAGGTAAGTAAACACTGACAAGTCTTCTCACTTGGGCATCTATATGGTGTCAAACTCATTTTCCTTGGGCTAAAAATGGTTCTTTGTTATGTAGAATTTTCTGCAGTGTCTGAAAACATGCATAATTAAGTCAGGTCAACGAATTGGTCAGAGGAGCAAGACTTAAACCGGTGTTGAACAGGGTGAGTAAAAAAAAAAACGAAACCCAAATGTTGGGACCATTGTTTTAGGGAAGTTCTGCATGTAGCATTTTCAAAATCTAGGATATAAAAGCCCAATTCATAAGCTTTGTTTTAGTACAAGAATCATTCAAATCACTCTTGTACTTGTCAAGTTACGGAATTTTAAACACAACCACCGTTTTAAGGTTCTGTCCACGGATCACAAAAAAAGGTGTGCGTTCTTTCACCAAAACGAAAACAATTCACACACATCCCTATGTGATTTGTTTTCGTTTTGCTGAAAGAACACTGAACTTTGTTGTGATCCGTGGACAGAACCTTAAAACGGTGGCTGTGTTTAAAATTCCGTAACTTGAAGAGTGCATGAGTGATTGGAATGATTCTTGTACTAAAAGAAAGCTTTTGAATTGTGCTTTCATATTCTAGATTTTGAAAGTGCTACATGCAAAACTTCAATAAAACAATAGTCCCCACATTTGGGTTTCGCTTTTTGACTCACCCTGTATAAATAATGTATTTTTCTCAACTGAAATTCTACATGAAAAACAGTGAACGAGGATTAAATTAAGGCTGAAACGATACATCGATATATCGGTGCATCGCGATACATTCGTTCACGATATGATATATCGGTACGAATGTTTGATATGGATATTATTAATAATAATATAATAAATAACAGCGACAGCGCACCGAAAGAAAATTGCAAGCAACTGCGATGCATGAGAAGCACGAAATGTAAAAATAATAATGCGAAGAATAAAAATAAGATTCACATGTGTATTTAATGTACTACTACTGGTACAAGAAGAGATGTGTTGCTGAAATGAATTATCAATTAATAAAGTTATTAACAAACCGAAACCAAAACCGAGCGGTATAAAGTACGGTGAAAGCTGTCTTAGACGCTTGCGGCCAGCCGTACGTGATACTCCATGGTGATACCATGGAGGATTCCTCCATCGTGATACTAGTGCAGCTGCTGATATGCGGCATGCTTAATTCCCCAGCGGACCACACCATTTGTGGTAATGAAGGGGTGGTGTTCTTTCTTGGGAACAATAATTACCAATATTTCCGCTGATTAAAAAAAGAAAAATGACGACTAATACTTGTTATGGTGTTCGAAATATTTCTTTATTAGATAATAAGTTGTTCAACGTCACAATATATTTTTTTTTCTTGAAATGTATTCAAGAAACGATGTAAAACTAAAAAAGGGGACTGAATCACCCCTTGCAAAAGTAATGGATTCGCCCATGAAAATGTCAGCATCGTTTCCTACGGCACTACAGGACAAGATCTTTGGTTTTGATTTTTTGAAGAAAGTTACGATCGAAACTTGAACTTTCAACGTAACTACTTGCTAGTAATCACACAAATTTGATAAGTTTTGAAGTAAAACGGGACCTGTTTAGTCTTAGGGCAAAACAAATCAGCAACTGTTTCCACAAAAGCAAGATTTGTAACGCTCCAGTCAGACATGGAGGAAGGAACACAGACAACACACGGTGGGTTGCATACTCTCTCACGTGCTGCAGGAAAATGTTGTCATTCACCGGCTCAGGCTGCCGGGCCATGCATTAACTTTTAAGGCCGGGGTCCGGACGGGGCAGCCGGCAGTAATTCCCGTAGTTTATTTCTCATCATCAATTTCCATATTTGTTTGTAAGAGTATCGATTGTAAATGATTTGATATAACTTTTGTGGCCCTTTTTATAGCTCTGTAGTGTAAATGGAACTGGTTCAGAGCATTTTGACTAGAATTTGGAGGCCTTACAAAATTGAAACCACTGCGGTCGGTGCGGCTTATACGCCGCGTGGCTTATATTCCGAAAATTACGGTAGTACCTTACTGTATTTGTGTATTATCAGAAACGAGTAGAGACAGATTAAAGAGGACTTAGACCCTGATTAAGTTCATCTGTTATGATTTTATTAATTTTTTTATACCAAGATATATCGCGATATATATCGTATCGTTTGATATGTATCGTGATACGTATCGTATCGTGACACAGGCGTATCGTTTCAGCCTTAGATTAAATAAAATTGTATTTGTCCAAAAACAAAGAAAAAGTAATGCAGAAATGTGCATTGAGACATTTGTATCAATTTCTCTCATTGAATCGCACATCTGTTAAATTTGCACGTTGAAGACCATGGCTGAACAGAACGACAACAACCAACAGAGAATACAGGAGCTGGAGACAACCATCAGGACACTCAATACCCAGGTAATGTAAACAGAAGACAAACAAACAAACAGACAGACGGACAAACAGCACAAGAGTTTTTTGAACTTGTTCCCAACTGCTGACTATTTATAGCTTAATCCGGCGAAGAAACTTAGAAGCCATTGAGATGGTGCCACACTCACAGCACGCCACATACGTTCTTAATGACAAGACCCGTGTACATTTTGGTAACACTTTTGGTCAGAGGGGCATGGAGTACTACCTGAGTGCGACTCACGCAAACCTGGGGCATGTTTTCGCGACCGTGACCAGAAACATGTTTCGGCTTTGGTCATTGGTTGAGTGTTTTTGTGACTTTGGTTGGCTGGAGTGACGTCACTATTCCGACCAAAACCGAACCAAGGCCAAGGGTCGGTTACGGAGTGCATTTCAAAATGGCGGAAAGATAATCGCACGACATGTAACAACATGTAAGTGGCCTGTAATAAATGTCTATACAACTTACAAGCCCAAAAGGTATTATCCCGAATTTCGCCGGCACTGACCACGATCACCTAAAATTATCGATGTTGTCAAAATGTCCGCCATTTTTTTTGACAACTTTTTGACACTGTTTTCGGTTCAGCGTATTTGTTCGCATGTGTAAACATGTTTCTGGTTATCAGTTTGACGTCACAAACATGTTTCTGGTCGCGGTTGCGAAAACACGCCCCAGGTGCCACCACAGAAAATGGCTGTCGTCGAATTAGTCTATATATATATACTCGAGATATTATGAAAAAAATTTCTTTCACAAAGTAAATTTTGTTACAATATTTTACAAGTTTAAGTGATTTTAGGTTGTCAAACATGTCAAATGATTTCGGCTTTTCAAAAGTACTTCATGGGTATATAACTGAAATATACAGCATTCACAGAGCTAAACTTCCTCAGGTTGGGTTGTTAAGCACTCCGTCTTAAGATTTTGAGCATTTGGTGATTCAGATAAAGAAAATGCGCACATTACAAATGGTCTATTCTACCTTTAAAGCCCGAGTCCATCATTTGCAACTATCCAAAAAAGTAACCGGCGTAATTATTGTTGAAAAACAGACTGGTTGAAAGATAGTAAGGGGACTAAACTCCCTTTGAAATTATCCTTTCTGGCAAGCTCTCATTTTGAAGAAATCAACGAAAGAAGGCATTTCCAACAGTGCTTCTTAAGAAGCACCGAAGGAAAATTTAAATTAGTTGTTCGTTTTGTTATTCGGTGCAGCGCGCACAAGCATTGGAACGACGCACAGGCGCGCGCGGTTGCTATAATTCGTTGGATCAGTGCGCAACATCGCGTAAAGCTGCAATTCAAAACATGATTCAGCAACTTTTGATTTTAAATTGAGATCCTAGAATGCTGTTTTTCTCGGAATATGAAGCTGAAGCTGAGCAGAAACTTCATCAAGTAAGTTGTTCAGTATCCTTCATTAGATTTTGAACACTTTTGTTGCTTCAAACGAACAAAATGCACTAATTACAAATGATGGACTATAGCTTTAAGGCTGGAATCAAGTAAATACAAGCACTGTGCCACTGTATCACTCAAAATGCTTGACTTGGTTTGACTCAGTTTGACTCATGAATGCTCAGTTGACAGACGGTCAATTCCCGTATCACGGACATTACGAATCAGACTTTCCTTTGTACTTCAAGAGCTCAGTGAATAAACCTGAAAATGTGTTTTTCAAATCTTATACACCCAACAATGATCAAGGAGATTACAGACTAGGAGTTTTGGATCATTTCTCTGAATCGTTTGTGAGATATCATGTTTAATTGGCTCTGTCACGGACAGTATCTTCCATACCGCTGGTATTGCCCAGACATTGGCATGTTTCAGACAGACATAGGTTTACTCACGCCTATCCTAGCGCTACAAAACTAATGCCCTCTAGCCATTGGACTGAAAAAATTCCCACAAGTTTTGGGTTGTGCAGCACAAACCTAAATTCTCTGCAATCGACCCTTGCCTTTACATTGAGTGCGTTTGATTACTTCCTCAAGCTTACTCACGCCTGGCTCCCTCGCGTGATGACAGACATGCGTAGTGTAGCTAAATAAACGAACGGTTTCGGGTAAAGTTTCGTGCAAGAGCTGGAAAGTTGAACTTTGACATGACACAGGCTGCATCCGAATCAACTGTCTAGAGCTAGGTCTAGGTCAGTGCCCATTGAAAATACACGGGGACGGGCTGACAATAGACGTAGCTGTAGCTCTGGAAGCACACGGCCTAAGGTGCCCGCCAGACGTCACGTTGGCAGCCATGTTTATTGCATGGCCTTATGGGATACTTACCCAAGTAACCGGCTCGGCAAGTCGGTTACTTGGGCCAGGCTCGAGTAAGCGCGAGAAGTCACGTGAGCGGTCAATTGAACGCTGTCGTGCTTGCACGAGTAAGCGCGGGGGAAGTAATCGAACGCACTCAATGTACCTTGCAGCTGTTCATTCTATAATGATGAGGTTCGAACGAGAGTAAGGAAAGAAAAGAGTCAGGTTGTCCAATATATTTTTGCATTGCCTTGCGAATGTTTCACCTTGAGAATGTGCATGGTGATTGTACCACTGTACTCAAAGGTAGATGAGACATTTATAGTTTGTTCTGGGCTAACTGCATCTTTTCTTAGTCTTGCCCCTTTAGTCTTAACGTGGTACATTTTGCATTTTTGATTGAACCATCTATAAAGCAAACTATGCAAGATGACGTGGAAAAAACAAACTTGAATGTTTTTAAGAGACTCTGTTGGAAGGTTGTATGCTTTGGAGGAAAAAGTTGCATTTTAAAATATCACTGTTTCAGAAAGCCCTGATGACAACAATTTGTTTTGCATTGTGTTTAAAGGGGCCACAAAATGAAGTTTTCTGAGGAACACATTTTGCGCCACTTTCTACTCCTCTTAAATGTGTGAAAACTATTTGACATTCCTTTTTGGTTAATTTGAATGAAAAGTGCACTTCTTTAAGCATTTATATTTTCCATGCTTTTCCGGACAGCTCAGGGCGCTGTTGCTGTGATGTTATTTCAGGAAGACGCTGTTCCGTTTAGGGGCTTTCTGTTCAAATTGTGAACCCAAAATTGAAACCATTAGTGAGAAAAGTTTGCTCGTTGGCTTACTGCCATATACTGACACAGCAACAAGTCACCGAAGAAAAGAAATTTTACGACAGCCAAATATCCAAAATTTGGCAACTTTCAATGCTGAAATAGCTGTAACATTGCGCTTTCTGCCTGAAATGACATCACACTTTTGCTCATGAATATGGAACTTTGCATTAACATAAAATTGGGGAAAAAAGGACCAAAATGCCCTTGAAAATGGCAATTTGAAAATTGAAAAAAAAAAAAATAGGCAAAAAATGTGCATTTCAAAGATTGCATTAAAAAATTTACATTTGCAATTTATCAAATTGGATGTGAGTTAACCATTCATTTATGGGAGGGATCCCTTGTCTAGCGCCCCCAGAGATATACCCAGGCTGAGCCCTATTAACTTGTCTTTTACTAATCACCCCTCCCTCCCCCCTTTGCCTACCGCATGGTATAACCCATTGCTGTGGCAACACAGGCAGCCAATAGCGAGCAGGTAGCCATCTTCCGGGATTCTTTAGAAAGTTTGAGCAATGAGCTAGCCCAGGCCAAACAGGTACTAACCCATAGCTGAATGGCTAATATTCATTGGTTTATTTATTAATTTCTGTTTTCATTCACAGGTGTTGGGTATCTGTTTGCAGGGCATTTTCTGCTATTGCTGTCATTCCATGTTGAAAAAATAAGGCCATGAAAATAATGAAATATAGTTTTTGGCAAACAATTTCTTTCTATGGAAAAACATACTGTCAAAAAAGAAAAATTTTACACTCTTTTCAACTGTGAATTTTTTGAGATTCCAACATCAATGTAAACTTACCGTGATTGTTAGTGCCTTTTTTTACAAAGCTTTTTTTTTTCTTGAAACATATTTTAATTTTCATGGCCTGGAAAAATCACATCAGCTTTTGTGACTATTGGTGCTAAAAAAGTTCACATTTTCAAAATGTTCTATTGATGTTCAGGGATTGAGCGCAGCAACTTTTTCTCTTCATTATTAACCTTTCCAATTATTACTGTCATTACCATTGTCATTATTTCTGCTATTTTATTTCATTTTTTCCCACCTACACTATCCTCAGCATAAATATTTAAGCAAATTTTTTTTCAATTTTTTTTTATGATGCAACAACTTTAGGAACTTTTCAAGAAAAATCGACATTTTTCCAGATTTTGAGAACTTTCATGTGTGTTTTTTTCCTCTCTTGATTTGTCTCTTTAAATTTACACAAGATATTTTGGCAAAGCTGACCATTCTTTCAATTAAAACCTCACACCGAAGAGATTACTGTAAAAAAAAATAATAAAAAGGTCACATGGTCATGTGATATCGATGTCATGCTCATACATGTATCAGCAAAAATCGTGAGTTACGAAAGTTTTATGTTATTGAACTGAATAAAGATTTTGAAAAATGTGCTTTTTTCATTGTCTTTTACCCACACTGATGCTATTATTTTGCCTTGCTCTATTTATTATTCATAATTTTTTTTTATTTGCTTGAGTTTTTGGTTTGCGTACTCATCCGAACCTGCAGCCTGCCCTGGTCATAACTTTTACCTGATCCCGCCCCTAGTGATACCTCTGACATGCTTTGCACGAAACATTAAATGGTGCATCCATTGTTTTGTCTTGTTTTGTACCCTTTTTTAAAATTAATTTTCAATCATTAATAATTAATATGTAACTGTAATATGACTTATCCTTAAAGGTAACAATTATAATTCTTTCCGCAGGTCCAGAGCGTCACAGCAGAAGAGTGCATTAGATTCAAGGTTACTTCTCCTTTAAATTTTTAGTCGTGATATTTCAATTTTTGTGTTCCAAACTACAGCATTGCTAATCTTGCTAGCATCATGATTTTAAAGGTAGAGTATATCAATTGCAGCTATCCAAAAAGTAACTGACAAAATTATTGTTGAAAAGCATACTCGGTATAAAGATAGCAATGGCACTAAACTCCCTGTGAAATTATTCTTTCTGCCATGCTGGCATTTTGAAGAACCAAATAAAAGAAGGTCATTTCCAAAGATGCGTCTAAATTTCCGTTAGTAGTTCGTTTTTAGGGTGCGTGAAGTGCGCGCAAGCATTTACAGGACACGCGCGCGATTGCTATATTTCGTAGGTTCAGTGCGTGACATCGTGTAGCTTGCAATCGGCTGAATGAGAATGTGTCCCAGACGCTAATTTCGGGCGCAATTCAAAACATGGCTCAGCAACTTTTGAATTGAAATTTAGATCCTTGTTTTCTCAGAATATACAGCATTCACTGAGCTAAAATTTCATCAGGTTAGTTGTTAAGGACCCTTCTTTAGATTTTGAGCACTTTTGTTACTTCAAACGAAACTTGAGAAATGCACAAGTGACAAATGATATACTCTACCTTTAATGTGAGCCCTGGCCACATGGCACATAAGTAAGATTTGAGGCTTTGCATGGTGGAGATACTAAATAATGAAAGGTTTGCGGAAACACCATGTGCGAATAATTTCTCAACTAAGAGAATGGTTCTCAAAAGAACCAGAGGTATGGCACATACATAAGTGGGTTTATAGCAAACTGGGAGGCAGAAAATGTATGGCTGGATACCTCAGATGGTTGGGCACCAGTACAGCATTCACAAAGCTGCAGGTTCACATCCTGCTACAGTTAATCGTTCAACCGTTAATTGATTAAAAGTGGATCATTCAATCATGCCAGTCATTGATTGTGGTACCCTCCGCTTATATCAGATATGAACCGGCAAGTTTCGTGGTTAGAGTGGTTGAGACGTTCGCACTAGTAGGGAGAAGGTTGTGGGTTCAAGTCCCATCCAAGCAAACGTGTACATTTTAACTTGCAAGCTTTTGGACAGTGCTGCTCCTCTGGGACGAAAAACATATCCTCAGTTGCACCATGAACCGACGTATCCCATTTTTTGTGTTTTGAGGAAACCGATTTAAAAATGGTCATACTTTTGTAGGTTCATTCCTTTTACTCCCTGTGTAAGAATTCAAGCTGTTTCGTTTTGCTAGTAAATTATAGATTACAGTTTATTGTACACAATCCGTGTGCATCTGAGTTGCTTAGTCTTGGGGAATTTCAGAATTACAGATTTGTATAAATATTGTATTTCATACAACCCGCGTAATAGTGGCTGTGTGCCAGATACGGGGGTTCGTGAAATGCTAAATTCACACTTTTCATGTCGGTGCTCCTTGGTGACGTCATAGCACTATGGGAATTAGCGTGAAAAGCAGCGCATCATAAAACCTCACTTCGTGGTGAACAATTTCAGAGTTTTTAGAGATACACCACAGAGTCTAATTAGTGTTTTTAGTTAATTAGAACTCAGATTGGAGCAAAACTTTGTGAGGAGGAGCATTTTGATGAAATAAAAAAAAATTGGCCAAAAATACGCTGGTTTGTGGTGCGACCGATTTGAACCTAGTAAGTTGTCACAGTGGTTTATTTTTATGATAATCAAATTTGATTATTCCCTTTGGGGCGAATCGGAGCTTTGACTTTGACCCATCTCTCTTCTTTCTGCTAGGATCTCTACTCAGCGACCCATAAACAGTTAGAGGACCTGCAGCTGTCTCACAGTAAACTGTTGGCAGAGAAGGAAGAATGTCAGAGACAGCTAGCTGATTGCCTCAATGCCAACTCCCGACTCACCACGACGCTGAGAGAAGTACAGAACGACAGGGATAATCTACACAGGGACCTACAGGATGCAAGAAAGGTATGGGGAAAAATGGCAGTGTTGCTGTCGAGTACTTTCTTCCGAGTACCGAGTACTGCCAAGTATTTAGGTACGAGCACTTGTACTTCGGAGTACCAGTTCAGGTCTCCGAGTACGAGTACTTGTACTTCCGAGTACAAGTTCAGGTCTCCGAGTACGAGTACTTGTATTCCGAGTACGAGTACGAGTACGAGTACTAGCATTTCCGAATACGGCCATACTGCAAATGGTTCATTGTGCATCATTGGCCCAGGCCCAGTCAGACCAATATACAGACCCAATCACGGCTAGCTGTTAAATGTGTTTGTCTGGACGTGCACAGAGGAAAATCAGGAAACTTTGATTCATCTGCAAGCCAATCAACCATTTCCAACTGAAAATATCGATAATAAAATAAGGCCGTGGTAAGTGAAGCTATACCATTTTTTTTTCTCGAGTACTGCTATTCGAGTATGAGTACTTTGATGATCGAGTACAATTTCGACATGTCGAGTACGAGTACTTTGCTGCCCGAGTGCAAGTACCATCATTTCGAGTATGACTACTTTGACATTCGAGTACGAGTACTCCAAAAAAGTACTCGAGAAGTACTCGAGTACAAGTACCGAGTACGAGTACTACAATACTGAAAATGGTAATCAAGGTTTAAATTTCGGGTAAAAATCTACCAGACCACAGGGCTTGTAGCTCTAAATTTTAATTAGAAAAATCCTCATGTGCAATTTGATGTGAAACAAAGCTTTTTGAATTGTTGTGTTCTTGGCCGGTTTTCTAGGGACCTGGACATGGATAATGGCCCGAGCCAACATATTGCAGCCACTGCCAGAAACACCGGGGCAAACCCCTTCTCTTAGCGATAAGTGTCACTGGGTTCTTTAACGTGCATTACAAAACACACGGGACCTACGGCTTTACATCCCATCCGAAGGACGAAGCAATAATGGTAAGGTGCCTTGCTCAAGAGCACAACCACCATGTTCCCACGGTCAGGATGCGAACCCATGTACCACGGCACACGAGTCGAACACCATAACCATTGGACCACAAAGTGGTGTCATTATAAATGCACACAGTAAACCCTACTTTCAGTCCAGAATGACTTGGTATCTCCATTTTGTTTTTCAGAGTGCAGAGAAGCGTAAGACCATGCTGGATGACCTTGCTATCCAGACTCAGACTATTAAGCAACAACATGAGAATGAGATGGCGCGAGTCTCTGAAGCACACGAGGTAGGTGTATGCCTAGTGAGACCTAAATGGTAGTGGTGGAGTTCCTTGTGATGTTATGAGAATAAGTCAGATTAGGGGGTTGTAAACTAACTTTACGAGGAACTGGGGATGCTTGAGGTATGAGTTGTGCTCATTTATTATATTATGAAAACTTGGTCGCTAATTGTTTTTTTCTTTTTTCAATATGCAGAGTGATTGTTAGTATGGTCGCTATTTTTTTATTCGCAAGGGTCGAAAGTGTGAAAGTGTCCCTTAGCCCCCCCCCCCCAAAAGTCTCAGGTTTCTGATATGGAGCTTGCCCCAAAAGTGGTGTGGCGACCTTTTTTTTCCCCTCCTTTTTTTTCCCGCAAATGTCGGCTGATGTTGCAGATGACGCTTCGATCCCCTTAAAACTGTCAAAAAATATCCTTCAGGTTGGAGCTTGAGGTGACCTCAGTAAGGCCATTGGGTTTGAGAATTCTGCACCCACTTACGATCTCCACCGACACGAACATTCTTCGGGAAATTAGGATAGTCAAGACAAAAATCAGAGAAAACGGTAACGTCAGACCACACAGCGACATCGTGCATGTGCTGCCAGGGTGGTCATTAGTCTGCTCCCTTACATATTGCACTAATTAAAAAGCGTTTACAGGTTCCAGATACATGACCATCGCTCCTTCAGTCTGGCTTCCAGACCCACAATTACGAAATTACAACACCGTCTGCAAAAAAACAGTGAGTTTGGCGGTTTTGAGACATCATGTTACGTTGAAAAAAAACTTTTTATTTTTTCCGACGCGCATGGCTACGGCGATGCGCGCGCAGACCAGAATCTGGAGACTCTTTTTTTTTGGCCTTATGTTGCAAAATGTACTGTCCAGTCACATTGTTTGAGGGAGTCCAGTTACCAATTTTGGTTTATAATTAAGTACAAAGAAACAGTCTTTAGTTTACTGGAAAGTGATGGATTTTGTAGGAGTTAGGATTCTTTCAAATGAGTGTGCTCTTGGAGTGAGGGTCAAAGAACTTATAAAAAAAAACATACAACGAATGAGAAGTGATCAACCAAAGCATTGATGACTATTTGTTGTTTTTATCCATCCCAACAGAATGAGCGAGACAACTTGAAGCAACAGCTACATGAGCAGACAGTGAGTACATGGCATTTTGTGATCTGAAGTAGCTTACAGTACAGAAATGCTGCCGACAGCAGCCACAAGTCTGCTTTACCTAAGAGTTTATCATAGGAATTAGCCAACATCTATTTGTAGACGCTGCCAAACCGTACTCGTATTGCTCTGGAAGTAAGGACTCATTTTAGGCTTTACATTTTTTTGTACAATGATTAGGATTTCCACAAAGCCTCGGGAATGCATTGGTGTTTGTGTAGTTCCACATATTAACAATGAAGAAATGTGTTATTCTGTTCCCCACCCAAACCCCAACCCCCAACCCCCACCCCCACCCCCACCCACCCAAGTGTGTATTTGCCTGCAATCAGGGACCCCCTATTGTCCCTCTTTTGTTTGTACATACTTTTTAGGAAGACCTCCCATATGTTTTGTACACGATCAGAGATTGGGGACCTTTGGGAATTGGGGACCCTATTGTCCTCTATTGTTCAATGTCCCCTATTGAATACAGAAACAAACTCCCCACCCCCACCCACCCCCACCCACCCCCACCCACCCACTCCCACCCCCACCCCTGAAAAAGAAAAAAAAATCACAGGAATTCATGATTTCCTACTCCCTAGCGTTTTAAGTATATTCTGCTGTCGGACATTTAGAACTTATTCTTCTGGCATTTTCTTAAACAGAAACTGCGTAAGGAGCTTGAGCCGTTGAGAGACCAACTTGCCGTCAGTGAGGAGAAGGTTCAGTCGCTAGAGAACACCAAGGGATGGTTTGAGAGAAGACTAGCTGAGCTGGAGGTAAGCATCCAGCATTGAAAACCTAACCCTAACTTCTTTGGGCAAGTTACCGATGAAAACATCTATTCATTTTCATAATAGTTTTCACTGGTTGCCGTGAGTTGCCATTCAGCTCTCCAGACTCAAGAACCATTGAGTTTTTAGTAAATAGGTCTGGGAACTAGACAAGGCAATGTAAGAAGACCCCGGATGTCCGCGCCTACCTATTATCTTGTAACTCAGAATGATGATGTCGTTCATGTGCACACTGCTCGTATGGGTTGCGTTAAGGAAACTAGAACACATTGCTTTTTGCGAAGTTAGGAGTAAAATCGGATAAACTTGTCCAACTCACCAGAAGAATATTATTGCTCAATCTCAGAAAAGTCGTTAGTTCACAATGCAGTACCTTACTCCTAAGAGTTTATACCGAATTGTGTACTTTTTTAGTAGAGGAGGCAGCTTTATTGTCCCCAATATTGTCTAGTTAACTTCGACATCATTGAACTCAGAAAAACGCTAAGCAACATTTACGCGTTCAACCATTTTTTCATGTGTAGCGCCAGGGCGATGTTCGTGCCTGCGTACTACACCCGTACGACAGTTCCACGATTGCTTCGTAAAGCGCATGCGTAGTAGACTGTCGCACGAGTAACCCGTGCGACAGTCTACTACGCATGCATATTTACCCTGTGCGTGAATACCCAGGCACTTGGTAAACAGCTAAAATGGCATCTGGCACGTGATGGTGAATGGACTAGTGAGACTTTGGCTCTTGATCATGAATATGTAGTAATTGCGTTTGTTGAATGCATTTTCAGGAGGAACTCAAGGAGACCAAAGAGACACACCAAGAGGAGATACAAGAACTGAAGGACCAACACAGAGCATTAATACAGGTATGTGGAATGGGCTTCATGCGGAACTATTGAGAGTGCAGTATGGCCTACTGGAACCCTAGTCTATGATATGTGTGCTGATTATGCAAGACAACACTGCGTCTTGACCTCCAGATTCTGACCATTCAGCGGGCGCCTTGTATCATGTCTTTGGTAGCTCGATGTTGTATGAGAAAAACATGGTAGCTGTTAACCAATTAACATTTTCTGCTCTAACTGACGTCTCAACTTCTTAAGGCAGCTCCGATTGTCTGGCGCTTTGGGTCGCATAAAATTTGCATGCATGGATAGATCAGACGCCGAAGTGTGGCTCAGCACACATGAACGTCTGATCCAGTTTTTCCTTGCCCCCCCCCCCCAGTTTGGCCCCCCCCCCAGTTTGGCCCCCCCCCCCCCCAGTTTTCTCCCAACGCTTTATCAACAAATAGCTTAATTATGTTTCTTTTCTTCGCTGTTAAGATTCATGAAATGTGGACACATTATGGGCCAATGAAAGCATTATAAACGTTGATACTTTAGACAAAACACGCCACACATGCATTTATGCAGCCTGAGATAGTGTGCAGTCACCGTCTTATACATTTGTTATACACCATTCTGTGGTTTGATACATTTCTCATTCATAAAAACGACTGCACTTCTAAGTTGCTTTAGTGGCTTATTTCCGGACCATTGACAATGGGCACACGCGCGCGTACACAGGCTTGAGATTTTTTTTTACTTCCCCCCCAAAAAAAATTCCTTGCCCCCAAATTGTCCCCCCTCTGGTGCTGCTACTGGTCTCATCCTTAGACTACTTAAACCCAGCGCCCAATTGCAAAGACATGCCTATATTCTGATTAAATCTAATTATTAGTGACTGAAATGACATCGTTTGGAATAAAATGTGTGAAATTCTTACAAATCATTATTCTACAAATCATTTTGCAAACATTAGACTTTTCATCTCAAAAAGAGAGATTTTAACGCATTTTAGGTTCTATAGTGAGGGTCCAAGTTGTATGTAATTTCATTTTGGAAATTGTATTATTAGACTTTCAAATTGTTCTAATTAACCTATCCCTTTAAAACGGGAAGTGTACAGCAACCATGCCAAGTATTGTGATTTGTTTATGTTTTTGTTTGTTTGTTCATTTCTTTTTGTTTATTCAGGAAATGAAAAATGAAGAAGCAGAGAAGTCCATAGAGTTGAGCCAATCCCAGGAGCAGGTCGAGAAATTACAGAACAGTATCGACCAACTCAAACAAGTGAGTTTGAACCACCCCTCCATCCAAATCACTAACCGACTTTTTCTAGTAATAGTTTATAGCATATCTAAACCAGTAATTGTTTACTTCCATTTTTGTTTTCATGTGTGGATTTAATATTTTTGGTCATGATGACCTCATTATCTTCAACGGAATAGTAATCGGCACCTTTGCATTTTTTTTTTTAAAGCTATCCACATTTGCGACCTGTTCTGTCAAAAGCAGATGCTTCTGGGCGGAGGTTGAAATTAAGATAGGGTAAAAAAAAACGCTGTGGGGTGATTTTCTTCGATTTTTGCATATTTGTAATCCTGAACAGGTCTAAAATATACTATAAAAGTTTGAAACCCTAATTTGAACTCTAAATATAGTATTTTTGACGATTTGTTAAGGTATATCAGTTAAAGAAATTACTGTGTTGTGACGTTCGTGGCCATTTTCTCCGTTTTCTACTTTTCGACACAGTGAACTTCAAAATAGCATAACTCTGCCCAGGAATGACCGGTTTCAAAAATTAAACCACCTATTCCTTATGCCCAGAAAAGTCTGATTTTGACAGAACAGGTCACATTTTTGGAGTTTGTTGAATGACAATAATGCATTTTTTAAATGTCATTTCCTGGGATGTTTGTCAATTTGTATCAACACAACCATCTGCTAACAGCATTTGAAATACAATCTGTTTTGTTCATTCTATCCTCTATATAATAATAATAATAATAATAATAATAATATTTACTAATGCTATAATAGGGCGACTTTCCCATAAACTTGTGCGCAAACCTAAACTGTCACCTAACCCAAGTTTACCTAATCCTTTTTCCACGAAATTCGGTATTTATGCTAATTAGACCACGAGGAATCGATCTGGATGGGTCGCGTCAGTGAAATTCCTTGTCCTAAGGGTCTATTGAACAATAGGGCGACACCAAATTGTCACCCCAATGAGGCGTATCGCCCTAATCCAGACGACACTTGAGAAATCTGTCGCCCTATTGCGAAAATTCTAAATTTAGAGAAATTTATAAAGCGCAGCCAATCGGAGAAAAATCCACCTCAAGACACATAAACAAAGAATAAACATACAAAATGTTCCTCAATGCCAGCTCTTCTATATGTTATTACCTCTTCTTTCGTGTTTGACCAGAATGCCAAAGACAGCGTCGAGGAGCGGAAACTTGGAGAAAAGAAAGGCTTAACCATGGTGAAGGACTTGAAGCGACAGCTGAGACAGGAGAGGAAACGGGCAGACAAGCTACAGGAGAGACTGCAGGAATTCCTGAGCCAGAACAACCAAGGACGAGCAGGCATTGAGGAATTGTTCCAAGACATCAGTGATGAGGACAGGCAGAAGCACGACAGCAGGTAGGTTCATCCTGGTCAAAAGAAGGTGTGCTGCTTACTGGTAAGCTGGAACATTGTGCTATCCTTAAGTAAAGTTGGGCAGCATGAGTTGCAAGTGCGTAAAGTGCTCGCCTCACTCCACTGTGGCTCAGGTTCAATTCCTGGCTTGGATCATATGTGTAGAGTCGTACGTTGATTCTCTCCTGTGCCACGAGGGTTTTTCTCAGGGCTCTCCAGTTTTCCTCCCTCCCCAAAAATCAACACTTTCGATCTCTGGCTGTGCTCCGTGGTCAGACATGGGTCGTATGGCGGCTGCCCAAGGTGCCTTTACATGCCTTCAGCTCAACCATATTGTAGCTGCGTCCTTTGCAATTCAATTTCTATTATTCAGGCATGCACCTTTTTCTCAGATCAGCTGAGTTTCTCTTTCTTAACTTTCCACGTATCTCATTAAAAATAGAAAAACACTGTACAAAGTCTTGGAATGATTTGAATTTCCTCTTTTTTGTGTGACTTCCCAGTTGCATGCTTGATGATTAAGCCCCCCAAATTACTAGACCCTCAAAATTATGAAGTAGTTAAGTCTGGTTAAGTAGTTAAGTCTGGATGTGGCCCATCCAGCAGGAACTTATCTCCGGTTCCAGTGGCATGAAACGACTGAGAATATTTCTATTCCCCCTGGATGGGATGCCAATCCATCACAGGTTACTCCCCAGCTAATGCCGGTACCCATTTATACTCCTGGGAGGAGAGAGGCAAATTGGGGTGAAGTGGCTTGCCCAAGGATACAGCATATGGCCAGCAGCTGGATGTGAACCCCTGTCTCTCTGATCATGAGTCCTGAAGCCTAACCACTAGTCCACACTCCCTACCCTCCCCCCCATCAGCTTAAAGGGAATATACAACATTTGCAAACAGCAAAAAATAAAACTACCGAATCATTTTGAAATACCTTGCTGGACTGTTAATGAATGACAGTGTAAAGCATCCTGTAAAATCATGGCACCTGGTATACTGTCATTTTCAAGAAAAGTGGTATTTTTGTATCAATTTCCAACGCTGATCGGCCGATCAGCGTTGGAAACAACTGGCTTTTTTTCAAATACTGGCCCCAATTGACCATCGCACTTGTTTGCAATCGATTACAAACCTATGAACGGGTACGAGCCAGCTAGACTGGATCCCTGACCTTACAATTCCCCAATGTATGTAAACTGCTCTGTTTCTTCTTATATGGAGTCAGGGAACCAGACTACAGGAAAATGATCGTTTTTCTTGGTTTTTATAGCATTTTCGTACCTAAAACCTCAAGAAAGTCAGTGTAACTATATTCGCTATATATTTCCAACCCCCCAATTCCTTCCATTTCTGAAAATTACAGCAAAAGCAAATAATGTATATTCCCTTTAAGTTTTGACTTGAGATTGCTTGCCCCTGACGTGCTACATTGACACGCAATACACTTTATAATCCTTTCAAACAATTCCAAAATTACTGATTGATCGTTCAATGTTTACTGTGCCCCCTGCAGTAGTGTATCATCATGGAGTACCAGTGGACAGATGGCAAAGGATTCTTCAGAAAATGTACCAGTGAGTATTCCAAAAATAATCCAGTCAAATTTTTAAATTCGAACTTGGGGTGCAATGTTCAACAAGTGAAGATATTGGAAAGAATTGGTTTAACCAGATCGCGCCGGAGCTGTGTATACATGCAAAAGTTTTCCACAAGTCAGATTGGATGACTGAAAAACCCACAGTGACAGAGGCTGGGAAATATCTGTCAGTGAGCCACAGCCACCGACCGAGGCCGGAAATATGACTCTGCAGCCCCAGAGCGATGGCTTCGACCCGCCTGGCATTGTGGTCGAGTGAATATTAAACCGTGCCTCGGTCTGTTCTTGTCAAAATACACCAACCTCAACTGGTTAATAAGCAACACATTTTTCTCATTTCGAAAGCTTCAAATCTACACAATGTTTCATCCAATGACTGGACTGTTACCCGAGTCATAACCTTATGTTATCGGTTTGTGTGCATCAACAGTCTCCCAATGGTTCCATGATGTCAGCAGCACTGAGCGAGGAAACTACAGAGCTGATCAGCCGGATGACAGAACTACAGACGGCCAACTGGGCACTGGAAGAAAAGGTCTGGTGTAAAGTCACTAAACTGTAACCAAATCACCAAGGAACAAAGACAGTATTTTAAATATGACTTGGAGCTGTGCATGGCGGTTGAGATAAGGTTGAAAGATTGCGGGTAACACCAGGTGGAAAGTAATCTCTTCATGGAAGAAGTGTGGTCCTAAAAAGAACCGGTCACTCACCCTCCTGAGGACGGACAGAGCACACTGTCCAAAACGTTGAGTTCTACACTCAACCAACCAGTTCTTTTCAGAACCACACTTCTTCCAAGAAGAGATTACTTTCCACATGGTGTTACCCGCAATCTTTCTACTTTGACAGTATTTTACTTTGTACAATGCCTGAATAAATCCCCCGTCACGACATGTCATTGAATTATTCACCCCAACCCACGCCCCGGCCGTACTGCAAAAATAGAAGTTCTGTTCCACGGTAAATAGAAGTTCCATTGCATGGTCACATGATTGGTTGCTCTGACCAATCAGATGACAAGGATTTATTCAGGTGTTGTATACAACAAATAATGAATGTTTCACATTTGCTCAATGGAAAGAATAATTTCATTCGGTGACAGATGAAAGGTTCAATTCAACTCGGGCTTCGCTTCATGGAATGGAACTTTCCATCTGTCACCTCATGAAATTATTCTTACCATTGCACTCATAAACATTCGTTATTCGTATAACCAAATCACCATGGATCAATGTCATTTAAAGTAGGGCTCAACGGAGGATCCAGGGGTGCCAACGGGGGCCATGCCCCCCCCCCCCCAAAAAAAACCCCAAAGGCAGCCATTGCGGACACCGGCTACAAAAGTCAACAAAAGCAATACATTTGCACCCTCTCCACTTGCTTTTCATATTAAATTTGGGGCGGAACATTTTTGGACCCACTTTTTCGGGAACAAAAAAATGTTTGCCTCCCCCCCCCCCCCCCAAAGTATTTTTACTATACCGGTACCAAGACCATGTCACACTCCTCAAAATACTATGAACTCTCGTCCAGTGTTGTCGAGTCTGTCACAAGTCCTCGGTGTCTTTTGCTGACGAACAGAGCATACTGTTTGAAACGTTGAGTTAAAACAACTGGTTCTTCTCAGAACTACACAACTCAAAAGGGATAAAATTCATATGGTTTTACCAAAATGCTTTGTTCCATACTACCATACTTTGTTCATGTCCACCATGCAAACCTACTCATTTAAAGTAAAGCTATAGTCCATCATTTGCAGCTATCCAAAAGGTAACTGACGTAATTAGTATTGAAAAACATACTTAGTTGAAAGATAGTAAGGGGACTTAACTCCCTGTGAAATTATTCTTTCTGGCAAGCTGTCATTTTGAAGAAATCAACGAAAGAAGGCCTTTCCAATGGTGCGTCTTAAGAAGCACCGTTGGAAATTTCTGTTAGTAGTTCGTTTTTTTTATTCGGCGAACCCCACCTAAGCGTTGGCACGACGCACACACGCGCATGGTTGCTTTAATTCGTTGGATCAGTGTGCGACATCGTGAAGCTGCAATCGGCTCAGTGAGAACGTGTCTCGGACACTAAATTCAGACCAAATTCAAAACATGATTCAGTAACTTTTCATTTGAAATCGAGATCCTAGAATGTTGTTTTTCTCGAAATATATTGTTCAGTACCCTTCTTTAGATTTTGAGCACTTTTGTTGCTTCAAACGAACAAAATGCCCAAATTACAAATGATGGACTATACCTTTAACTCCTCACAAGTCTACGGCAATTTAATCACAAGTCATCAAATCACAAGCTATTCAAATACATTGTGACAAGTTACTTCCTTTGTTATTGCTCTTCACCGGTTACTTGTCACTGGAGTTGTGATGGACTCGTGATGAACTTTTGGTGACATTGTGATGAAGTTGAGTGTGAAAGTGGAAATGTCAGTCTTTGAATTTTTACAGATACTTGTTTCATAATTTTCACGTCCCCATCTCCTTAATCATTATGTTTGTACTCAGGTACGGCATTTGGAAGAGAGCACTTCCTGCATGGCAGATGATTTACTGAAGAAGACGGCCATCATTGAGACACATGTCATGGAGAGAAAATTAATAGGTAGGTCAAGGGTTAAATCAATATGCTTTTTTTGCCATTTCTCAAACATCGGTTTCATTACACTTTTGGCTTCATCTCTGGCCTGGATGACAACTGTAAGCCTTTTGATATGTTGAAATCAAAAAGAAAGAAGCACAACTTATAAATTTGCATTATGCAATGTTTGTGTCGTCTAAGCGAAGTTTTGGGGGACACTCAGCAGTCCTAAATTCTGTATGACCGTATGACTGTATGTTACAGTTTAGGTTACGTTTTCGAAAAAAGTGTATAACTTCTACATGCTTTCATGGATTTGGATGAAACTTGGATGCAGTGACCATAGGTCGTGTAGGGGTCATTAGAGGTCATTGTTCAAATATGCTTCAAATGTTTCTTTGTCTACAGAATTGGATGGATTTGAATGAAACTTGAATGGAGTGATCCTTGCCTGGGGGTTCATCACAACTCCGAAAGTGGAGTTCAAATGTCAACTAGGGGTCATTTGAGGTCGTTGTTTAAAAAAGCCCAATTTGGACTTTTTTTAAGAACACAAAACATATAGGGATTGACCACGAAAAAAGGTGACACGTGATCTGCGGATCACCTTGTTTATTTTCTTGTTGTAGAAAGGGGACCCTCAATTGAGATGAAATCTCCATGGATGAAGCATGAAATCAGGCAGCGGAAGCCTGAAGTTGAGATTTCTGTTTCAGAAATGGCATAGATCTGATAACATTGTAGTTGAGTCCATCACAATTCCTTTCACGTGTCCAGTCACAAGTAACTGGATGAACATTAACAAAGGAATGCCTTTGTCACAGCTCATTTGAAATTGCTTCCGACTTGACCTTGGGATTGATGACTAATTGTGATGGACTTGCGATGGACGCAACTTCACTGCTTTATGTTGACCATTTGGTCTGAGTGCATTGAAGCCCTCTAGTGGTGAATATGGGCTCTGTGCGCGAACAAGAGAGGATGCTTTTTTACCATCTTTCGAGATCCCCATGGACGGGACACGCCGCTTGTGTGTACTGGTTCGTCCACGTACAGGGTGAGTAAAAAAAAAACCAAACCCAAATGTTGTGACTATTGTTTTAGTGAAGTTCTGCATGTAGCACTTTCAAAATCTAAGATATGAAAGCCCAATTCATAAGCTTTCTTTTAATACAAGAATCATTCAAATCACTCAAGTACTTTTCAAGTTATGGAATTTTAAACACAGCCACCATTTTAAAGTTCTGTCCACGGATCACACAAAAGGCGTGCGCTTTCAGCAAAACGAAAACAATTCACACACATCCCTATGTGATTTGTTTTCATTTTGCTGAAAGAACACTTACCATTTTGTGATCCGTGGTCAGAACTTTAAAACGGTCGTTGTGTTTAAAAGTCCGTAACTTGAAAAGTACATGAGTGATTTGAATGATTCTTGTACTAAAACAAAGTTTATGAATTGAGCTTTCATATCCTAGATTTTGAAAGTGCTACATGTAGAACTTCACAAAAACAATGGTCCCGACATTTGGGTTTCGTTTTTTTTTACTCACCCTGTACAGCGCAAAGTACCCACGAATAGTTTGATTTTGAATGATCACAAAGCCATAGCGTCTTTCGCGCAGCATCGTCAGGCATTTTTGGAAATATGTTCGAATGTCTCTCCCAGTGGTCTCCCCAACTCTCCCTCTCTTACCACTGAGGGGGTACTTGTGCACGGAGCCCATACAAGTGAAACCTGTTGGCACGAGTAACAAGGCTGAAATATGGAACTTTTTGTTTCTCCTTCTCTGCGCAAGGTCCAACGAAGTCCCAAGCCACACCGGAGACGTCCAAGAAGGTTGCCTTCAAGAAGGTGATGGACTTTGTCAAGGGTGAGGACGGCAGCCAAGCCAGCAACAACCAGCGAGAGATGAATCAGAAGCTCCAGGTCATGCTGGAGGAGACGCTGACTAAAAACATGCATCTGCAACAGGTGATTTGTAGTACCAGCTCTATATTTCTTTCAAAGTTGAACAACGAATTTGACTGGAGGGGGTTTCAACCTGCAACCTCCGGATTGACGTTCCGGTGCTCTACCAACTGAGCTATCCAGCCCTGTGTTGGTGGTTCGCCAGTTGGTCAATGTCTTTGTTTAAGGGGCGCTAGTCAGAAGCCATAAACTTGTGTATGCCATGTAGCCAGGGATTATTGGGGTTTTTGTTTAATTATAAATATTACTGACATGTAATCTCAATACAAGGACGCAAGATGGTGCTTTAATACTACTACTACTACTTCTAATGTGTATGTATAAAGTGCATGTAATCACCAATATTGTGCTCAAGGCACTGCATCATTATTACCCTGATCATTGGGCCAATGAAACATTCCAAAGACAATCTCAGCTCCGTGGGAACTATACAGCTCTGTGCTGCCATTTTGGCCCACAAGCAACTAAAATCAATCTCAATAACCATCTCTGCCCTCACAAGTACCCATTTACTCCTGGGTGGAGAGAAGCAATGAGCGAAAAAGTGCCTTGCCCAAGGGCACACGCACCATAACCCAGGCTGGACTCGAACCCATAACCTGCAGAATTACCCGCAGACCGCAAGGCCACGGCACTTCAATTTGTGGCTTTCTAACATTGAGTTGGACATGATGCATGTGAGCACTGGTTCTTGTGCATGAGACGCAACTATACATGGCCACTTAGTGTGTGCGCAAATCTGTAGTGTCGTCGCAAATCTGTAGTTTCGTGGTTTCACCATTGAGTTCGGGGAAAGAATGTTGCAACCCGAAGTCATATATCATCTCAATGAAGATCAGTCATTACAAAAATGATGATAAGACATGAATCTGGGACTGAGAACCATTTCAAATTTTGTTAAGAAATACTTGAAAATTTTCTTGACTCTTCATATACTTTGTACACAACCGTCAGGTTGCAACATTCTCTCTGAGTTAGGTTGTTTACTGAGTCCAATAAGTCAGAAAACAGCCAATATAAATAGCAAAACTGTGAATTTTCAAAGCTTATTCTTGTTCTAATCCAGTCAGTGAAAACAAATTTTGGTTGCAGGGAGTCTTAAAGCCACCCTTAAAATAACTACTAGTAATTACTTCTTTTGTTTTTTTCCCTCCATATTTGTTTATTTTCAAAATAATCAGGACATCCAAATGTTGTCAGAGGAGGTGGTGAGACTCAGCAAGCTGGCACCCCTGGCATCGTCGACTAGTCCGCTCCACCCAAGCCACAAGACATGGACAGCGGGCGATATCACTTCGGCAGACGGGGGTGATTCACCACCGTCCTCACCCTCGCACTACACAGGGGACCAGGCCGGTGCACAGTGAATCACAGTCTGCACATAGTTTGTATAGATATTTATTATCTCAACAGTTTTAGATTTGTGCTGCAGTTCATGTATTGCTGTCACATCATCCAAGTACTACTGTAAACTACCACGCCTTTAGTAACTAATAAATCATTAGACAAACTTCAAAGTACTCTCTGTATATCAGTACCTTTTTTATTTTGCATTTATAGAATTGTAACTCGGTTTGTTTAGCATAGACAATTTTCCTTTTTTAAGCCTGTCGCACGCCTGTCCGATTTTACTGGTTTACGGGATGACCGGTATGTTAATCCGCACACATGCCCGATTCTGTTCTATAATTGGTCACGTGATGATCAGTCACATGACGACAAAATGGTAGCCGTCAATTTGGAATCATGTGACTTCCTTCGTGATTCTGATTGGTTAACATTAATATTGCGTCAGGTGAAATCGGAGTGACATTGGATCCAGTGAAATTGGATGCAAAAAAAATCAAACATGTTTGATTTCATCCGCATTTCCGGTCGCCTGGCGTACGGTCAGATCGGTCCGATTTTTTTAGCCACATCTCTCCGATCTGTACGTCCGATGGCCCGATTATCCGGTGATCCATTGCATGTAGGAAACACAAACAAAATCTCATTTCTGCCTCCAATTGCATAATAATGCTGTTGTTGTACCCTGGTGTTTTGTAAACAGTCATCAACTTTCAAATTCGCTTTCACTTTTTGACAAATCGCCCTCATTTTCCTGAAATCCATCGTTACCTTGACACAACCTGCAATATATGTAGTGTGCTATCAATTGTGTGTGTTGCCTACTTCATTGCATAAATAGATGGGAAATAGATTGTGGTTAGGGCTTTCTCTGTGGCATCATCCAGATTTTCGACGGATCCCACTCAAAGATGCTAGATTACTTTAATCTTGAGGCGCCTCTTAGGTATCAGTGTCGTGCACTGCAGAGGTTTCTCATAGAATGTAGCGCAGCAACATTTATACAATGTGCTGTTTTCAAGGATCTTTTATTTAATTGGAGCTCTGATTTCAAAGCAAAAACTTATCAAAAAATATAATCATTCCTGAAATATACTTGGTTTGTAATTTTTGTTGCATTATTTGTGTTGCAGATGGTACTCGTTTGTGTTCAGTTATTATGTATTATAAGAGATTGTAAATTAATTGCAGAAAATTTAGTTACCAAACTTGCAATAATATGTTTTTAATAGAAAAGAGGTTTGTGTTATTTACATTGCCTGCTAAGGGTTTTGCAAAATTGTTTTCACTGCAAATAGGTCTTCTGACAAAAGAGAAGTGAGTTGTAACAATTTTTTTTTAGAAAGATTCTTCAAAGAAATTAATATAAATTTAAATAGGTCGTTATGAAAGCAAGTATAGCCGATTAGAGTAGGACATCTGACAGTCTGCTAACCTTGGGTTATTGACTTAACCCAGTTTAATGGTTTACTTTTTATGTTTATATTTTCTTCCATTGATCAAGTGTTCAAACCAAGTTAGTCATAATAGTGTGCAAATTTCTTGTCAATGACACATAACCAGGGCTGCATTCCACTTACATGACCAACTCCAAGGATGACAACTATTTCCTAAATGTTTTCAGCAAACGTTGGCAACGTTTGTCGTACGCTTGAGTGGAACGCACCCAGCTTTATGAGGAGATGAAAATCTACACTGTGAATGGACCATGCATAGTTTATAACTTAACCTCGTACATTTGTTTGTATTTCTTAAATTTTGTATGCAACATTCCTAAAGGGTATGTGGATGGGCTACCGAGGGTGCTATGTCATCCAATCAGAAGAGCCAAGAGAGGATACCAATAAATTGACACCTGGGCCCAATTTCATGGCACTGTGGGTGGTTGGCAGTAAACATATGTTAACAATAGCAGAAAAGTTGTACCGACAAGAAGTATTTTTTCATGGTGAAGACATGCTAACGGTTGCGAGCAAGGAGACTCACATTGATGCATTACCACTTTAAGCAAATACTGCTACCTCGTTGAAGGGCAAAACCCACTATCGAATTTAAATCTCCCCGACGCAAATTCCATCTTAACAGTTTGGTTGCGGTACCCGCTGCTGCATCAGACTCAAACCAGCCAGCCGACCCCAGCAAGCACGGTGGTTGAGTGGTAAGACGCCTTCACTAGTGAGCAGGGGGTCGTGGGTTCGAGTCCCACCCGAGTAGCTTGTGAATTTTTTTCTTGCAATTCCTCAAACAAAGCACTGAGTTTAGAGTCTTTTATAAATGTATGTCTGTGAAGGGCAAAACCTGATATCGAACTGCAACTGACGTTAACCTGATGTTTGCTGTGCGTACTGCTTACGGTCGCTATGAAATAGATGATGGTGTTGACTTGGACTGGGACCATAAGTGCTCAAAAACATGCAAAACGAAATCAGGCCAACTGTACTCACTCTTTAGCCAGCACAATTCTCCAAAATTTTCATTGGTCAAAAAACAGGTCCTTAGTATTTCACCAACCAAGTTTGAAGACTCAATTCAATTTGTAAAGGAGACTTTTTTTCAATATTTTGCACATGAGAGAGAAGTCAGGTGATTTCAAAATGAGGCTGAAGACTAGACTGGTACATGTCCAACCATGGTGCAACTGTTTGAAAAGACTGACCTCTTCAATCATTGTCATTAGTCTGGTGGCTGACTATGGAGAAATGTGTAAAAATAGAGACTAGTTTCTGACATGCCAAATACTTCTTGTGGCACAGTTGATTGATGCAGTACTGAAGCTGTGTTGGACTGGTTGTTTCAGGTGCCAGTCTTTTTTCTTGTATTGCATGTTTTCAGTACCCTAAGTTTTGGGACTCTCATACATAGTATTGAGAGTCCCAAATTTTCGGACTAGTGTTGACTGTGAAACAGACCTCTGGTTTAGCATTTCGCTGAATGTGTTGGGTATTTCATCAAAAGGAGTAAAGTACAGACCATTGAAGATGGAAATTTTTCCAGCTGTATATACAGCAAGTAGTATTCAACTCACAAATTCTTGTGTTGGCATTTCTAATATTTCAGGTTTGTTTAAAACGCCTCCCACATTATCAGTGTCCTTCATATGTTCTGCTTATTTCTATAAGAGTACTGTAAGTAAATTACGATCCATGGTGGCAGGTGAGACTGGATGTTTTCCCTCAAATCCTCGGTAAATACACAAACCCTCAGTTTATATTTATATCAATGTATGTATATATTGTAAATGCTTACCATGTATTTGATCATACTTCACATCCATAGGTGTAGCTATGTGTCTATATAATTGCCCCATTAATTTACATTAAAGCAATTGTTTGAGCCAATATACATGTATATCAATAAATGGTTTGCCATACCCGATCCTATATATTACCTTGTCCCAAGCAAAGAGTTATATTGAAAATGGCAAAACTTTAACCGTGAGCTAGTCATTTTAATTTTTTTCCAAATCTTATGTGTATACTATGATATGAATAATTCTGTAAAATTCCTTGATTTTTTGTTTCACTACTTTTACTGGCATTTAAACTCATCCATTGTTTTGCACTGAAGGTCATGTGAGAGGAAACTATGTGTCTCAAACCTACTGACATTGAAATTATGTTGCATATATTAAAATAAGGTCCATTTTAGTCTTTATTCAAGCCATCGGTAGCTTATTTGACAGTATCAAGAATTGCAGTGCACCCAAAACTGTACTTGAACCAAGACTAGGCTTGCTCGCAGTACTGTATTAAAACAAAAAAACTTGTCCGCTAATATGTGTATCTGTTCTTGTGAAAATGCTTCAGTTGATCTCACTTTTAATAAGGAAAATTGTCTTGGCCAGCGGTCTGTCACTTCCAGGTATTCTCTGATTTTTTTTAAAAGGTCAACACTATGACAACTTTGTGACAAATGCCACAATACTTGCCTTCCCTTGTGATACTCTTTGTTACATAATTTATTTGATTTTTCCTTTTGTTGTCTGGGATATGGATAGAAATGATATTATTTGAAAATCAAGCAATGTGATTAAAACTGTGAAGATATTTAAAGCTGTGTGTGACTTTGGATTTGTTTTAAGTTGGTGGAATTTAGATACCCCTAATAATAATAATAACGGGTTCTTATATAGCACTTTCAACTAAGATCAAAGCGCTTTACATCATAATTACCCTGATCATTTGACCAATTAAACATTCCAAATACCATCTCAGCTCCCTGGGGAGTATACAACTTGATGCAGTCTGTTAGGCGCAAGGAAGCAAATTCATTCATATTAACCATCTCTGCATTTACTCCTGGGTGGAGAGAAGCAATGAGTGACAAAGTGCCTTGCCCAAGGGCACACGCACCATGACCCCAGGCTGGACTCGAACCCACAACCTGCAGCTGTACCTGCAGACCACGGATCCAATGCCCTAACCACGAGGCCACATCACTCCACATAGTACTCCTATAAGTGGCCACGGTCAGGCATGAGCCACAGACGGGACATCCTCTAGAGATTGAAATTTACTCTAAGGTTTGAAGAAGAAACCGTTTGATAATGTGAGACAGAGGAACAAGCGCAAAGTTGATGGAGCATGACGTACGTGGCCCGCGCTGAGCTCAGACGACGAAATGACAACTATCCTTTTATATAAACCGCTAGTGAAGTATTACCAGATGTTAGTCTGTCTGGCTCCGAGAATACCCTTATCATTGAGTCATTTGAACGGATCAGGTAACGCGCGCTGGAAACATGAAACTCATTCATTTTTGGTAACATTACTTTGTCATTACAGCAAGATAAGGATGGCAAAAGGTACAAACTCATCATTTTTGTTTCATTTAATGAATGCTTTTAAAATGGTTTCTTATTTTGTTCGAGGAAATGCACATTTCTACTGCCTTGGGGCTTGTAGAAGAGGCTTGTAATGGATGTTTCATCAATACATCTTCGGTATTTTTTTTAAAGAAATTAATAAATTTGATTAAAATTTGCTTTAATAAGGTGTATCACACTTGAAGAGTATGCAACAAATTTGTGTGTGTGCCTAAGATCAATGTAACATTCTGCAATAACCCACATTTGATCATTAATTGGGCGTAAACTTGACAGTATCTTCATAGTGCCACACAATGGCACTGATCTTTCAACAAAGTGGGTCGAAAAGTAGCCCATGTTTCCAAAAAAAGTAATAACAATAAAACAATAAATTGACACAAATATGGACACAATTTAGAGTCAAGAATTTAGCATACATGTGTTTATTATGGAATGAATTCATGGGCTCAATCATTCAATTCCATGCACACTTACTATTTTTTTGAAAAGGTGCTACAAAATGACTGTACCTCGGAAAACTTGAAACATGAAATACATTGTATAAATTTATTTCAATTACATAAAAGTTTAACCCTTTTCGGTTTTAGTTTCGGTTGAAACAACAACTTCAATAAAACCCTACCAAGAGATGGGTAAGATATTCCCCATCCCTCCATTAGGCCAAAAAAAAAGTCTCCGGTTTCTGGTATGCGTGCGCGTCGCCGTAGCCATGCGCGTCGGCAAAATGAAAAAGTTTTTTTTTTCAATGAAAGATGATGTCTCGAAACCGCCAAACTCATTGGTTTGGACCATGGAGCAAGGAATCCTGCTGCTGCACAATTTTAACGTGTTTTTAGATGGGGTTATGGTCGAGAATAAGCTTTATGTGGCCTCTCTGGACTCCCATATATTTGCACTAAATTTAGTCGGGCACCATTTGCAGTCATCAGCCGACATTTGAAGCAAAAAAATCAGGTAAAAAAAAAAAAGCCGCGTCGCCGCACCACTTTTTGGGCAAGCTCCATACCAGAAACCGGAGACTTTTTTTTTTGGCCTTATCCTTCAGACTTCATATTTGTAGGGGGGGGGGGCGGAAACCAGTCTAATGATTAAATACCTAGTTGAACCTTGTTTTATTTTGTCAAGTTTGCCCCGTGATTTTTAACAATTATGAGAAACGAAAGAAGCTTGTTATTTAATTCAAAATATACATCTCGAGTTCAGTTTTACTAGCCGTCATTACTATATGATTTTAATTATCACTAGGAAGATTTGATTGAATTCCTCTTTCTTTAAAATAAATAACGAATTAAATTGAAAAGAGGTAGTGCAACTCTTTGCATGCACTTTTCAAACCCCATGAACAACCCCCATACAGAGAAAAGGAAAAACGAATTGCCCGAGAATGAATGAAAATGTCGTTCAGCTTTGAAGATCTAGAACCTAACCGTTAACCGTTCTAAGAATTATGTAACACTTCTTCCCGTCCAGAATAATGTCCATGCACCTGTTACGTGGCTGGACCGCAAGGGGGCGTTTGCCACCTACATCTACGAGATCCGCTTCAAGGAACACAGAAGTCGATTATGTTAATGCAAATGAATGAATATTCGATACTTATTAGCACGGACCAATACAAAACTGTTAACGGCTAAATTCTAGAGAGTAGGGAGAATTCATTTGTAATACTTTAAGTGGCGCTTTTATAAAACTTCTAATTTAAGCTTAAAAAAATTAAATCAAACAGTCGATTTAAATGTATTAATTGTTCAAGAAACTTGCATAAACGTTATATTACGACGATTTTTATCGAAGAATATTGAATTTCTGTCGCGATGTTTTGTCAAATTCTTGTTTGCAACCCGTGAATAAATGAGCCCACGGCCGATCGCTGCTAAAATTGAATGACATTCACTTCTCTACGGCCGTTCATCCCGTCGCGTTCACACATGATGTGCCTCTAGCTAGCTAGCAAGCTCCGCTCTCTACGCAGTACGTAGCATGTATGTACCGTACGTACTATACGATGTATCTTACTCTAGCTAGCTCTCATATGCATAGGAAATTGTACCACATTAGCGCATCTACATCAACATGAGATGGGAATGGCGCCTGCATCAGTTGAAACACGTATCTGAAAACCGAGATAGAACGCGATGAAAGGACATTTTAGTGATTGTGTTCGGGGGTTGTTACCAATGAGCAAACTTGAGGACTAGCTGGGGTCGACTGTGTTTGTGAATGGATATTCACAATGCCGGCTTACGGGTAGAGGAAAATCGCCTGTTGCCTGAACTGCTTTGCGAAATTTTCAGTGCAGCTGTGTGTTTACCGGAGACCTGCCAAGCTCCACTGCCGTGGTTTGCGTTTGTCGCACCGTCTGGCGAATCAACAACGCCCGGCGTCGATGTCTGTCGGCACGGGCTGTGGTTTAGCCCGCCAGAATTTGAGTTGGGTTTTTGACCAGGTGCTCGGAACACCGAGAAGGCCCTCCGTAATTAGTGGTCGCTGGGTGTAGGCCTAGCTTGAAATCACTTGAAATTTCTTGCCATCAAGTTCATCCCGTTGAGGGAGGCAAGGGCGAGCAGCGAATCATGGCTGCAGCCTGGCTACCATTTGCCCGTGCGGCGGCTATAGGCTGGGTGCCTATTGCCCCCAATGCTATGCCCGTAGCCCCAGAGCGGCACACAGCGGCAACAGAAGGTGGCCGTATAGTCCTCAACATCAGTGGCCGTCGCTATGAAACCTGGCGGCACATGCTGGAGAAATACCCTGATACCCTTCTCGGCAGCAACGAGAAGGAATTTTTCTTCGATGAAGATTCTGGGGAATACTTTTTCGATAGAGACCCGGATCTGTTCCGACATGTCCTGGCGTTCTATCGCACAGGGCGCATGCACCTCCCCCGTGAGGAATGCATCAATTCCTTTGACGAGGAGCTGGCATTTTTTGGAGTCATGCCTGAAATTATCGGAGACTGTTGCTATGAGGAATACCGTGACAGGAAGCGAGAGAACGCAGAGCGTCTCATGGATGAGAGGAGCTCAGAAATGGGAGATTGCCCGGATTTGCACACTATGAGAGAAAAGATGTGGAGGGCGTTTGAGAATCCACATACGGGCACGTGGGCGCTGGTCTTCTACTATGTAACAGGGTTTTTTATTGCAGTCTCTGTATTTGCCAACGTTGTAGAAACGATACCGTGTCCTCCATTTCCCGGTACTGTTGAGCATGTCGCGTGTGGGGACAGATACCATGATGCCTTCTTTTGCCTGGATACAGCATGTGTGTTGATCTTTACAGTGGAGTATATACTGAGAGCGTACGCTGCTCCAGACCGGTGCAAATTCATGCGGAGCGTCATGTGTGTTATAGACGTGGTGGCCATCATGCCATATTACATAGGACTCATGTTCAATAGCGACAGTTTAAGCGGCATGTTCACAACACTCCGAGTGTTCAGAGTCGTAAGAATTTTCAAATTCTCCAGACATTCGCAGGGATTACGCATCCTGGGGTACACCCTTAAAAGCTGTGCGAGTGAACTTGGATTTTTGGTGTTTTCGCTGGCAATGGCGATTATCATATTTGCCACCATCATGTTTTATGCGGAGAAAAGTGTGGAAAAGACGAAGTTTTTCAGCATTCCTGCCGCCTTCTGGTATACAATAGTCACAATGACTACACTTGGGTAAGTAATGTGTGACAAGATGTGCCCTGTAGGGCAAACTGGTTGCCAAACTAATGACGTATTGATTTCTCAATTCTTCATTGTACAGTTTGTAGCACACATTTTTTACTCCATGGCCATAATAGTGATGGTCAGTCACTTCAAATGTAATGAAAATCATTAACACTCCAATTTCCATTACTTACCAATAATTTTCAGGATTCCCCGAAGACTTTGTACACACCCACCAAAATAGCGTTAAAGGTATAGTCCATCATTTGTAATTTGTGCATTTTGTTCGTTTGAAGCAACAAAAGTGTTAAAAATCTAAAAAAGGGTGCTGAACAACTAACCTGATGAAGTTTCAGCTCAGCTGCAGCTGTATATTTTGAGATAAACAGCATTCTAGGATCTCGATTTCAAATCAAAAGTTGCTGAATCATGTTTTGAATTGGGTCTGGATTCAGCGTCCGAGACAAGTTCTCACTGAGCCAATTGCAGCTACGCGATGTCGCGCATCGATCCGACGAATTATAGCAGCCGCGCACGCGTGTGCGTCGTGCCAACGCTTGCGCACACTTTGCGAATAAAAAAAAAACGAACTACTAACGGGAATTTCCAACGGTGCGTCTTAAGACGCACCGTTGGAAATGCCTTCTTTCGTTGATTTCTTCAAAATGATGGCTTGCCAGAGAGAATAATTTCACAGGGAGTTTAGTCCCCTTACTATCTTTCAACCAAGTTTGTTTGTCAACAATGATTACGCCAGTTACTTTTCGGATAGCTGCAAATGATGGACTATAGCTTAAAGGGTACTGTATTCTCTCCGGTAAATTGTATCTGCAAGATTTGTTCCAAATCATGAGTTTGCATTCGATTTCACAGAAACTAAAGAAAATTGTCTTTTGGTCTTTGAAATTTACTACAAGATTTTGGAAAATCTGAAATATTTTTCCCTTGATGAGTAGCTTTGTACCATATCCTGGCATGCTCCTGACACAAACAGTGACAAACAATTTAGAAAGACTTTGGTGGTTTACTATCTTTTAAATTTTTTGTTTTAGCATAGAATGCTTCTATGTAATGCTGACCTATAATCAAGGCCATTTGGATTAATTAAAGAATATTTTAATAGGAGTACACATTCTAGTGAGTCTAGCTAGCTATGTTTGATTAATTAACTTGAATCTCAAAGATACCAAGTGACAATGCAACTGTGCTACATATGCAGTGCACAAAGTTCTCTGCATGATCAACTGGTATAAGCTCCATGCCTTCTTGGGATGTCAAGTACATAGTCAATAGACTATGAGTTTGCCTAGTACTACTGTGTCAATAATTGTGCTTACATTAGGACTAAGTATTAAACAGTGCCTAAATGAGCCTTACCCTTCAGGTACACTATGGAATACAACACATTATAACAGCGCTCAATTATTTTCTTTCTCTTCCAATATTTTTTATTTTTTTTTTGCCTCTGAAGATTTTGTTAAGATTGAAATAGCAGGCCCTCTTAATTAATTGATAAACAAACTCCACTAGAAATGGCTCTCTGTTGGATTATTTTGGATTGAGCACACAACAACGGTTATCGTTTTTACGTTGTGCTAGACGCTAAAAACTATAAAAAAAATGTATTTGTCGAGAGCAAAATCTAACTTTCAACCTGACTTAAACATGTTTGAAATCATTAGTTTAGGAATATCCCAGTGCATGCTGAATTTAACAACAAACGTTTGACCTTTGAGCCAGTTGGAAACTTGCAGAAAACAACTTGTCACTGCAAAAATGTCAATCCAATGGATTGATTTCACATCGTATACACTTTTTTAAGTTTGATTCTCATAGCATTTAACTTTATCACGTTCCTACCACTGACAATCACGCTCAAGTGCACTCAATGTCAAGCACCTATTCAGCTGACATTGTTAGCTAAATCATACCGCTTGAAATGTTTGCATAAAAAAAAAAAAAAAAAAAAAAAAAAAAAAAAAAATATATAAACTGAAACAGGTACTGAATTTTCCCTTTAACACGGATTACGTGCATGGTGTATTGCCAGACTGAGACCTTGAGTATAGAAAAAATAAAACATGCAAACAATTAAATTAAAAGTTGTTTTAACTCACTCTGGAGCCATCAAATTTTTTCAAAATCTCCAAAAGGCAAAGATGGGTTCTAAATATTTCATTTACGAAGTTAGAGGTCTCAATTAAAATGTTGAAAAATAAATGTAGCTTCCCTAAACTTGTTTTCCACAAAATTGTCAAGGCAAGTGATTTAAATTTGATCACATTTCAAACACAGTTCAAATATTTTGCAAAAAGAGAGTCAATTTGGTAGTCTGGTGGCACAACTGTGAAGAGAATGTGTAGTATGTTAAGAGTCCAAAATTTAGATTTTTACAAAACGATGTCAGTTGGTGCTGATACTGCTACCCACTAAAAGGGGAATACATCAATTCTTGATTCATCTTGGTCTGATGATGAAAATGAATTTAGGAGGTTCAGTTTCGTGGAGGTGTAGTCTGCACACATGGATACTTGTAGGCCCTATTTGCTGCATTGTAGTATATGAAATACATTTGCATCTGTGGGATATTGTTTCCTCAAATTGTGGAATGTATATGTATGCACTTGAGTAAAAATATCCTCAAGATAAACACTAACTATACTTTAATTAATAAAGTGAAAGTGCAAACAATGTATAACTTCCTGTGGGATGGAAAATTTGTCATCTTGAGTTTCAGTCAGATTTATATAAAAATAACACCTGGACATGTTTGGTATTTTTTCTTTCTTTTGTTGTGCCCCGGAGAATGTGTTGAATGTCAGAAGTCAGAAATCCCTTTTCCTGTGCACATTCACATGAATCCTTGTGATGTCTCAATTTCCATGTTATTTCCTGCCTTTCCTATTGGAGGTGATGAAACGGCCAATGAATGGTTAAGATATCTGAAAATACATTACACCATCCACGATAAAAATGATTAAAACAAATTAAAATTAAAATTCAAAAGGTCGTTCTCCAGTATTTATTCAAAGAAATTGCAATGATCAATGTATAAATTCCCGTCAAAGGATAAAATTATTTCCATATTTCCTGGCCTTGAGTCTAGATTTGTTTTATTGTACAAGTTTAAACGACATCCGCTGCAATTGCCAGGCAGGTGGCTTATTCATCTGATACCAGGTGTATTTATTTATACATAGTATATTAATACATTATTAACTTGTTTCGTTAAAAAAAAACAAAAAAAAGGTATAGCTCTAATAACAAGCACAAACACCAGTGTGCACGTGCGTGGGCGGGTGTCTATTGTTTTAGTCAGACATGTCTACGCGTGGAACAATGGGATTATTTTTGTATGGGCCAAAAAATAATGTATGATATCGATCAATAGATCGCTGAAATGTGTGAGATTCACTCCATTGATAAAAAATGACGTAAAGAGGACATTTGGTTCTTTGTTATTGCTGACAACAGTTTTTGTTTTTGTTAAAATTGAGGAATATATGTGGGCTGTAATATCCAAGTGAGACATTTCAATTGCCTCCTAAAACAATCCTATGAAATTGGTTGATGCAAAAATCAATAAAACAGTTCCTGTCGTACTAAATTAGTGGATAATAACAGGATATGAGGTAACAGGATGTGAGGTTTATATAAAAATAGAAAAAAATTGAAATGCAAAATTCTGACAATAAAATATGAGGGAAAATAATTTATAAGTATAAACCTAGCATTGTTTGTGGTTATAATAAGCCATCTGCAGTTTTATGTTGTATTGCATTAAAAATATTGATGCATGTAATATGCAAGTATTTTGACATTCTTGTAAAGAAAACTGGGAAGTGAAATCTATTTCTTTGGGGTGGGTTTTCCATTTCGAGTGAAAAAAATTTGTATTAATTGATTTGACCTATTTTGTGCAGCTTATCTTAGCTTAGCGTGTGATAGACTAAGAGTGATCAATTGACTTAACAATGAAAAACTGACAATTTTCACAACCAACTGGATGGCATTGATTTTTTCTAAAATATTATCCTTAATACTTCTAGTTGTGTCAGATACAGTATCAATTTGGAAGGGAAAAAAATTGTGTAGCATTGTTGGCTACATGTTCATGATTGATTACGGCTTGATACTAATATTCATCAATAGTGAGCTATAATGTGAATGTCCTCTGCCTGCAGTTATGTTTTTAAACTGATAAATACAGCATTAGGTAAGCTGGTTTAAAAAATCTGATTTCAGATTCCTGCAAGGTATTTGTCTTGCAAGCTACATGTAGAACGATTTCTACTTTGTATAATTTAGTTTAGAAGATTTTAGATTCGGATATTGATTTCATGTGACCATACATAACAAGACCCTGACATTTAAAAATCTAATGAATCTCAAAGGCCAAATGCGAATGCAGTGTCAATCAGTAGGCTTATCAGAATTTGTTCAATCACAAAATACACAATATGTAAACCACTTTTGGATTTGTCGGTAAATACACTTTACAAAAAAAATTCAATATTGCACGCAGTGTCAACATATATGTCCGTATCAGTAGACAATTACATCAAAAGGAATAATACGTATTATTTTACTCCCTTCTGTCCCAGCGCCTGTGCAATTGCAACGGTTATTTACTCCAGTTTCCGTTTGAGCATCTGTAGGCCTGTACGTCTGTTTATTTGTTTGACGATGACTGAGTTTCATTGTTGGGCCTCAGGGAATGTAGCTCAGAGTTTATTGAGTTTATTGATCAATTCTCAATAGTCGGCTTGGGTTCACCTTCTGTGCTGATAGCAACAACAAAAGAACCCAAGCAAAGGCAGTGTAACTGACATTATACGTAAACCCCATATGAAGTGATTAGCAGTACATTGTAGATGTAGGTATGTTCACTGTTCAAAAGCAAATAGGAATATATATGTATAGCGTACGTATGGCTTCAGAGCCATTCACCCCAGCGATTCATATCAGATTGTAGGCTTCATGAAAACAGTCATACTTCACTGACATCA